ACTGCACACCTCTCTATACTTCACACCTCTCTATACCGCACGCCTCTCTATACGGCACGCCTCTCTATACCGCACACCTCTCTATACTGCACACCTCTCTATACTGCACACCTCTCTATACTTCACACCTCTCTATTCCGCAAACCTCTCTATACCGCACACCTCTCTATACCTCACACCTCTCTATACCGCACGCCTCTCTATACCGCACGCCTCTCTATACCGCACGCCTCTCTATACCGCACGCCTCTCTATACGGCACGCCTCTCTATACCGCACACCTCTCTATACTGCACACCTCTCTATACTGCACACCTCTCTATACTGCACGCCTCTCTATACTGCACACCTCTCTATACCGCACACCTCTCTATACTGTACACCTCTATACTGCACACCTCTCTATACTTCACACCTCTCTATACTGCACACCTCTCTATACTGCACACCTCTCTATACTGCACACCTCTCTATACTTCACACCTCTCTATACTGCACACCTCTCTCTATACCGCACACCTCTCTATACCGCACACCTCTCTATACCGCACACCTCTCTCTACTGCACACCTCTCTATACTTCACACCTCTCTATACCGCACGCCTCTCTATACTGCACGCCTCTCTATACCGCACACCTCTCTATACTGCACGCCTCTCTATACTGCACACCTCTCTATACTTCACACCTCTCTATACTGCACACCTCTCTATACTTCACACCTCTCTATACCGCACACCTCTCTATACTTCACACCTCTCTATACCGCACGCCTCTCTATACTGCACGCCTCTCTATACCGCACACCTCTCTATACTGCACACCTCTCTGTACTGCACGCCTCTCTGTACTGCACGCCTCTCTGTACCGCACGCCTCTCTATACCACACGCCTCTCTATACCGCACACCTCTCTATACCGCACACCTCTCTATATACTGCACGCCTCTCTATACTGAACACCTCTCTATACTGCACACCTCTCTATACTGAACACCTCTCTATACTGAACACCTCTCTATACTGAACACCTCTCTATACTGCACACCTCTCTATACTTCACACCTCTCTATACTTCACACCTCTCTATACTTCACACCTCTCTATACTTCACACCTCTCTATACTGAACACCTCTCTATACTGTACACCTCTCTATACTGCACACCTCTCTATACTGAACACCTCTCTATACTGTACACCTCTCTATACCGCACACCTCTCTATTGAACACCTCTCTGTACTGCACACCTCTCTATACTGCACACCTCTCTATACTGCACACCTCTCTATACCGCACACCTCTCTATACCGCACACCTCTCTATACCGCAAACCTCTCTATACCGCACACCCTCTCTATACCGCACGCCTCTCTATACCGCACGCCTCTCTATACCGCACACCTCTCTATACTGCACACCTCTCTATACTGCACACCTCTCTATACTACACACCTCTCTCTACTGCACACCTCTCTACACCTCTCCATACCGCACACCTCTCTATACTGCACACCTCTCTATACTTCACACCTCTCTATACCGCACGCCTCTCTATACCGCACGCCTCTCTATACCGCACGCCTCTCTATACTGCACACCTCTCTATACCGCACACCTCTCTATACCGCACACCTCTCTATACTGCACACCTCTCTATACTGCACACCTCTCTATACTTCACACCTCTCTATACCGCAAACCTCTCTATACCGCACACCTCTCTATACCGCACGCCTCTCTATACCGCACGCCTCTCTATACCGCACACCTCTCTATACTTCACACCTCTCTATACCGCACACCTCTCTATACTTCACACCTCTCTATACCGCACACCTCTCTATACCGCACACCTCTCTGTACTTCACACCTCTCTATACTTCACACCTCTCTATACCGCACGCCTCTCTATACGGCACGCCTCTCTATACCGCACGCCTCTCTTTACTGCACACCTCTCTATACTGCACACCTCTCTATACCGCACACCTCTCTATACCGCACACCTCTCTATACTTCACACCTCTCTATACTGCACACCTCTCTATACTTCACACCTCTCTATTCCGCAAACCTCTCTATACCGCACACCTCTCTATACCTCACACCTCTCTATACCGCACGCCTCTCTATACCGCACGCCTCTCTATACCGCACGCCTCTCTATACCGCACGCCTCTCTATACCGCACACCCTCTCTATACTGCACACCTCTCTATACTGCACGCCTCTCTATACTGCACACCTCTCTATACCGCACACCTCTCTATACTGTACACCTCTATACTGCACACCTCTCTATACTTCACACCTCTCTATACTGCACACCTCTCTATACTGCACACCTCTCTATACTGCACACCTCTCTATACTTCAGACCTCTCTATACTGCACACCTCTCTCTATACCGCACACCTCTCTATACCGCACACCTCTCTATACCGCACACCTCTCTGTACTGCACACCTCTCTATACTTCACACCTCTCTATACCGCACGCCTCTCTATACTGCACGCCTCTCTATACCGCACACCTCTCTATACTGCACGCCTCTCTATACTGCACACCTCTCTATACTTCACACCTCTCTATACTGCACACCTCTCTATACTTCACACCTCTCTATACCGCACACCTCTCTATACTGCACACCTCTCTATACTTCACACCTCTCTATACCGCACGCCTCTCTATACCGCACGCCTCTCTATACCGCACACCTCTCTATACTGCACACCTCTCTGTACTGCACGCCTCTCTGTACTGCACGCCTCTCTGTACCGCACGCCTCTCTATACCACACGCCTCTCTATACCGCACACCTCTCTATACCGCACACCTCTCTATATACTGCACGCCTCTCTATACTGAACACCTCTCTATACTGCACACCTCTCTATACTTCACACCTCTCTATACTTCACACCTCTCTATACTTCACACCTCTCTATACTGAACACCTCTCTATACTGCACACCTCTCTATACTGCACACCTCTCTATACTTCACACCTCTCTATACTTCACACCTCTCTATACTTCACACCTCTATACTTCACACCTCTCTATACCGCACACCTCTCTATACTGCACACCTCTCTATACCGCACACCTCTCTATACTGCACACCTCTCTATACTGCACACCTCTCTATACTGCACACCTCTCTATACTACACACCTCTCTCTACTGCACATCTCTCTACACCTCTCCATACCGCACACCTCTCTATACTGCACACCTCTCTATACTGCACACCTCTCTATACTGCACACCTCTCTATACTGCACACCTCTCTCTACTGCACACCTCTCTACACCTCTCCATACCGCACACCTCTCTATACTGCACACCTCTCTCTACTGCACACCTCTCTACACCTCTCTATATCGCACACCTCTCTATACTACACACCTCTCTATACTGCACACCTCTCTCTACTGCACACCTCTCTAACCTCTCTATATCGCACACCTCTCTATATACTACACACCTCTCTATACTACACACCTCTCTATACTGCACACCTCTCTATACCGCACACCTCTCTATAATGCACACCTCTCTATACTGCACACCTCTCTATAATGCACACCTCTCTATACTGCACACCTCTCTATACTGCCAGCTCACTGTGTGTTCTTAATAATGTCCCCACTCTGAATGTTCTGACCAGAAATGTTATTTATCCTCGTAAGTAGCATAAGCTACATGTAGCTCTATTGTCAGTTGGTTTTGTTTACATCTAAAACATCATTCAGCAAAAGAACACTTCCCTAGCCGTCTGGCTAACAACAAATACAGACAGGCCATGCGCAAAAGCATGCTGCTTGTCTTTTTCACAAGGGTATTTGTAACCCATATTTAATAACATGCTTAACTGAAACGGCTTTAATGTCTTAAAGACTTTTATTTTGGGAGACAACTTCCCCCAAATTATGCATCTCCTCCTCCCTCCCGTCTCCGTTGTGTCTGCAGCATTGACAGACGGCACATGAAGGCAAACATATTGCGGACGAACGCGTGCTGGTATCTCTTCAGGAAAGCTCTCATTTTGTAGCTAAGGAGTTAAGGAACATGTGCATACCCTGTCTTTGGGGGTAAACAAAGCTCAAACTTGGCGAACTGCGAAAGAGCAGTTTGTATCTATTTGAGGACGTTTTTTATTGCAAAAGATAAACGCACATTTTTGGATTATTTCTGCAGAATGCATTATACTTTTGAAAAAACAAGTGGATATTCTTTTTCAATGGACATTTACGGAGTGAAAGAGCCTAAGCATGAATGGGGGAAGTCTAATTTGTTCAAGCAGCAGAAGACAAAAGGTAAAAAAACGTATTTAGACGTGATTTATTTTGTGCCCATATTATGTGTTATATCTTTTCAATGCAAAGTCTGATATTGTTTACACTATAATAATATAAATGTAGCTGAGAAAACAAGCTTTAAAATGATATATAGCTTGTGGCTTATGAAGTTCAAAATACATCTGCTATTGCCAGCGGATGTATTTTTTTCTTATGGGATTAATGGTTTCACTGCATTTTCGATTTAATTGGATCCACATAAAAACAAACCAATTTTTCAATCTTGCATTATATTCAAAGATTGAGATTCAAAAACATCCCTTGTTATTCGCTTTTTAAATGTTGGTTTTGTTCAGAAAATCAAATGAACGGATGATACACGGATTGGTACCCCTGCCCTAAATCTTCTGCTCCTCAATTCAGAAAAAAACGTGTGCGTGACTCCCTCGCTGATCAGATAATCACACTGGATAATGTTAGCATGGCCCCTAACAAAACTGAAACACCAAGTTACACTGACCAAGAACTCTTCTTCAGAGCTCTTATAAATCAAGCAACTAAAACAACATATTTTTTGTGCAACATTAGCTAAAATGGAATATCCTTCCCAAAAAGTGATGCAGAAGAATGACTGTTACACCTATAATTGGACCAGACCATATTTTGAAATAAGTGAGAAACGAGCTTCACCGTTTTCATAGAGTTTCCTTCAGCCATGTTTCCTTTGGAGTCTGGAGTCTGCGGAACACACAAAGGTTTATTCAAATGTGCAACACTTTAGACCACACCCAACATTTAATACCACAATCCCCCATGTACCGCATGTACGAGCATTTAACAAAGAGAATTAAGAAAAGAGAAACTTTATTTGTCCCTTTAGAGGCGAGCAGCATTTGAAGGCCCTTGTGGCATCTATCACACAGCTCTCTGTTATGACATGGGAACTTTGTCACGCCTCTATGGAAAGAACCACAATCTGTGAGTCTGCCGCTCACAGTTTGTTTAACTGATCACAATCCTGCAGCTACCTTCAGATGCTACACATGTGTAGATGATGTGAAGGTATATTGAGCCAAATCTGGGAAATGACCAAGGCAGAGACGCTTTTCGTCTTATGTGAGTGAAAATCGCCAATTTTCCATTTTCCCATTTCCAGTTCAAAATGATGAACATCCGTTTGTCAAGGGGCATGGTCTCAAGAACTTTTATTTCTTGTCTTGAGTTGACTAATATGTATACCGCATGTTGATGTTGGACCGGTGTTCTGTTGAGATGGTTTACCCGTCGAACGCATCCGTAAAATCACTTAAGCGTTTCCGGTGACAAACTCAACAGCTGCTTGTTCGTCGGGTAATAATAGAAATAGTAAATTAATTCTAATTGTATTAAGCTGATTAAAAATAGTGTGTTCAAATATTTTACTAATTAAATGTGTTTCTAGGCGCAGGTTTATGTGACAGTTCTATAGATTCATTGTTTCATTACTAATTTTAACTCTGATGCTGTGAATAATGACACAGTTCTTGTTGGAAACATATTGTTATTATTAAAGTTGCCATATTTCACTCTTCTTCATGTTCCAAAGTCCATCCTTTGCACATGTGTGATAATAATTTGAGTGATACACCATACAACACTTAAAACATGTGAGATTATAGTCATCTCTTGCATAGAGGTGATGTCACCTCAACTCAAACGAGCTGATCCAGAGTCTGCTCCTCTGAGCAGACTTCTGAGCCTGAACCTTACGGTTTGGCGTGTTTTGTTCAGAGATGCTCTTCTGCAGGCCGTGGTTGGAGTTACTGTTGCCTGTCTTTCAGCTTTGGCATCAACAAGGCATTTTTGCCTACCGAACTGCTGATCACTGGATATTTTCTCTTTTTCGGACCATTCTCTGTAAACCCTAGAGATGGTTGTGTGTGAAAATCTCAGTAGATCAGAAGTTTCTGAAATACTCAGAGCAGCCCATCTGGCACCAACAACCATGCCACGTTCAAAGTCACTTAAATCACCTTTCTTCTTCATTCTGATGGTTGGAACTGCAGAAGATCATCTGGACCATGTCTACAGCCTATATGCTGCGAGTTGCTGCCATGTGATTGGCTGATTGGGAATTTGTGTTTAAGTGGACAGGTATACCTAATAAAGTGGTGAGTGTACATAGGTTTCCATGGCAACCTATACAACCTATGATTTAAAGCGTTTGAGCAGATGAACGCAGCTGTTGCATTCTCGGTGATTGGCGGCATGGGTGTATCAGTGTTTGGGAAAGCATCTGGCCCTACGTCCTATTGGGGCTCGGGCCCGATGACACGTGTCTGCTGGTTTTCAAGCGGCATCTAAAGGCCCTCGATGCATCTCATAAAGGAGGTGGAGCTGAGGCGCCATTTTAATTGTGGCTCTTGTTGGCAAAAACTAATGTTGTAAAAATGTAAGGTTGTTTTGTTTCTATTCAATGTATTTGTGAATCGCCCTAAATCAAGTCCTCTGGGATTTTTCAAAGTTGTTGATTTGCCAATAACAGATCAGAGAAACATTTTAAAAAGTCATCGCCTCATTGACTTTTGTTACTTTCTGTTACACTATCAGACTGTAGTGACAGATAGTTTGCTTGGAAAAGTATGGTAACTTGAGCACTATCCTCTCCTCATTCCTACTTTATCTGTTTAGCATTTTTAGGATTTTGACTGTAGTTTGTTCATTGCTATTCACCCGTTGTCCCATTGTCTGTTTCATGGCGTGACGAAGGGACCTCTGAACCCGACCCTCTCCGTCTACACCTGTGGACTGCTCTACCCGACCCGCCTGGGAGTGCTTCAGTCCTGCACCGCACGTGTCCTTGTTCTACAACCGCTGAGTGGCCCTGGTCCACGTTCTGTAGCTTAGGTCCTGGATCTACAGCCTTGGTCCTTGTTCTACAGTCTGAGTCCTGGATCTACAGCCTTGGTCCTGGATCTACAGTCTGAGTCCTGGATCTACAGCCTTGGTCCTTGTTCTACAGTCTGAGTCCTGGATCTACAGCCTTGGTCCTTGTTGTACAGTCTGAGTCCTGGATCTACAGCCTTGGTCCTGGATCTACAGCCTTGGTCCTGGATCTACAGCCTTGGTCCTGGATCTACAGCCTTGGTCCTCGTTCTACAGTCTGAGTCCTGGATCTACAGCCTTGGTCCTCGTTCTACAGTCTGAGTCCTTCATCTATTGCCCGTCTGTCCATGTGGAGCGGATCCCTCTCTCAATGTGGACATCCCCGAGGTTTTCCCCCACTAGGTTTTAGAGTTATTCCTCTGATGCAGGAGTCTGTTGGGCAGTCCAACAGAATGTGGTGGACTGTGGGGATGATCCAGGACACTTTACATTCTACAACATGTATGACATTTATCAACATTCATGGACATTGGTCTCTCTCTATGGTCCAATACATATGTGATCTCTCTGCGTTTTAACTGTTTGATTCTCTGATCTCAACCATTTTTAGTCCTCTGAGATAACTAATGTTGTGAATTAGGGCTATACAAGAACAAATTGAATTGAATAGTGAAAGTGATGTTACTATCAGACTGTAGTGAGAGTATTGTTGTAGTTTACCTTTGACACAGTGTCCTCCTCAGACTTAATCTTCTGTTTCTGATCATAAGAAAAAGTCACGTTATCATTATAGATAAAGATCCATTTTTGAAATAAATGAGAATCGAGCTTCACCGTGTGTTGGTCGGCCATGTTTCCTTGGAGTCTGGAGTCTGCGGGACACAGGTTTATTCCAATCTGCAACACTTTAGAACACACACAACATTCAATCCCACAGTCTCATGTAACTCATGAACGAGCACAAGAAGAAAATGTTACAGCTTTAGTTTAACATTAACTACTTATAAAACTAGATGTCAAAAAGTGAAGAGAAAAATTGGTAAAACACTAGAAATCATTGTTTTCCCCTCAAAAGAACATTCATATTTTCTTAACATTCTTAACATTTAATTCACTTGTTTATCTGTCACTGGGATTGTGATGTAAATGCATTTTTACATCGGGTGCCAATCTGAGAGCCACACCCGACCCAAACTGTTCTGGTTTATCCTGTTTGTCCTGCGCACTTGCGTCATGTACTGATGTGTTAAAGTAAAAGAAAGTAGGCTTTGTCTTAAAAAATACTCATTGTTGTGTGAAAGATACAGTATCATCGGAGAATTCACATGAAGCAACACACCAGAAAACCACAACATTGTCAAACTTGTTTCTTTGTTTACCCAAATAATTCAATTCGATTCAATACATTTTTGTACAGCCCTAAAGCACAACAGCACTTATCTCGGAAGACTTTACAAACTTGTCGATTGGCTTACGACAGATCAGAGAATAAAACTGTTCAAACGCAGGAAATGCAATAATTACAAACAATAGAGCCACTGGTCCGTAAGGGACAGATGAACATAAATGTTTATACATGTCCTTAAGTATTGAATGAAATATTTGAATTAAACGTCACTTCTTTGCAAAGTGTAGAAATAGTTAAAGCTGTACCTTCTCAGCAAACTTGGAGTAGAATCGGTCGTCGAGTTGTGTTTTAACAAACACAGAGAACCGGGAAACTTCTGGTTTAACTTCTGTCAATGCCAATCAGACTTCAAATGAAAATACAGAGGCTTTACGTCTCTCTTTATTCACAAGAGGAAACACCATGACACGCCTTCTATTCCTCCGTGTTACATTTGGCAAGCGTTGGGCAAGTTACGTCAAATACATTATGTGTTACTTATTATTGTTATTTCAAAATAATGTATTACACTACAATATTACTGTCACTGAATTGTAATGCATTACACCACTACTGCATTACTTTTAAGTTACTTTTTCCAAATATATATATATATATGTGTATATATATATATACAGTATATACACTAAATGTAGCTTATGATGCTATTGCATGAAATTGATGAAGCTTTTGGTTAAAGAGCACTTAACTGTTATGTTCTACATCTTTATCTCCAACAAACTCTAAACAATGGAGTATGTCCATCTGTAAAATGTACAGATGTCCAACATGTCAGCTTCAGCCGCAGCCATCTTCTACAGGGGTCACCAACCTTTTTAAAGCCGCCGACATCCCCAAATTACATAGATACTTTAATAATTCCCGTAGGAGAAATTCATATGTCCAGGTTTGTTGTACAGTCTGACAGCCGAAGGAACAAAGGATCTCTTGAAACAATCCGCTCGGCAGCGCAGATTGCTCGTGGGCTTCTCTATAATGTTGGATTCAAATGAAATGTGCGTTGCACAGATCAGTCAAAAATGGGGAATGGAACATCTCTCTGGGCTCACTCCATCCTCCAGACGGCAATTTCACTGGCTATTATTTATATTGTAATGTATTAATCTCAGTTATCCATATTATTTGAAACAATATTTTACACAATTTAGTTCTTCTTACAATTTAAGATATGCAAATCAATTATTTTTTTGTTGTTCCTAGAATTTGAAAAGAAATAGGCAAATTTTCATTTCACCATAAAGCACCTTTTGACTGGAATAACCTCCTTCTCTATCCGCTCTAGAGCCTCCTTTAACATGTATAAAAATGCCCTTTTGTCTCATCTACAGACACCTTGTAATGGTTTTGAAATGTGTGTTCTACAATGTCCTGCTGTAACTGATTTTGTTTACTGTAGAGCTGTGTGTGTGTGTGTGAGTGTGTGAGTGTCTGTGTCTGTGAGTGTCTGTGTGTGTGTGTCTGTGTGTGTGTGAGTGTCTGTGTGTGTGAGTGTATGTCTGTGTGTGAGTGTCTGTGTGTGTGTGTGTGTGTGTGAGTGTGTGTGTGTGTGTGTGTGTGTGTGTGTGTGTGTGTATGTGTGTGTGTCTGTGTGTGAGTGTCTGTGTGTGTGTGTGTGAGTGTCTGTGTGTGTGTGTGTGTGTGTGTGAGTGTCTGTGTCTGTCAGTGTCTGTGTGTGTGTGTCTGTGTGTGTGTGTGTGTGTGTGTGTGTGTGTGTGTGTGTGTGTATGTCTGTGTGTGAGTGTCTGTGTGTGTGAGTGAGTGTCTGTGTGTGAGTGTATGTCTGTGTGTGTGTCTGTGTGTGAGTGTATGTCTGTGTGTGTGTGAGTGTATGTCTGTGTGTGTGAGTGTATGTCTGTGTGTGTGTGAGTGTATGTCTGTGTGTGTGTGAGTGTATGTCTGTGTGTGTGTGAGTGTATGTCTGTGTGTGTGTGAGTGTATGTCTGTGTGTGTGTCTGTGTGTGAGTATCTGTGTGTGTGTCTGTGTGTGAGTATCTGTGTGTGTATGTCTGTGTGTGTGTGTGTATGTCTGTGTGTGTGAGTGTATGTCTGTGTGTGTGTGAGTATCTCCCCAGACTGGCGCGTGATTGGCTTGAACACCTAGATGTTCTACTGGAAAAGGGTTGGCGGGAGCGGGACAAGATGTATTCTCGAGTGTTTGTGAACTCACAAATACCGCAAGAATTCAGCCTGCAGGCAAGGTTACCCTCCTGCATCGGCAAGGAAAAAGGAAAACCCAGTGGGAAAAAGTGAGAAACCTCGGGAGACCACAGTGAGAAAGGGATCCGCTCCCATGGACGGACGGGCTGTAGATCCAGGACCTAAGCTACAGAACGTGGACAGGTCCGGTGCAGGACTGAAGCACTCCCAGGCGGGTCAGGCTAACATGGATTAGGATTTAAACGTCTCAAGTTCAATTATCTTACATTAATTTCAGTCCAATTATCAAAGGGCTTGTTATTTACTCTTATTTTATTGTCACTATTGCTGATTCTGGGTAAACTTGGGGTAAAATTGTTAAGTAAGGGATAACGTATATTACGCAAGTCATTATCGGAAAATAATTACAGACAGGGCGAGTGCGTCGGGGTCCGCTTCGCCCTGATTATACTGCTTTGTACCAACAGAACACACAACATAAACTTCAGTCCACTTTTAGGAATGTTGAAAGGTTTATTTAAAATAAGAAACAAAATAAAATAGTTCGCAAAGGCTTTCCCGTGGCTATGCTAGCAACAGTTAGGCTAGCAACTTCCAAACTAGAACTACACACACGTACACACACACACTTCAGAATGTACATACACACACGTACACACACACACTTCAGAATGTACATACACACACGTACACACACACACTTCAGAATGTACATACACACACGTACACACACACACTTCAGAATGTACATACACACACGTACACACACACACTTCAGAATGTACATACACACACACACACACTTCAGAATGTACATACACACACGTACACACACACACTTCAGAATGTACATACACACACACACACACTTCAGAATGTACATACACACACGTACACACACACACACTTCAGAATGTACATACACACACGTACACACACACACACACTTCAGAATGTACATACACACACGTACACACACACACACACTTCAGAATGTACATACACACATGTACACACACACACTTCAGAATGTACATACACACACGTACACTCACACACACACGTACACACACACACTTCAGAATGTACATACACACACGTACACACACACACTTCAGAATGTACATACACACACGTACACACACACACTTCAGAATGTACATACACACACGTACACACACACACACACGTACACACACACACACTTCAGAATGTACATACACACACGTACACTACACACACTTCAGAATGTACATACACACACGTACACACACACACACTTCAGAATGTACATACACACACGTACACACACACACACTTCAGAATGTACATACACACACGTACACACACACACACTTCAGAATGTACATACACACACGTACACACACACACACTTCAGAATGTACATACACACACGTACACACACACACACTTCAGAATGTACATCCCCACACACGTACCCCCACACCCCCACCCCCCCACCCCCCCCCCCCCACCCCCCCCCCCCCCCCCCCACCCCCCCCCCCCCCCCCCCCCCCCCCCCCCCCCCCCCCCCCCCCCCCCCCCACCCCCCCCCCCCCCCCCCCCCCCCCCCCCCCCCCCCCCCCCCCCCCCCCCCCCCCCCCCCCCCCCCCCCCCCCCCCCCCCCCCCCCCCCCCCCCCCCCCCCCCCCCCCCCCCCCCCCCCCCCCCACCCCCCCCCCCCCCCCCCCCCCCCCCCCCCCCCCCCCCTCCCCCCCCCCCCCCCCCCCCCCCCCCCCCCCCCCCCCCCCCCCCCCCCCCCCCCCCCCCCCCCCCCCCCCCCCCCCCCCCCCCCCCCCCCCCCCCCCCCCCCCCCCCCCCCCCCCCCCCCCCCCCCCCCCCCCCCCCCCCCCCCCCCCCCCCCCCCCCCCCCCCCCCCCCCCCCCCCCCCCCCCCCCCCCCCCCCCCCCCCCCCCCCCCCCCCCCCCCCCCCCCCCCCCCCCCCCCCCCCCCCCCCCCCCCCCCCCCCCCCCCCCCCCCCCCCCCCCCCCCCCCCCCCCCCCCCCCCCCCCCCCCCCCCCCCCCCCCCCCCCCCCCCCCCCCCCCCCCCCCCCCCCCCCCCCCCCCCCCCCCCCCCCCCCCCCCCCCCCCCCCCCCCCCCCCCCCCCCCCCCCCCCCCCCCCCCCCCCCCCCCCCCCCCCCCCCCCCCCCCCCCCCCCCCCCCCCCCCCCCCCCCCCCCCCCCCCCCCCCCCCCCCCCCCCCCCCCCCCCCCCCCCCCCCCCCCCCCCCCCCCCCCCCCCCCCCCCCCCCCCCCCCCCCCCCCCCCCCCCCCCCCCCCCCCCCCCCCCCCCCCCCCCCCCCCCCCCCCCCCCCCCCCCCCCCCCCCCCCCCCCCCCCCCCCCCCCCCCCCCCCCCCCCCCCCCCCCCCCCCCCCCCCCCCCCCCCCCCCCCCCCCCCCCCCCCCCCCCCCCCCCCCCCCCCCCCCCCCCCCCCCCCCCCCCCCCCCCCCCCCCCCCCCCCCCCCCCCCCCCCCCCCCCCCCCCCCCCCCCCCCCCCCCCCCCCCCCCCCCCCCCCCCCCCCCCCCCCCCCCCCCCCCCCCCCCCCCCCCCCCCCCCCCCCCCCCCCCCCCCCCCCCCCCCCCCCCCCCCCCCCCCCCCCCCCCCCCCCCCCCCCCCCCCCCCCCCCCCCCCCCCCCCCCCCCCCGCTACACTCGACTCCGCCTGCTCACACTCTGACCTCCTCCTCCTCTCCACTCTGCCTCCTTCCTCCGTCATACCCACTTGACCTCCCTCCCTCTCCTCACACTCTGACCTCCTCCTCCTTCCTGGCTCACACGCTGACCTCCGCCTCCTGCCTCTATACTCGGGACCTCATCCTCCTCCTCATCACTTGACCTCCTCACACTCTGGGACCTCCTCCTCCTGCTCACACTCTGTCCCTCTCCTCCTCCTCACCACTTGGACCTCCTCCGCCTGCTCACCACTCTGGACCTCCCTCCTCCTCATCCTCACACGCTGACCTCCTCCTACCTGCTCACCACTCTGAACCTCTCCTCCTCTCCTCACACTTGCCCTCCTCCCTCCGGCTCACACTTGACTCCTCATCCTCAACACACTCTGACTCCTCCTCCTCCTGCTCACACTCTGACTCCTCCTCTCACACTGTGACCTTCTCCTCCTTAGACTCTGTCCTACTCCTTCCTCCTCCACACACTCTGACCTCCTCACTCCTCAGTCTTCTGTCCTACTCCTCCGCCACACACTGTGACTCCTCTCCTTAGACTCTGACCTAACTACCTCCTCCTCACACTCTGACCTCCTCCGTCTCATAACTCTTGACCTCTCCTCCACACACTCTTGACCTCCTCATCCTGCACACACTCTGACAGTACTCCTCCTCCACACACTTTGTCCTCCTCATCCTCCTCAGACTGCGGACGACTTGCCTCCACACGCTCTGACCTCCTCACACCTCTGTCCCCTCCTCCTCATCACACTCTGACTCCTCCTCCACACAACTCTGAACTCCGCCGCCTCACACTCTGACCCTCCTCCACACACTCTGACTCATCCTCCTCACACTCTGACCCCTCCTCCTCAGACTACTCTGACTCTCCCTTCCGCCCACACCTCTGACTCCTCCTCCTCCCTCACACTCTGTCCTTCCTCCTCCACACCACTCTGGACCTCCTCCTCCTCCACACACTCGGTACCTCCTCCTCCTCCTCACACTTGTACCTCCTCCGCCCACGCTTGTCCTCCTCCTCCTCCTCACCTCTGGCCTCCGCCTCCTCCACACCACTCTGGCCTCCTCCGCCTCCATACACTCTGCGGGCTCCTCCTCACACTCTGGCCCTCCTCCTACTCCTCACCTTGACCTCCTCCTCCACACACTCTGATCTCCCCTCCATACACGTTGACCCGCCTCCTCACGCACACTCGGACCTCCTCTCCTCTGACTCTGACCTACGCCGCCTCCTACTTACATCTCTGATCTCCTACGCCTCAGACTATGACCTACTCTCCTCCTCACACACGCTATCCGCCTCCTCCGCCACTATCACGCTGATTCCTCCTCCTCCTGCTCACACTCTGAACCTCCTCCGCTCTCACACACTTGGACCTCCTCTCTCCGCCACACACTCTGGTCGCTCTCCTCCTGCTCACGCTCTGGTAACCGCCTCCGCCTCCTCCACACACGCTGACCTCCATCTCCTCCATCACACGCGGACCTCGCCGTGCCGCCGGCTCACGCTCTGACCTCCTCCTCCTCTGCTCACACTCTGCCGCGCCTGCCGCCCGCCTACAAATTCTGACCTCCGCGTCCAGTCCTCCATACACTCGGGCCTCCTCCTCTGCTCACCTCGGACCTCCTGCACTCCACTCACTCTGGACCTCCGTCCTCCTCAGACTCTGACCTACTCCTCCTCACTACTCTCTCTGTACCTCCTCCTCCGCCCAACGCTGACCTCCTCCTCACGCCTCACACGTGACCGCCTCCTCCTCCTGCACTCTCTGGAAGGACTCCTCCTCCAACACACTCTGACCTCCTCTCCTCCTCACACGCGGACGCTTCTCCTCCTGCGTCACACTCCTGACCTCCTTCCCCTCCACACTACCCTCTGACCTCCTCCTCCCTCCTAACTCTCTGAGCCTCACCTCCTCCCTCCTGGCTCACACTCGACCTCCCTCCTCCCTCCACTCATTCTGACCTCTCCGTCTCAGACTCTGACTACTCCTCCTCCACACACTCTTCTGTCCTCCTCCTTATACTTCTTTTGTACCTCCGTATTCCTCAAACTCTGATCCTCCTCCTCCCACACGCTGACCTCTCTCTCCTCCACTCTGACCGCCTCCTCCTCCCTCACTCTGACCTCCCGCCTCCATCACACTGGACATCCTCCTCCTCCTCACACTCTGGACTCCTCCTCACTCTCTGACCTGCTCCTCCACACTCTTACCTCCTCCGCCTCCCATCACGCTGGCCTCTCCTCCGACTACGACACTCTGGCCTGCTCGCCTCCTCCACACACTCTGGCTTCCTCCGCCTCACACTCTGGCCTCCTGCCTACTCCGCACACTCGGGACCTCCTCCTCACACACGTCTGGTCTCCTCCTCCAGACTCTCTGTCCTGCCTCTCATCACACTCTGACCGCCTCCGCTCATGACTCTGACTATCCTCCTCTCCACTATTACACTGGTCCTCCTCCTGCCTCAGACTCTGACCTTCTCCTCCGCCTCCACAAGTCTGCTCCTCCTCATCCTCACACGCTGGACTCCTCCTCCTCCACGAACTCTGCACCGCCGCCTCCTCCACACCACTTGACCTCCTCTCCTCCTGCTCACGCGCGGACAGCTCCGCCTCCACATCACTCTGACCGCCTCCTCCTCCACACACTGCGGAAATCCTCGCCTCCTGCGCACGCGTCTGACTCCTCCTCCTCCTGCTCACACTCTGTACCTCGCCTCCTCCACACATTCTGCTCACGCCTAGCCAGACACGCTGGCCTTCCTCCTCGCACACTCTGACCTCCTCCTTCACACACACTTGACCTCCTCCTCCTCGTCTCTGCCCGACGCCTCAGCACACACTCGGATCTCCTCCTCCTCCATCAACTTGAGGACCTCTCGCCTTCACTCTGACCTCCTCCCGCCTACCTACACACCTCTGACGGACTCCTCCTCCATCACACTCTGACCCTCTCCGTCCTCCGCCTCACTCTCACTGTCCGACCTACTCACCTCCGGCGGTCACTACTCTGCACCTCGCCCCGCACACACTCTGACCTACTCCTCCTCCTCACACTCTGACCTCCTCCTCCTCCTTGCTCACACTCTGATCCTCCTCCTCCGCCCAACTGGTTGTCCTCCGCATCTCAGAGACTGCTGACTACTCTTCCTCCACAACTCGTCCGGCCGCCTGACATCTGTACCTCCTCCGACCTCAAACTTGTACGCCTCCTCCTCACACACTCGGACCCTCTCCTCCTCACACTCTGACTCTCCTCCACCACCACTCTGACTCCTCCTCCACACACTCTGAACCTCTCTTCCTCACACATTGGACCTCCTCCTCCTCTTCACCTTGACCTCCTTCCTCCTCCCTCACACTCTGGCCTCCTCCTCCTCACACACTCTGGCCTGTTCTCTCTCTCCACACACTCTGGCTTCCTCCTCCTCTCACCCTCCTGGCCTCCTCCTACGCCTCACACTCTGGCCTCCGCCTAGCTCCTCTCACTCTGTCCTCCGTCCTCCTCACACACACCTGACTCCTCCTCCCTACATACGTGACTCCTCCTCTCACAATCGGACCGCCTCGTCCGCACACTCTGAACCTCCTCATCCGCACACTCTGACCTGCTCCTCCTCCTGTCCACACTCTGACCTCCTCCTCCTCAGACTGTGACCTACTCCTCCATCCTTCACACTCGGTCCTCCCGCCTCCTCTCCAACTCTGGACCTCCTCTCACACTCTGAACTCCCCTCCTCCTCAACTCTGACAATCCTCCTCACACTCTGACCTCCTACTCCTCCTAACACTCTGGCCTCACATCACCTCTGGCTTCCTCCTCCTCACACTCTTGGACCTCCTCCTACTCCTCACACGTGGACTCCTCCGACCATACATCTTGACCTGCTCCTCCTTCCCTCACACTCTGACCTCTCCTCCTCGACCTTGACTACTCCTTCCCTCCTCACCATCTGACCTCTCCTTCCTACACAACTCTGACCTCCTCCTCCACACACTCTGACCTCCTCCTCCCACACCTTGACCTCCTCCTCACACTGACCTCCTCCTCCTCTACACACTCTGACCTCCACCTCCTCCTCCACCCATACCTCTGACTTCCTCCCTCATGGAGGGAGTATTTATCTTGGCAGCCACTACCATCCCAACGCTGCCAAAATTAGTATTTCAAAAAAAACAAACATTTAAATGGCGGGGTACATAAACTAGTCCTTGCGGCGGTTTTGAACCACGAGTCTGAGTTGACATGCTCCTCTTTATGCATAACGTTTGCAAGGGTAGCTGGAGTTTGTGAAGGCTCTGGTTGATCCTTATACAACTCTAGATTTACCAAAGACAATACCCCTAATAAAAAACCTGGGAGCCCTAAAGCTACAGGTATAAGGGCGAGTGTGACAGATGTAAACTGGCTAGAGTTATTTTACTATTTAATGGAGCCGAGTTTGACTCAGACACCATTGTGCTTTATTGAGCTAGCTTGTTAGAATCGTCCATCTGTTGGTCTATGGTTTCATGTTTTTTGGTTCAAACCATGTGTAGGCTACATGAGACTCTCCTGAACTCTGGAGATCTAAGGAAAAACACATCCGTTTAAAATATGGAGTTTGTTTAAATACATTGAAACAGAAAAACCCCCATTAAGCCAGATTATACAGAACAGGAATGTTATATAAGAGTATTTGTTAAAACCCTACAGAGGGGAAACAGGATGTGCAGTTTTATCCACAGGGATAAACTGCAGTATAGTAATATACTATAATTGTATAGCCCTTTATAAGGCATTGGCCATTTTTCACTCCATTTCCCTTCCATTTTCTTCTGCTTATCTGTTGCCAGGTCGCAGGGGGCAGCAGTCTAAAGCAGAGGACTCCCAACTGAGGAGGAGTCTCCACTTGGAGAAGGGCAAGGCACATTATCCGGTCGAGCACCATGCTCGGAATTGGAGCTGCTCTCATCACCCAACGCTTACCACTCGGCCCGCAAACCGTCCAGTGCATGTTGAGGGTCTGGTTCATTGGAGAACCCCCCAAAGTTACACCCGGGGGAACCCCACGGTCGAACGCCTCTCCCAAATCCCACTCAGCACATGTGGACAGGTTGGGCGGAAACTCCCATGAACCCTCGAGTATCCGATGGAGAGTTATAGAGTGGTCCAGTGTTCCACGGCCTGGGACCAAAACCACCACTGCTCCCCTCCTGAATCATTGTTTTATCATTACATCACAATTTTGAAGCCAAAATTAGTGAAACGGCCCACGGTGGTTGTACATTTAAGAGATATAGGCTTTTTCCTTGACATGAATGGGGGTGTTAACAAAATAAGGCATATGTTCCTTATTGACTTATGAATTAGGATCCCCGAAACCTGCCACATTTCGAACCATTTTGGAAAACCTAATCACATTTCCATGTAAATATTGACTTTTGCTTACTTGAAAAAAAAAAGTATTGTACTTAATATATGGCTACATTACGCAGTCTACAATTTCTGCTTGAATGTTCATGTTGATTATTTTGAAAAGAGAGAAGTTTAAGTCAGAATTTACTAAAATTTGTTGGTTAAAAGTATTTTTTGCCTGTTCACTTTAATGTTACACATGACACTTTATCCTGAAATACAGTGTATTTTTTCACTTAATTTATCCCATAAATATGAGAATTTTTTTATTGTAGGAATATTTTTGACCAATATATCGATATTCGCTGCATAGTCCTATTGTGAGATAATCGTTATCGTGAGCTTTGTATCGCACATCGTATCGTATCGTGAGGTACCTTGAGGTTCCCACCCTACAAACGTGTTATACATTTTAACTAACTTGACCTGGGACCCCCTCCCATAGGTGCAATATAAACTGACTTTTGTAGGGGGCGCTGTTTTGCCGTTTTTTTTTTGTCCCAAAAAAGAAACACAAATAAGAATTTTTTGCTGGTTCTGAATTTTGGGAAACATTTTGCAACTTTTCATGAATGTTCAGGGGGTCAAATTAAGGTTCAAAGTGCAGAAGAAAAAATAAATTAATAAATAATAGATAAGGATTGTTTCTCCGAATCGAATATAGATTTTCAGGGTAATCTTTAATACAAATGGTTCACTGTTTTAAAGAGAACGCAACTATTGTGTTTGTCCGCACTGATATCTTGGATTTATCAGTGTCTGGGCCGTCAGGCTTGGGGTCACAATGTCCGCGCTGCGCCAGGAGCTGGAGAGGAGGAGGAACGGCAGGAGAAGAAGAGGGACAGTGAGCTTGAGAGAGGAGGAGCGGAGGAAGCGGGCAGGAGATCTGGAGGAGGTCAGTCAGGTATTGAAGAGTGAGGTTGTGGATGGCTTTGAATGTGAGGAGCAGGACTTTGGATGCAGTGAGTGATGGAGCCAGTGCAGCTGTTTGAGGACAGGGGTGATGTGGTTGATGGAGGCTGTTTGAGGACAGGGGTGATGTGGTTGATGGAGGCCGTTTGAGGACAGGGGTGATGTGGTTGATGGAGGCTGTTTGAGGACAGGGGTGATGTGGTTGATGGAGGCTGTTTGAGGACAGGGGTGATGTGGTTGATGGAGGCTGTTTGAGGACAGGGGTGATGTGGTTGATGGAGGCTGTTTGAGGACAGGGGTGATGTGGTTGATGGCGGCGGTGTGTGTGATGAGGCGGTTTGGACCAGTTTGAGTTCATGGAGGGTTTTTTGAGGGAGACGGAACGGGAGGAGTTAGAGTAGTCGGGGCGGGAGGGGACGAGGCTGTGGTTGAGGTGTAGGAGGAGGTAAAAGGGCGGAGTCGGCGGATGTTTCTGAGGTGGAAGTAGGCAATTCTTCACCTAAGGAGAGGGGGAAATGGAGGAGCTGTCAATGGGAATGGAAACATTTTTGATTTTATTGAGGGTGGATTTTCATTTCAATTTTAATTTTCATCCTTTTATTTATTAATTTTGCTCGGTCGGGGGGAGGTGGCAATCAGAGCTGCCACCCAATTCACAAAGCACTAGTCCCTCGCTGATGGTGGGTCCACTGGAAGATATCTGCTCCTTCAACAAAGATACAGGCAGGCTCAGCGGGGGCTTCAGGCAAAGTGGGGTTAAGTGTCTTGCTCAGTGACACACAGTAGATATCAGTGGGAGCAGATGACATGGGTCGTGGTGGGATCGAACCCACTCTACCAACTGAGCCACTGTCGCCCCGGAGTTCAGTTTTATTGCTGTTAATTTTGAGGAAGTTTGCGGTGAACTTTATTTCATGGAGGCAGTTAGTGAGAGAGGAGCACCGTGGCCTTGAGGTTTAGTTAAGGTTTTTGGAAGTATTCGGTCTAAGGCGTCAGCTGCCAAAGGTACATCCAACATAAGGCTCAGTGATGCGAACCAGGAGTGTCCAGTGATGGCTCTGATTGCGGGGAATGCTACTGGAACAGTCTTCCTAATTTCGGGAGGCCTCATCTTTAACATTGTACAAATCTAAGCTGAAAAACGTTCTTTTAAGCTGTGAATATAAATTTTAAATATTGAGTTTCTATAGTTTTAATTCTGACATTCACTCTAAAATTTTTATTTTCTTTCTTCATTATTATTATTATTATTATTATTATTTTGTATCATTATTTTTTACCTTATGTTTTAAAATGTTTGTAAATGTATATGATTTTATATCCGTGTAAAACACTTTGGGGTTAACTGCAAGCATTGCGCTTCATAAATAAACTTGATTGACTGATACTTTCTAATCTCCAACTTCATGAAGGCACAATAGATCACACAGTACTTCAGTAAATATGTTTATGATTCCTGGTCCTTAAGGTCATACGCTTTGGGGAAGGAGGTGGGGGTATGGGGACGTGGACTCAGGGGAAAATCCATCCTTTCCTCACTGAGAATAAGATCTGAGAGACTCCAGGTGGTCCCAGCTCAGATCCCCCAATCCTCCATCAATGCTCCATGGGTTCTTGACTCAGGATATTCATCAGGTACTTATTTCCTTTGGAGTGCTCGCTCACCTTTTTCAGAAGATCTTCCCTTCCCTCTTTTTTCAGTTTAGTCACAAACCTCTCAAAGATCAGGCCCACAGGGCGTGAAAATTCAATGACACTGCTGGTTTCTGATGGTAAGCTGTAGGTGAAGCCTGCTGAGTGCATCCCAAAGACCTTGCACTGGTTATCAAACACAGGGGAGCCAGAGGAGCCGTAGTACATGAACGTGTTATAAGTTGTTACATCGAGAATATCACGCAGGATATTTTCGATGTTCATGTTTATGAGATGTTGAGTGAGAGACAAAGCCATCGGAAAGTGGCTAAAAACACGCATGCGCAAGATGGCGGACGCATTTGTTTGGAGCCTTTTTTGAGTTGCACATTTTTATGAGTTATTTTTAAAACTAAGTTTCTTTTACTGGTTTTATTTGCCCTGCTCGACGGAGTAAGCGGATTTTAACAGACTGCATCAAAAAGGATTACTGTCACTTTTAACAGGACTGTCTATCAGCCTTTTACCGGTAACCACTACACATCACCATGGACACCGATGCTCCCCCCGCGAACTCATACAAACAGATATACAAATCACAACTGGCTTCAATCCTCCCATCAAAACCAGTAAACACCATGACCCCCGAGGACCTTCAGCGCACTGTCACAGAACTATCCACCGAACTCATACAAAAAGAGAAACTTCTGGAACATTTCATGGACATATCATTCAAACAGTCACAGCAAATCTCACTCTCCGTACTTAGACACTCACAGCTCGCCACCACACTCCACGACACTGCACTCTGGGATCCAATCGCCTGTCCTCACCCCTCATCATGCTCTACCCCGGTGCTTACCTCACGCTTCCCGGTTGCTCCTGTCCCTCCGGTGCTCTTCCCTCCTCTACGGTCCCGGAGCCTGCTGCCCATACCCAGAGCGGCGCGGAGCAGAGGCCTGGAGGCCACACGACATCCACAGCGTCCTCTCGCCGCAGGTTGGTGGAGGAGGCTGTGCGCAGACGCTCGGGGAGCTTCCCACGCTCTAAAACAGCGCGGGGCTCTCCGGGTGTCACGCAGGACCAACTGCGGGAAGCCCCGGGGGGATCTCTGTGCCCCGACGCGCCCGTCCCCTGCTCTCCCCCGGGCCCTACTCCAGTCACACCCCCCCCTCCACGACCTCTGTTTGCACCAACTACACTCCTGGTGGGAGATTCTATCATCAAACACTGTAAGTTCTTCAATGCCATCACGCACTGCTTTCCCGGAGCCACTGTCCCTACCATCCTCACTAAACTACCCGCACTTCTACAGACAGCACCCCCCACAATAACCCGGATCATAATTCATGTTGGTACAAATGATGCTGCACTCCGCCAATCTGAAATCACCAAACTCCATTTTAAGGACCTTTTTAACCTTTTATCAAAAACCGGAAAAAGTGTTTTTATCTCTGGCCCTCTGCCCACGTTGAACCGGGGCGTGGAACGTTTTAGCAGGATACTATCACTCAACACTTGGCTTCAAAATTCATCACAGCAGCACAACTTTGGTTTTATTGACAATTTTAATTTGTTCTGGAACCGCCACCCCTTCTTCACACCCGATGGACTCCATATCAATAAACTCGGCACCCGGTACCTGATTTCAAACATCACCCACTCAGTTCAATCCCGTCCCCCGCACCTCTGACAACCCATCACTCCATCCCACATCATTCCTGCCCCGCTGGACTCCAACATCAGTCCCTGCTCCCCCCCCCAGCAAGGAATTTCAGTTCTGTCCAGACCCCGCCCCTACAGACCGCCCATAATCCGGAAACCGTCCCTCAACACCCTCATCCCTGTTGCCCTTTGCTCCTCCACATCATCTTCTCCCCTCACTACAAACAAAAATGACTCTTCATCCACCATCAGGTTTGCTCTTTTAAATGTACGCTCTCTTTTAAATAGAACTTTTATCATTAATGATTTGATTTTACAACACAAACTGGATGCTATGTTTTTAACTGAGACCTGGCTGGGTCCGGATGCTCCGGCTGTTCTCACAGAGGCCTCCCCTCCCGATTTTAGCTTTGCTTTTAAAACAAGAGAAGGAAGAAGAGGTGGTGGCACAGCCTCAATTTGGAAAAACACCCTGGCCACCAAAACCATTAATTTTAACCAATACTCAAGTTTTGAGTATCATGCCCTTGTTTTTAGCAGCCCCGAAATTTTAGCAGTAACCATCTATCGGCCACCAAAAAAGTGCAGCCGTTTTATCAATGAATTTTCAGAGTTTTTATCTTTTTTATACAATTCCTATAATAGGATTGTTTTAACCGGTGATTTTAACATCCACTTTGACAACCCATCAGACCATTTTACCTGCGAGTTTGTAAGTATTTTAAATTACATGGATTTTACTCAACATGTCACACAGCCGACGCACAACAGAGGGCACACCCTCGACCTGGTCATTACTTATGGCCTGAGTGCGGGTGTGTCCTCTGTTGTTGACCTGGCTATCTCTGACCACTATTGTGTGTTTTTTAAAATCACTGGTTTTGTTAAACAGGAGACCTCTGTGAGAACTGTGAAGAAACGACGTCTAACCCCTGGCGTGGCTGCAAATTTTATGGACATTCTAAATAACACTCCTCAGTTGGTTTTACCTGCCCCCTGTGATTTTATAGCAGATGATTTTAACAGTAGACTAAGAACTACACTGGATCAGGTTGCTCCATTAAAAATTGTAACCATTCAACAAAAATCTATAGCCCCTTGGAAAAATGAGGAAGCAAGGAGTATGAAAAGACAGTGCAGGGTGGCAGAGCGAAGATGGAGAAAAAATAAAACGACAATCAATCACGAAATATATAAAAACCGACAGCAAATTTACAACAACACAATCAGGAAAAACAGGAACAATTACTTTGCAAAACTAATCAGCCAGAACAAAAATAATCCACAAATCCTCTTTTCAACCATCAACACCATTTTAAACCCTGATTTTAGCATGTCTCTTTTAACCCCCACAGACTCCCTCTGTGAGGATTTTGCAGTCCACTTCATGGGGAAGATAAATACAATCAGATGTAACATTTTATCCAACCGCACTACTGTTTTTAACACATCTGATTGTTTGTCTTCACCAGAGGAAACACTGGACAGTTTTGTCCTGGTTGATGCTGAGATGCTTGATAAAGTTTTCTCCTCAGTGAGGCCCACCACATGTCTTTTAGATCCAGTCCCCACTCCATTTTTTAAGTCATTTTATGAATCTTTTAGAGAGGAGCTTTTAAACCTGATGAATTGCTCTCTGCAGACTGGGGTCTTTCCTGCAGCCTTCAAAGCGGCTGTGGTGAGGCCCCTTCTGAAGAAGAGCAATTTGGATTTTAATGATTTTAACAACTACAGACCGGTATCCAACTTACCATTTTTAAGCAAAATTTTAGAAAAACTTGTTTTTACCCAGCTCAATGCCTTTTTAGATCAGCAGCAAATTTTAGAGAAATTTCAATCAGGATTTAGGGTGAACCACAGCACAGAGACTGCTCTTTTAAAGATTTTAAATGATTTTAGACTAAATTATGATTCTAAAAAGGTGACCGTGTTGGTTCTACTGGATCTTAGCGCTGCCTTCGACACAGTAGACCACACCATTCTTTTATCACGCCTACAACACCTCGGCCTCTCTGGTGCTGTCCACAAATGGTTCACTTCTTATTTAACAGACAGATCCTTCATGGTAAGTTTGGATACCTGCTCCTCTCAGGTCCATAAAATCACATGTGGTGTGCCCCAGGGTTCCATTTTAGGTCCAGTCCTTTTTAACCTGTACATGCTCCCTCTTGGCGGTGTCATCAGGAGACATGGAATTGACTTCCACAGTTATGCAGATGATACACAGCTGTACATCTCCATGTCTCCTGACAACACCAGGCCAATGGATGCTCTTTTTAACTGCATTTTAGACCTGAAATCCTGGATGGCAGAGAACTTTCTCCAGCTCAACCAGGACAAAACTGAGGTTTTAGTCATCGGCCCTGAGGCCCAGAGAGAGAAACTTTTATCAAAACTCCAATCACACTCTTTTAATCCATCATCACAAGTGAAAAACCTGGGCGTAATCTTTGACTCTGAGCTGACTTTTATTCCTCACATCAAGAACATCACAAAAATAGGTTTTTATCATTTAAAGAACATCGCCAGAGTCCGCCCCATTCTCTCTCGGGCCAACACGGAGACGCTGATGCATGCTTTTATCACCAGTCGCATTGACTACTGTAATGCCCTGCTCTCTGGTCTTCCCAAAAAGAACATTTCAGGTTTACAATTACTTCAAAACTCGGCCGCACGTGTCCTGACTAAGACCAGGGGGCGGGACCACATTACACCGGTTTTAAAATTGCTGCATTGGCTCCCTGTGTGTTTCAGGATCGATTTTAAGGTTCTTTTAATGGTTTTTAAATGTCTTAATGGTCTTGGGCCTTCTTATCTTTCAGATTTGCTTTTATCCTATGAGCCTTCCCGGCCCCTGCGCTCCTCCGGCAGCAGACTCCTAACCATCCCCAAAGTCAGGACACACACTCACGGCGAGGCATCTTTCCAGCACTACGGCCCCCGTCTCTGGAACAGTCTGCCGGAGGAGCTCAGGGCCGCAGAGAACGTTCATATTTTTAAAAGCAGGTTTAAACAGCGCCCTCCTCTGGGCCGAGGTATCACTGCACATATTTAAAAGAATACTGAACATAACAGCCGTCAGACCATAGAATACACACACTAGGTGTGGCGCCCCCTGTAGGTGAAAGCCAGGTGGTTAAGAAAGTCCTGCACCTGGTTAATACTGGGATGGGAGACCTCTTGAAACACCCGCCCTCCTGTGATTCACCATGGGTTTGATGTGTGTGAATGGTTGGTGGTGGTGAATAAAGACATGATTCAATATCCACATACTCAGACTGTAGGTCTATAACCCTTCACAGACAAGTCTCATATACAGAGCCTCTATAAGTCTGTGGATATACAGACTGTATAAGTCCATGTTTATATACAGTACAAGTCTATGGTTATATGCAGACACTATACAGGTTATACAGTCTATGGATATAGCCATAGACAGTGTGTGGACAGATCATGATGTAAACAAGCCGCGCAGAGACTACATCTCCCAGCATGCTTTGCCCTGAGCTCCTGATTCTCTCGTATGTGAAGATTGTCCGTTAGAATGAGGACAGAGTGGTAAGACAGTCTATGGGTCAGACAGTCTATGGGTTGGAATGAGTCCTGCTGAGGATAAGACACGGACATAAAAACAAAATGTTTTTTTTAGAATAAAAAGCAGGTGCCGCGCGCGCTGGTCCCGCCTCTGCTCACGCACGCGCGTATGTATGATCGCTGCTGTGGACGCGTGTGCGCGCACCGTGTTATGATGCTTTATTAGCGTCCAGCAGAGACCGTGCTGAGGAGGCCCTGGACCCTGGTGTATCTTCAGCCTATGGTCAGACCCTCGCGCTCTATGGTCAGACCCACGCGCTCATTCATTGTGTTGCGCACGGAGCGGCAGAGCGGCAGAGCGGAGCGGCAGCGGCGCGGTAGAGCGGCAGCTGTACTGGGTCAATATTTGGGCCCGGAGCCTCGGAGCTGCAGCCTGAGCAGGTGAGCATGGTCCCCGGGCTCCATTGGACACATCTAACCTGAGTGTGTGTCTACAGCACCTCCAGAACCCCCCCACATGTCCTGCCCCCACTGCATGCCGCGTACCGCGCACTGAGGCCAGGCTCGCGTCTGCGCGCACCGCCCTCTTGTGTTTATCACCAGCCGTGTTTGTGCTGCTGTTTATTTATTCAAGCTGTTGTCAATGAGTGAAAATGCAGAGATTGTGAGTGTGTCCGTGCAACATGACGCCATCTTTATTTACATGGATTTCAGCGATATGTTTGTTAAATCCCTGCGGCTAACTGCCGCCTAGCTGCCGCAGCTAACAGACGCGGAGCCTGGGCTGGTCTCTTAGCTCCGTTAGCTCCGTTAGCTTCGTAAGCTTCAGCTGGAGCCTTCCCCGCTCCTGTCGTGGCCTCAGTCCGGGCTCTGGGCCTCACATCCCTGCCAGTTCTGGCCACGGTGTCCGGAGAGTTTGGCTCTTGGCTTATTCAAACGCATAACTATATTAATGTAGATAATTTTACATTTAGCCCTGAGGAGCGCTGTTGGCTGCATGCTAACGCCTGGATGATGGAGCGGAGAAGCCGCGGGCCTCATCCCGGGGAGAGGCTTCTGAAGCCGGCCTCTGAGCTCCGACACACCGCCTACATCCTCCCACCTCCACATTTACTCCACCACGTGCTTCACTTGTAAAACCATGAAGTCTGATCCCAAACTGAAACGGTGTGTGACCTGATGTAACTCCGTGTGCAGCTGCTGCTCAATCACTGTGATCAGTTCAGTGATGTAGTGATGGTCAATGGTCCTTCACCTCCCATCAATCACAGAAAGCATTATTAATTTACTGGAAAAATAATCCATGGAAAGCATTAGTTAAGATCTCAATTTCTATTTGAGATGCAGTCTTTTTATGTAAACAATAATTAAATATATATTTATTTGAAAAAGGGCAATAAACATTGAAGATGAATCCCGTTATGTAAATTTCATCTCATTAATAACTTGTGGTCTCATTAAAAACCACAAGTTATACGTAATCGTCAGTTTAGGGAAATGTGTCGTTTGCATTTGACCCCCTTTGGGCCCTGAGAAGCAGTGGTCTCAGGTCAGCGCCTGGGGCCCAGCTCCAGGTGTTTATGTTCTTGGTCAGGACCAGAGCTGGAGGATTATTTAAAAAAAATTATACATGTTTTTAGTGGTAGGGAAAACTGTAGCACTCGGTTACAAATACATGGGGATAAAATGCAAATTTCTCAAAGAAAGGCCCTGTCTGGAGGTGGAATCGAACCCACAACCTTCTTGCTGTGAGCATAAGAGCCACTGTGTCGCTGAAGAAATTGGACAGTTGTAACTCCTGCAGCTGGGATGAGATTATACCAGCTTTAACCCCATAGGCCCACAGACCCTGGGCTCGGGTTGTGTCTTTACCGCACAGACCCTGGGCTCGGGTTGTGTCTTACCGTACAGACCCTGGGCTCGGGTTGTGTCTTTACCGCACAGACCCTGGGCTCGGGTTGTGTCTTTACCGCACAGACCCTGGGCTCGGGTTGTGTCTTTACCGCACAGACCCTGGGCTCGGGTTGTGTCTTTACCGTACAGACCCTGGGCTCGGGTTGTGTCTTTACCGCACAGACCCTGGCTCGGGTTGTGTCTTTACCGCACAGACCCTGGGCTCGGGTTGTGTCTTTACCGCACAGACCCTGGGCTCGGGTTGTGTCTTTACCGCACAGACCCTGGGCTCGGGTTGTGTCTTTACCGTACAGACCCTGGGCTCGGGTTGTGTCTTTACCGCACAGACCCTGGGCTCGGGTTGTGTCTTTACCGTACAGACCCTGGGCTCGGGTTGTGTCTTACCGTACAGACCCTGGGCTCGGGTTGTGTCTTACCGTACAGACCCTGGGCTCGCACAGGGCCACACAGGTTGCAGTCTACCAGGTTTGCGTCTGCTTACATCGTGGACCACTTTCACAATGATTTCAGTGATTTCACCTTAGTTCCGGTTTCACAAATGGGTAAAAGATTTCAGGACGTGAGGGCGACCTGCCCCCAGTGGCGTTCCAAGGGTACCCCGGGGCCCCAGGAAACAGTCTTTGGGGGCCCCAATAACGACCACATAACCACATAAAACGGTTTATATTACAGTAGGTATACATAATTATAGATTATATAATAAGGTAAAATGCAATATATATTACTTGTTTACATAAATATAAATTAAATGTAGATAATTTCTTATTTTTAACAATAAATGGATCGGCCTGGGGCCTGCCTGGCAGACTGTACAGTCTGCCATAGAAAATAGTGAGTGCTTCAGTACTTATCGTGACACAAAGCAATGAGAAATGATTTAGCATGGCTTTTTAAAAGCTTGTTCATTACACTAATCATGTTATAATTAATTACAAAAACTACCTATCAAAGTATAATAATCCTACAAAATCTTAGCGCTTTAATCTGCAAAAAGCGGCTTGTTTTTATCTTTTACAGTTCTTGACCAATCTGTCATTGAATATAATGGAAATACCTCAGGCTGCCATCCCGCTCCCGCCTGGATTCGGACCCAAGTCGCTGGGGCGGGAGTGCAGTGACTTAACCACTACACCACTAGTTAAAACATGAAATGAGAAGCCCCGAGCAGGCTTTTTATTTGTTAATAAAAAACGTGGCAAGTTTTGCATCAGACGTAAAGTTTTTATCCGCCAACTCGTGACTGCAGGTAGCTGTTGTAGCCTGTACAAGTTGACCGCTTGTGTCTAGTCGGCCCTCGGGGGCCCCCTACCGGTTTGGGGGCCCCAGGCAGCTACCTGCCTTGCCTGTTGGTACGGGACGCCTCTGCCTGCCCCGAATTTACTCAAAGCGTCTTCAGCGCGTCTTCGTGAATATTTACCCTGGAACTGTCTGTTCATATTCTCGTAGGAAAGGTGTTGTATACGATTGTCCAGAGAGTTTATTGGGCCCAGTGTCTCTTGTGTGTGTCTGCCCGTATGCGTTGCGTTTCCAGGCCAATGTGTGGTTTGAAATAATTGGAGCACACACAGCAGCATGTGGAGGTAACCACAGGGATACCTGAAAAAAGATTCAACACTAAATAAAGGTATATCTCAGTTTGTTGCTCAAACAAAGTAGGAACTTGAAATTTTTCAACTGGGAAATATACCACTTAGTTGGAACGCAGCATTAGCATAGCTGAAAAAAACGTAATGACCATACATTTAGCTCAGTCATGGACATAGATGCGTTATGCTAACCCGTGAGCTCCGTGAATCCCTACAGGGAAATAAATTCAATTCAATAGATTTTTATATAGCTTTAAATCACAACAGTAGTTAAATCTGGACTTGAGGCAAAGATGCATTAGAATATTGTGTAGACACCAGCAGACTCATTAATTGGGTACTATTACACAAGTTGACAGCCAAAAATTGGTCAGGGGTTTCTCAACTGATTTAGACTAATGTTGGTGTTTGAGTCCGAATATCACATGCATTTTGCTCTATCAGGTCAACTTTTTGAAATACAGCCATAGTGTTACGGATTACGTACGTCTACGTTATTATGAATTCTGCTTATCAAATTTTATGGAGTAAATAAAAACTAAATGACTTTGGATACGTTGACTTTTTTTTGAAATTTGTTTTTTACGCAAAATCGATAAAAAAAAATATTACTGTAGCAAAAAATCCTGACCTGATTGAGCAAAACCAAGGTCATTTTCGGACTCAGAGCATCAACATTAGTCTAATTCAGCTGGAAAACCCTGGACTATTTTCAAAAAATATTTTTTTGTTACCCAGTGTTATGTTTATTGCGTATTAACATTAACTCACTGACTGCCAGGCATTTTCAGATTTGAGAAGTGCATTCTGCCAGCAATTTCAGGTGATTTGACCCAACTTTGAAGTGCCACAGAATATTCATTTTTTAGACGATGTAAACACCAAGGGCACCAAATTAAAGATTCACCTCTCTGCTTTACTCTGAAAAAAACAGTTTGTTTCTACCTCTTACCGTTCTTGCGTTATTCGCCATAGAACAAAGCATACTTTCACCCATAACACCTGGTCTGAGCAAGAAAACAGAGAAAACGAGCTGTATGTAAACAGGAACATATCAAGCAGAAAAGAGACTTTTAGATGCATTTTTGCTGCTTTAGTGACAACTCAAAACATCTTCACACTTGTTCCATAACACAAATTATAAAAACATGACTCTGAAATAATACTTTTGATGGCAAATTGTTGGCAATTTATTTACAGATAGAAAATTTAACTAAAATTTAACCAAAACGTCAAACAACAACACAAAGATCAATAAAACTATAGATGTATAAAATAGAATGAAGCATGTGAATTTGAGTGTGTGTGTGTGTGTGTGAATGTCAGTGTGCGAGTGAGTGTCTGTGTGAGTGAGTGTCTGTGTGTGTGAATGTCAGTGTGCGAGTGAGTGTCTGTGTGAGTGAGTGAGTGAGTGAGTGTCTGTGTGTGTGAGTGAGTGAGTGCGTGCGTGTGAGTGTTGCTGATACGCTGGAGAGGCGGAGGGCGTGTCTCTGCTCGGGGCTCTTGCTCCGCGCAAATGTGGCTGCAGAGACGGACCTCCACCGGGGTCTCCACTCTCTCCCCTCTCGACCCCACTCACTGATCCGCGAGTCAATCTCTGAAGCAGTGTTAACTGCTTATAACTATTTTCTTTTTCGCCATCACTCTTGCTATACTATTGCTAAACTAGATCACTGATCCGTCTCAATGCTACGCTATCATCGCACGCTCTGCTACAGAAGCACGCTGTCCAAAGACCCCACACTCCTCCTCCTCCTCTCCACTGACTTATGACCTCTCCTGTGGTGCAATACTGCATCCTACTGGTGGTGATTTATCATTACAGGTACATTTGCACTATATATCAGTGTTGTGGGTCATGCATAAGGTGCGCCAGATATTACTGCAGCCTCCCGTGTAATAACACGAAAAACTCGTCATACTCGTCATGGGCAGTGAGCGTCACTATTCAACATGACGAGTTTTGTCGTCATGGGCAGTGAATGAGTTAAATGCTCGTTATGCTTGATTAGACCCCGACAGGGATACTACATGATGTAAGCAGGTAGGAGTGGGAACCTAAGGGTACCTCATGATACGACGCGATACAAAGCTCACGATAACGATATAACGATATAACGATAATCGATATATTGGTCAGAAATATACAATATGCCAGTTTATGGCATAAATAAAAGAAAAAATACACTTTATTTCATGATAAATGAAATGGAGATGCGTAGTGTAGCCATATATTAAGTATTGATACCAATTTTCTTTTTCTAAGTAAAAAAAAAAAAACCTATACCCATTTTTTTTTTTTTTTTTTAAATCTATATCGATACATGGCAAATGCATATTGATAATCGAATCGCGGGAGAAAGTATCGCGATATATCAAAAAATCGATATATCGTCACACCCCTATATGCAGGACAGAGTTTAATAGATATGAGCTTTGAAACCCCGGGAACTAGACCCTGGTGGCGAAGAAGCTGAGCCGAAGACATGACATGATCCATCCATTCATCCATTTTCTTCCGCTTCATCCGTTACCGGGTCGCGGGGGCAGCAGTCTAAGCAGAGACGCCCAGACTTCCCTATCCACACACACTTCCTCCAGCTCGTCCGGGGGGACCCCAAGGCGTTCCCAGGCCAGCTGAGAGACATAGTCCCTCCAGCGTGTCATGGATCTTCCCCGGGGCCTCCTCCTGGTGGGACGTGCCCGGAACACCTTCCCAGGGAGGCGTCCAGGAACCAGGATCCGGAACAGATGCCCGAGCCACCTCAACTGGTTCCTTTCGACGTGGAGAAGCAGCGGCTCTACTCCGAGCTCCTCACCCTATCTCTAAGGGAGCGCCCAGCCACTCTGCGGAGGAAGCTCATTTCGACCGCTGGTATCCGCGATCTCGTTCTTCATGACCATAGGTGAGGGAGGGAACGGAGATTGACCGGTAAATCAAGAGCTTTGCCTTTTGGCTCAACTCCCTCTTTACCACAAAGGTCCGATACAGCGACCACATCACTGCGCACGCTGCACAGATTGGCCTGTCAATCTCACGCTTCATCCTTCCCTCACTCGTGAACAAGACCCCGAGATACTTGAACTCCTCCACTTGAGGAAGGACCTCTCCACCCACCTGGAGAGGGCAAGGCATCTTTTTCCGGGTCGAGCACCATGGCCTCAGATTTGGAGGTGCTGATTCTCATCCCAGTCGCTTCACACTCAGCTGCCCAGTGTGAGCTCCCGTCCCAGAGCATGTTGTAGGTCCTGATTTGTTGGAGCCAACAGGACAACATCGTCCGCAAACAGCAGAGATTAAATCCTGTGGTGCCCGATCCGGACCCCCTCCGGCCCCCGGCTGCGCCTAGAAATTATGTCCATAAACACAGTGAACAGAACCGGTGACAAAGGGCAGCCTTGGTGGAGGCCAACATGCACCGGGAACAGGTCTAACTTACTGCCGGCAATGCGAACGCAGCTCTGGCTCCGGTCATACAGGAACCGGACGGCCCTCAGCAGAGGACCCCGGACCCCGTGAGGCGCCGTACGGTTTGCCAGAATCTCTTCGAGGCCGACCGATAGTCATGCTCCATGGACTCTCCGAACTCCTCCCAGGCCCGGGTTTTTGCCTCTGCAACAGCCCGGGCCGTGGCACGCTTGGCCTGCCTGAACTGGACAGCTGCCTCAGGAGTCCTACGAACCAGTTGCTCAATAGGACTCCTTCAGCCTGACGGCATCCCTTACTGCCGGTGTCCACCACCGAGTTTGGGGGTTGCCGCCGGGACCAGCACCAGAGACCTTGCAACCACAGCTACGAGCCGCCGCATCGGCGATAAAGAGAACATGGTCCACTCAGACTCAATGTCCCCCTCCTCCGCCGGGACCTGGGAGAAGCTCTCACGGAGGTGTGAGTTGAAAGTCCGTCTGACAGGGGGCTCAGCGAGACGTTCCCAGCAGACCCTCACTACACGCTTGGGTCTGGCCGGCTTCCTCCCCTGCCAGCAGAACTCACGACCAGGTGGTGATCGGTTGACAGCTCCACCCCTCTCTTCACCCGAGGGTCCGAGACACGTGGTCGAAGGTCAGACGATACGACGACAAAGTCGATCATCGACCCCCGGCCTAGGGTGTCCTGGTGCCACGTGCACTGTTGGACACCCTATTCCAGTGTTAATTTTGACAAGAAATTCAAATTTAGTCTTAGTCATTTGACTGAAATAAATGTTAGTTTTACTCACAATTTTAGTCCTATGATTTAATTTAGTTTTAGTCCAATTTTAGAGGACAAATATATGAAGAAATTTTAGTAGAAATATGTTGCTCATGAAATTTGTATAAATGGGGACATTTTTGTACAAATATATGTGTAAAGTATTATCACTTGTAGCATATGGGTAGCTATTACTTTATATTACTTTGGAGCAATCTTGTATTTATATTCTATAATTGTAGATAGACTGTAGATGTCTCAGGCACCATTTATTGTAGGCACTTAAAGGGTGTTTTACTTTTTTTTTGGTCCACATGATCTTTTCATCACCTATGGATACTGCTTATGAGAATGGTGTTGTGGTTAGCGTTAGCAATAGTGGTGTCGTGGTTAAAGTTAGCAATAGCTTCTGTTCACACCATCTAGTCCGGCCAGTCGATTGGTTGTTTTCTCATTTGCTCTTATCTATTTGTTCTTCTGATTTTATTTCGTCTTGGTCCATTTTTTGTTCATCCTTTTTTTTCGTGGACAAAAATGTTGATCAATTTAGTAGTCGTCTGCGTTCTATTTTATTTTTAGTTTCGTTTTCACCCCCAAAATATATACGTAACAAAAAATATGACTATAATATTTTGTCAATGAAAATAACACTGACCGATTTACGATCAAGCTTCATTTATCTCGGAGGATTTTACAAAAATATCAATTTGCCGACAATGATAAACAGATTGGTCCATAAGGGGCAGATGACTAATGTCCATAAATATTAAAGTACACTTGGTTTAGCACCAACTCTGGCTCATATTGACTTGCATGAAAAAGTAAACTCCAAGCTCAGCGAGCGTTTATGTCACTCAGCATTTTCAGCTTAAATTTGTGGTTTAGCGCTTCTGTGATCCTGGTGTCTATATTGTGATATTGTCTTTTTACTTGAGTCTGCCGATTAGGATCCTATATGGATTTACTAAATGTTCCTCCCCAAAAACAGACCAGGAATATAGTGTGTACAGTGAAATTTGAATATGCTTTAAGAGATAGAATTCTGTAATTAAACTTAACATATGAAGGCAACATAATGCAGAAGAGGCTGGTTTGATCATGAGTTGGCTGGAGCTGATTTCCTTATAAGGGCATTTAATGCGATGGCGTTTGCTTCACCTCCGTAATGGGGCAGATGTGTTGAAAAGACACATTTCTTAGGCAAACTGGTGTTCTGGGTTGTGAGTCTGAGTTAGAGTCCAGTGTCGGCCTTGAGTAGCCGGTGTAGCAGTGTGGGATTACATGAAGTTTCCGCTGTAGACCTTAGCCGTCAGCTCAAATGTTGTTGTTTCCAGGTGGGCCGGCGCTCGTGGATGGGCCCTCCCTCCTCACCGCGTTCTAGGACCACTTCTGTCGCCCCCTCGTGGCCCGTCGGTGTACTGCGCGTTACAGGAGCAGATTGCCGAGACATGCTGAGTGCGCATAGGTCGCCCCCCGGTGGCTGTGTTTGGGACTGTGCTCCTCTGATGACGTTGCAGCGTGCCCCGCTCATGTGACGGGCATCTGATCGCTGGGTGTTGCAGTGTTACCGCTCCCTGAGTCGTTGGCCCTTCTCCTGGTTCCCGGTCACAGCCGCGATGCTGTGGTCCCACCGCTGCCTCTGGAAATCCTGAGCCACGAGTCTGGAAGGAGAGCCGAGCCCGCCGCGGGACTGCTACCCGGTTAGACACACACACATACAGACACCACATACATACAGACACCCTCGCGCGCGCACAGACACCACCCATACCACGCTCAATGACCGACACCATACTAAGTCAGTAGCTTGTTTTGGGCACTTTTTACTTTAGATTGTGTTGGATTTAAAATGATCGATTTTAAGGGTTTAGTTTACGTCTACCACTAGATGGAGTGTTGCTCATGCTGATTGTCCCATATTCCACTCCACCTGTTTTTTAACCATACATATGTAACTTGTCTAACCCTGGTCCTGTGCCCCTCAGTCCCTGCTGGACCCCAAAGCCCTGACCGAGGCCTGTGGCTCCGATGGGTTGATTCCTGGTGAGTGACGATTCTGTTTAAGCCATAGACTGTATAGTAGGGAAGTGCTCATAGACATTATAACATAATGTTGTAAATGTTATTTTGATGCTTTTATTCATTCCCTGTAGGTGAAAAACTGACGTAAACTTTTAATTTGAACTAAAATGCACGGAGGTCCAGAGAAAAGGCTGGTCCTATGATATGTTATATCTTATTATCTTCTGTTGTGTTTCTCGCAGAAGGTGGATACTGGCAGCTCTGTGCCGCCCGGCCCCTGCAGGGGGGGTTGTTGAGCTCCAGCTTCCCCCCGGGGCCCCTCCCTCTCTCTGATGAGGAGGCGCTGGCCCCACCACCTGCCCCTCCCCCCGGGCCGTTAGCCCCGCCCCCTCCGCCCCCCCCTAAGCGCCACTGCCGGTCTCTGTCTGTGCCGGAGGACTTGTCGCGCTGCAGATACACGTGGCGCCCGAGTGCATCGCGCGTCTGGACTCCGGTGGCGCGGCACTGTCCTGGCGCCGTGGGGGGAGTGGCGTCGGCGGTAAGCGGGGCCGTGGCGGGCGCGGTTGGCGGGTCTTCTCTGAACTCGTCGCTGCACTCATCCTCCAGCCCGACTTTCTTCAGCCTGGCGCTGTCTCCTGATTCGCCGTTGCCGTGGAGCTTCCCGTGGGAGGAGCCAGGGGGCGGGGCCTGCTGCTGCTTCTTCCCATCGCCGTCGTCATGCTCCTCCCCCTCACCGCTGCACCCGCCCCCCCCTCAAAGACGCTTTTCCTTGTCGCCAGTGTTAATCCGAGACTCTGGGCTGTTTCACCCACCGCACGCCCCTCCCCCTGCTCCACAAGCTCCGCCCCCAAACTCCGCCTGCAGCACCCCGTCCTCCCTGCGCCGGCCCCTCCCCCCTGCCCCCCGCTGTCACTCACAGCCCTGCGACCTGCTGCTGCTGAAGCCCGGGCTGAAGAGGAGGAGAGAGGGAGACCGAGCCCCAGGGAGACCCGGCCTGGACTTCACCAAGATGACCCAGGTATGTACCACTGATAAGGCTGCTGCTGCAGCTATTTCTACTGCGTGGGCGACTGGGTGTAAAGGACACGTACCCAAAGCTTTATCCAATCCACGTTATTTATTTAGCACATTTTATAAAACAAGTGTCCGTAGTGCTATAAAGAGATGAAGGAAAACAAAGTTAAATATAGAGGCATGCCAGCTTCGTTTATAAAAACATACAAAATAAAACACTGAAGTGAATTCAAGCCAGATAAAACCTTCTGTGGGGAAATCTCATTGTCATAGTTGTTCATTACAGCAGAAGAAAAGGGGAAAATATGAGCACTCAGGTTATCATCAAACCAGATCTATTATTTCAGATTAGATAATGAAATGATAAAATAAACTCATTTCATTATTATCATTTCATTATCTAATCTTAAATAATAGATCTGGTTTGATGATGAATGATAAAATAAAATAAACTCCCCCTGGACTGCCACCTTAACGTGGTGGGGGAGTTTGAGTACTCGGATGATCCTGGGAGCTTTGCTGTCTGGGGCTTCATGCTCCTGGTAGGGTCTCCCATGGCAGACAGGTCTCGGGTGACGAGTCAGACGAATAGCAGACAGCACGAACGGAAGAACCGTGACGTCGCCCGGCATGGCGCAGCCGGGGCCCCACCCTGGAGCCAGGCCTGCGGTCGGGGCTCAAATGAGAGCGCCTGGTGGCCGGGCCTTAGCCCATGGGGCCCGGCCGGGCTCAGCCCGAAGGGACGACGTGGGCAGTCCCTCCTGTGGGCCCACCACCTGCAGAGGGGTCTGTGGTGGTGCGGTGCAGAGAGGACTGGGCAGCAGTCGAAGGCGGAGACCTCGGCGACCCAGTCCACACACCCAACATCTGGCTCTTGGGACGTGGAACATCACCTCACTGGGGGGGAAGGAGCCAGAGCTCGTGGGGGAGGTCGAGCGATACCGACTAGAGATGGTCGGCCTCACCTCCACACACAGCTTGGGCTCTAGAACCCAACTCCTTGAGAGGGGTTGGACGCTCCACTTTTCTGGTGTTTCTCGCGGGGAGAGGCGGCGAGCTGGGGTGGCCATTCTCATTGCCCCCCATCTCAGCCGCCACGTGTTGGAGTTCTCCCCGGTGAATGAGAGGGTCGCGTCCCTCCGCCTTCACTGTTGTGACGGCCTACGGGCCTAACAGCAGTGCAGAGTACCCGGCCTTCTTGGAGTCCTTGGGAGGGGTACTGGACGGTGCACCAACCGGGGACTCCGTTATTCTCCTGGGGGACTTCAACGCCCATGTGGGAAATGCCAGTGACACTTGGAGAGGGGTGATTGGGAAGAACGGCCCCCCTGATCTGAACCCGAGCGGTGTTCAGTTGTTGGACTTCTGTGCCAGTCACGGTTTGTCCATCACGAACACCATGTTCGAGCACAAGGGTGTCCACCAGTGCACGTGGCACCAGGACACCCTAGGCCGGAGGTCGATGATCGACTTTGTTGTCGTATCATCTGACCTTTGACCGCGTGTCTCGGACACTCGGGTGAAGAGACGGGCGGAGCTGTCAACCGATCATCACCTGGTCGTGAGTTGGATCCACTGGCAGGGGAAGAAGCCGGTCAGACCTGGCAGGCCCAAGCGTGTAGTGAGGGTTTGCTGGGAACGTCTCGCTGAGCCCCCTGTTAGACGGACTTTCAACTCACACCTCCGTGAGAGCTTCTCCCGGGTCCCGGCGGAGGAGGGGGACATTGAGTCCGAGTGGACCATGTTCTCTTCCTCTATCGCCGATGCGGCGGCTCATAGCTGTGGTCGCAGGGTCTCTGGTGCTGGTCCCGGCGGCAATCCCCGAACCCGGCGGTGGACACCGGGTGGAGGGCTGCTGACCTCAACTGGGGATATTGTCGGGTGGTGGAAGGAATACGTCGAGGTTCTCCTCAATCCCCCCGTCACGTCCTCCGCCCAGGAGGCAGAGGCTGAGGATTTTGGGGCGGATGGCAGAGGTCAACAAGGTGGTTGGCAGGCCGGAAGGGGATGAGATCTGTCCTGACTATCTAAAGTCCCTGGATGTTGTAGGACTGTCTTGGCTGACACGTCTCTGCAGCATCGCGTGGCGATTGGGGGCGGTGCCAATGAAGTGGCAGAACGGGGTGGTGGTCCCTCTCTACAAGAAGGGGGACCGGAGGGTGTGTTCCAATTATCGTGGGATCACACTCCTCAGCCTCCCTGGTAAGATTTACTCCAAGGTACTGGAGAGGAGGCAACGTCCGATGGTCGAATCTCGGATTCAGGAGGAGCAGTGTGGTTTTCGTCCCGGTCGCGGAACACTGGACCAGCTCTATACTCTCCATCGGATACTCTAGGGTTCATGGGAGTTCGCCCAACCTGTCCACATGTGCTTTGTGGATTTGGAGAAGGTGTTCGACAGTGTTCCCCGGGGTGTACTTTGGGGGGTTCTCCGGGAGTCCCGGGTCCTCTGCTGAGGGCCGTCCGGTCCCTGTATGACCGGAGCCAGAGCTGTGTTCGCATTGCCGGCAGTAAGTCAGACCTGTTCCCGGTGAATGTTGGCCTCCGACAGGGCTGCCCTTTGTCACCAGTTCTGTTCACTGTGTTCATGGACAGAATTTCTAGGCGCAGCCAGGAGTCGGAGGGTGTCCGGTTCGGGGACCACAGGATTTCATCTCTGCTGTTTGCGGATTATGTCGTCCTGTTGGCTCCAACGAACCAGGACCTTCAACATGCACTGGAGCGGTTTGCAGCCGAGTGTGAAATGGCTGGGATGAGAATCAGCACCTCCAAATCTGAGGCCATGGTGCTCGACCGGAAAAAGGTGCCTTGCCCTCTACAGGTGGGTGGAGAGGTCCTTCCTCAAGTGGAGGAGTTCAAGTATCTCGGGGTCTTGTTCACGAGTGAGGGAAGAATGGAGCGTGAGATTGACAGGCGGATCGGTGCAGCGTGCACAGTGATGCGGTCGCTGTATCGGACCGTTGTGGTAAAGAGGGAGCTGAGCCGAAAGGCAAAGCTCTCGATTTACCGGTCAATCTTCGTTCCCTCCCTCACCTATGGTCATGAGCTTTGGGTAATGACCGAAAGAACGAGATCGCGGATACCAGCGGTCGAAATGAGCTTCCTCCGCAGAGTGGCTGGGCGCTCACTTAGAGATAGGGTGAGGAGCTCAGTCACACGGGAGTAGCTCGGAGTAGAGCCGCTGCTTCTTCACGTCGAGAGGAACCAGTTGAGGTGGCTCGGGCATCTGTTCCGGATGCCTCCTGGATGCCTCCCTGGGGAGGTGTTCCGGGCACGTCCCACCGGGAGGAGGCCCCGGGGAAGACACAGGACACGCTGGAGGGACTATGTCTCTCAACTGGCCTGGGAGCGCCTTGGGGTCCCCCCCAGACGAGCTGGAGGAAGTGTGTGTGGATAGGGAAGTCTGGGCATCTCTGCTTAGACTGCTGCCCCCGCGACCCGGCAACGGAGGAAGCGGAAGAAGATGGAATGGAATGGAAAATAAACTCTGGAGCTAGTGGAGTATACACTGTAGTCAGCAGGAGGTCTGTACTGATGTTTATATTGTACTTTAGCAGCAGAGAATACTACCAGAGTAAACATCAGTGATAAAAGCAGCAGGTAAAGTGACTAGTGGATTTTCTGAGCAGTTATCAAATAGATACTTTATTGATCCCTGTAAGATACATTCACGTGTCCAGTAGCACTGAAACACATCCATCCAAACAAACAAAACAAATGCATAATTCTAAATCTTAGTAGCTAACGATGGTAATCAAATGCAACAGCACTTTAGGTCGCAGCAGCAGAGATGGTGTAGCCCAGGGGTCTCCAACGGCTTTTTGATTGGAGAGCTTTTATAAAACACAAATGGCAGAGAGCTACAACTGGAGAACACATGTTTAATGTACCGTTATCCTGCACTGTATCGCTGCGTTCATGAAAGTTGTATGTAATGATTAAAAAGTGAATCATTCAGGATCATGTGCCAAATTCTTGAATCCTTCGGGGAGTTGGCGAGTTACTGATGGCTCCTGAGCCACAGGTTGGAGACCCCTGGTGTAGCCGCTGGTGATGAGCTGCTGAAGTGATGAGATAAAAGGAATATGTAATAATGTAGTATTAATAATGGCAGGTAAAGTGACTTAGTGGATTAGATTATTTTGTACAGTTACATTAAAAAGATGGAAACATATGCTACTTTGTTTTGTCGAGGACTGCAGATGGAATCATTAAACATGCACATTAAAATACAGTTCTATAAAGTGCATGTGACTAGCCTGGTCTTGACCATCCGTAAACTCCAGTCAATTATAAGTTCCTACATGAACGTCTGGGTCTGATCCTAGTGGCTACAGTTTCCTTGGTTGAATCTCCTCCGACCAATCAGTGAGCGGGGGAGGCGGATGTTGAAGGTATGTGTTGATGACGTTGTTTGGCGAAGAATGTGATAGTAACGTAATCAGTTCTGGTTCGGCTCCAAATATCAAGAAGCCGGAGCAAGAGGAAAGTTTAGCAAATGTTATTGCTGGCAAAGGTTTTATGGCTCTACTCTGCACGGGCTCAGTTAGTGGCAAAGGAGATGGCTAAAGCTATGCTAAAGCTAGACTAAATGCCTCCCTCACTCGAGCGCATTTCATACGCCACGACAAGCTCAGATCCAACCGTTTCAATCTGCAAGGAGGAGTTAAGATAAGATAAACCTTTATTAGTCTCACAGTGGAGAAATTTCAGTGTCATTGTTGCACATTACAGCAGAGAAAGGAAATAAGAGCACTCAGATTGCACACATCAAAGTCTATTTAAGATAATAGACAATAAATTTAAGATAAAATAAAATAAACTCTGGGCTATAATTGCACTTGGTTCAGAGTATTTACAGATGTCTATATTATACATTAGCAGCAGAGAATATGAGAATATGAATATGAGCAGAATAAACATCAGAAATAATATCCACAGGTAAAGTGACGGTGAAAGGCAGAATTATCAGATATGAAATAATACAGTAGTACTGATAACAGTAAATATCAGATATGTAATACTGTAGTAGTACTGATAACAGGTACAGTGACTAGTGACAAAGTTACTAGTGAATTATCAGTGACACTTGTGCAGACTCAGCAGTTCCTGTTACATATTCTCGTTGTACAGTCTGACAGCAGCAGGAAGGAAAGACCTGCGAAACCTCTCCTTCACACAGCGAGGGTGAATTAGTCTGTCACTGAAGCTGCTCTCCAGAGCAGAGAGAGTGTCCTGCAGGGGGTGACAGTCATGGTCCAGCATTAATCCCTCCCACCTGTTAACGGAGCTCAATGGAACAAATCCAGACCTAAGACAAGTACGAAATGAAATTGGTTCGATGGTATGGTAAGACCAGGCTAGCACGTTACCAACATGCATATTAAAATATTGTTTAAAAAAGTCCTCTGCACTTTTTTTAAACGATATTTAATCTGCTTGGTAACAAACTACATAAGTACATATTACAAAGGCTTTTTCTCTAACGGTGCCTGCAAACTTCAAACATACAGTCTAGTATATCTTCTTGTATTTTCCATGAACTACTCATCTATTCTTTTGGTCTACTGTTAGTTGCTATTGTCTAGGGCTGCAACAACGAATCGATAATATCGATAAAAATCTATTATTAAAAGCGTTGGCAACAAATTTGGTTATCGATTCGTTGTGTCGCGCGATTAATACGTCACGGACGCACATCCCCAGAACTACACAACACTGCATGCACACTGCCGTAAAACTCCACAGAAGAAGAGCCGAGTGTGGCGAAGGTGGTCATACAGTCTATGGTGGCGGCATTAATTCGAGCAAGACCGCGTTGAACCAGTGCAGAATAACGACGCGAAGGAAGCGTGCGAGTGTTGTACTGCACTAACTTTAGACACTTTGCACAGAGTCAGTGGAACGGTGTTTCTCAGGGTCAGGGCTGTCATTGGGAGGTTCGGAGACAGGTTAGATTTGCGGAGAACAAGCCTGGAAGTCACGTCGGGGCGCCGCGCCGCGACTCCAGCCCCTGCTAGTCTCCGGTAAAATCTCCGCAAATAGTGCCTCCCACAGATGTATTATCGTGCCTCCTGCCATCACCGGGACAGTAACGTGTTGGAGAAACCTTTTGTCTGGTGTTAGACAAGAGAGAGAGGGCAGGGGAGAAGAGAGAGAGGGCAGGGGAGAGGAGAGAGAGGGCAGGGGAGAAGAGAGGAGAGAGGGCAGGGGAGAGGAGAGAGAGGGCAGGGGAGAGGAGAGAGAGGGCAGGGGAGAGGAGAGAGAGGGCAGGGGAGAGGAGAGAGAGGGCAGGGGAGAGGAGAGAGGGCAGGGGAGACGAGAGAGAGGGCAGGGGAGAGGAGAGAGAGGAGAGAGAGGGCAGGGGAGAGGAGAGAGAGGGCAGGGGAGAGGAGAGAGAGAGCAGCAGGGGAGAGAGAGAGGGGCAGGGGGAGAGAGAGAGGGAGGGGAGAGGAGAGAGAGGGAGGGAGAGAGAGAGAGAGGGCAGGGGAGAGAGAGAGAGAGGGCAGGGGAGAGAGAGAGAGAGGGCAGGGGAGAGGAGAGAGAGAGGGCAGGGGAGAGAGAGAGAGAGGGGCAGGGGAGAGGAGAGAGAGAGGGCAGGGGAGACACATTTTATGAAAATTCTAAAATCCACAATTTCCAACGCCATATGACGTCATAAAATGCTAATTAGATGGCTACACTTATTCCCTACATAAAACTTTTGGCCATCCTTAATAATTCTGTAATTTACAGAAAGTCTTTCTCCTATCACTTTTAAGTTACAGCCTTTTGAAATAAAAACGTTTTTGAGTATATGCACTCAACAACGTACAATTACCCTCAAAATGACTTAATTACACAAACGTGTCTTGTCTGTAATTGCTCTTTGGGTTAAACAACAAAACCTGTTTTTGTGCACTTTACTTTATACTGCAGAGCATACATTTGTATGTTTCTTTGTGTTGATCCAAGGCCACGTTTTTTAACCTCTTTACAACAACCGGCGCGCCGACGTGCCGTTTTTATGTTTTTAAATGTTCTGCTGGCAATAGCAGATGTATTTTGAACACCAAACCCCAAAAGCTGTATATCATTTTAAAGCTTATTTTCTTATCTACATTTATCTACAAGACTACATCAGACTTTGCATTCAAAAGATATAACGCATAATGTGGGCACAAAATAAATCCATTCCGAAATAGTTTTTTACCTTTGGGCTTGTGCTGTACAAATAAATCAGCTCTCCTCCCAGCTTGCAATACATCATTCTCTCTGGAACAGTCCAAAGGAAAATTATATCCACTTGTATTTCCCAAAGTAAAATCCATTCTGCAGAAATAATCCAAAAATGTGCATTTATCTTTAGCGAAAAAAACGAGCACAGATGTTGCTTTTTCACTTTTAACTGACTTTTAGCTTTGTTTTTCACCCGAACATCTGGTATCCACGTGTTCCTTAGCTCCTTATCTTTCCAATGAGACTACTCCCGAAAAGCTAGACCAATTTTTGGGTCTGCAAGAGGTCCCGTAAGTACAGCTTGCGCTGCTGTTTGCGCATGGATCTTTGTTGTGATCCCAACTTGTTTGCTTCCATTTCCGGGATTTTCGATTGACATGGCCGTGTAGCCAATGAGGAAAGCTTTCGAGCAAGGGGTGGGACAATGGTGTCCTGTCTTATGTTGTGCCTGTAGAATATTGCGTAATGGAAGCTAAAAGACGCTCTCGAAGCTGCAATGAATTAACACTCATAAAAAAATAACTTTGACATTTAAAAAAAAAAAAAACACACATAGATTAGTAACTTATAACCAACAATAGTAACCAATAATAAAAAATATTGTTTTTATGATGATTAAATGTAAGTAAAGATATTTGGCACAATTTGGCACACTTGTGCCAAATTGTGCCAAATGTGCACTACTTGATGAAAAGGAGAAACTGCATAAAAACTATAAAACTTAGAAGTCTGAAACTTTAGACAGTTGTTGTCAACAACACAATGACCACAGGGTTTGAATATTGTGAACTTACAATGAAGTATGCCTTTTTTAGGGCCTTTAGAAATTGAAAATGTTAGGCGAGGCTAAAAAAAAAAATTTCCCCCCCCCAAACTTCAAAGGATGCAGAGGGAAATAGGAATGACAAACATTATTTTAGTGTTTTTTTACATAAACTAGAAGGCTCTAGCTTTAAAATTATGCATCACACAAGCATGTGAGATGTAAGATGTGTTTTTAAATAAGCAAAGACATTTGGGTATGCCCAACTTTTGTGCACAAGCCAAAATGAGGCGGGTGTTAAGAGGTTTTTTAATAACGGCATGGAAACTAAAAATGCTTTTTTTTATCCGATTAATCGACAGATTAATCGATTATTAAAATAATCGTTAGTTGCAGCTCTACTATTGTCACCTTGCTGTAAGCCGCAGTGTTGGAAATGCAGGAAAAAAGCTGCGGCTTATAGTTAGAGATTTTATACTGTAAATTCCTAGCTTTTTGCATAATGAAGAAGCTAGAATTAAGTAAAAAATCTCTGACTTTAGCACGATAAAGATTTATAAAATCTCTATACTTGCTTTTAATATGCCAAAGGTAAAGTGCTGTATATCCAGTGCAAGACATATATAGTTGTATGTTTACTTGTTAGCATCATGAGGCTCTTCTGAGATTGTTAAAGTTCATGCTGCCCTTGGTTTTCCCCGGCAGACGCGCAGCATGGACCCGGGCTTCTGCCTGGAGCGCGGCCGGCTGGGCTCCTTCTCCGGCGGCGACGTGTGCATCTCCATGGAGCCGTTCCTGGGAGACTTCCGCGGGTCGTGCTCGCCGGCCGACCTTCTGGGGCGCAGCAGCATCGGGCCCCTGAGCGAGAGCGACGAGGAGTGCCCCGAGAACCCCGACGAAGAGGAGGAGGAGGGTGAGGAGGGCGAGGCGGGCGACCGGGACACTCAGCCCGTGTTCGAGCGCGACTGTACAGAACTGGACCTCAACCTGATCGAGGAGAACTGACCGCAAACCTATTTATATCAGGAAAAACTGACCACAACTTTATTTATACATTTGTACGGCGGGAGGAGGGGGGCGGAGCCGAGCGGGGTCTGCTGTTCAAAGGGTTAACACCAGGACTCCCAGAATTCTGCAACTACTAGAACTCCCAGAGCAGTCATTTTGACTGCTCCCGTTCCAAACCAATAGAATTCGGAGAAATTACAGTAAATGTAAGTAAGGTAAAAACTTACATACCTAAATTTACTCACTTTTGTTAGTTATAACAATCAGTTGTTGCAATAAAGTACAGCAAAAATCTGTGTGTTGCTATGGTAACTAGCACTCTTCTCTGATAGAAAACCCAGCTGGACCAGTCCAGAACCAGCACATTTTACTGTTGGCAAAATGATTATGTTGAAATTAATGGAGAGCAGTCATTTTGACCACTAAGAGTTAACTCCTCACGTTTAAAAAAAGAATGACTTAGAACATATAGAAACAGACAAGGTCTTAAAGTTAGGAAAACTGACAATGTTCATGAACTGAGTCATTGGGCTTCCAAAACGAAAAGCCGCCATATTGACTGCACTGGAAGTTCTACTGTTAAACACAATCTACTTTAATAACTCCAGTTCACTGAAGGAAAGCTGATAGAGCCGTTTTATCTGGACTCGTTACAAAACCCTTCGAACAGCCGGCCATTTCTTGCGCTCCGTCCGGTCTCAAAGCCCTGCCCCCTGTTTTTTCTACGCGTTTTGAGTTACTTCCCGGAAACGAACCAATCAGCACAGCTCTCAGGCTCCTCTTCCTCCTGATGAGGCCATGACGCAGCTGCAGCCACCGGAACCACGACGGGAACGTGCAGGTTCAGACCAGAGCGGGTCCCAGGCCTTTACTGTCCCCGAGAGCACCACATGTCTCCTTTAACGCTCGTCTGAATATCCTGGTTCCTGTCTCCCACAGCAACATGATGTATCACTACTTTCCAGTCTACGATCACTTCAGATGGGTTCGGATGAAACAAGTGTGGAGTTTCTGAACAGCACTACAGCCCCGTGTCCACCAGCTCTACACTGTTCTGCTCTTTTCTACTCTACCGGCCCTGTTTAACCGGTACCTGGTCCTTCTGGTACTAAAGTGTTCTAATTACCAGAGATTGGCCAGAGTGCTGCTGGAAACCATGGTTACCAAGGATTTGTTGTGGGTAGAATGCTATACTAAAGTGTGATGGGAACACATCTAGGTAGAGCAGGACGGAGCGGAGCCGATGGAAACGGGGCTTACTACTGTCACAATGTGCACGTATCGTGTTGCTTTCGACGGGACTGCTGTACGGTTCTGCGCTGCACTTCCCATCATGCTTTGCTCCGGTGGCTCCGCTGCTGACGCCGTCGTCCATTTATAAGGACAGAGAGGAGGTCGCCGTGGTAACCTGTTAGCAAACACGCAAACGTTTTACGAAAAAAGCCAACAAAATATTTCACTATGTTTATGGGACATCAAACGTTCCAAAGAGCGATAATTTGATAATTGCTGCACCCAGTCAGAGCACCAGCTCCTCACTGATCCTCCTGCAGGTGCTGAGTCTACAGGAGCTGAGATCTTTCAGTGGGGGCTTCAGGCAAAGTGGGGTTAAGTGTCTTGCCCAAGGACACAACGACAGCAGTCATCAGTGGGGCTCGTGAAGTAGGTCTTATTGTGGGTTCGAACCCACAACCTTCAGGCCTAAATGCCAGTGCTCTACCAACTGAGCCACTGTCGCACCAGTTACTATAGTTACCATAGTTAACGTTCAAAAGCAAGAGTCTACTCTGAATTCAGATCGAATTTCTCTGTATTTCCTGGAACAATCCACATGAAACAAAGTCTCGCACAATTATGGTCTCTCTCTGGTCCCTCTCCCTCTGGTCTCAGCACACATCCACTATGGTCTCATGATGTTCTCATGAAGGTGTCTACAAGTGGGGATGATATTCAAAAATGTATGTCTGAAGTGCACTGACCAACACCATGCAAACATGTCTGACTTGAGAATAGAGACGAGAAACCATAGAGTGAGAGACCAGAGTGAGCAAGACAAACGGAGCGAGAGACCCCCAGTAGGGCTGCATGATATTACAAAAAATATTGTTAAAAATATGCGCAATCATTTTTTATATTTTAATATAAAACATTTTTAAAACACTTTTCCCTTTTATTTAAGACAACAAAACAGACACACTTCATCATTCAACAAGAACAACAAACAAAGTATATAAATATATGCATTTGACTATCATTAATGTTGTGCTTATTTTTTGTTATTTGTCTCTTGCGTTTCAATGCAGATTGCAATTTTAGGTGAAAGACAAAAAAATCGCAATAATATCGTTATCGAAATACTAAACACTCATATCGATTATTGCTCTATTTTCTAATATCGTGCAGCCCTAACCCCCAGATCAGATAATGCTCCGCTGGTGTAGGTCCGGCCGCTCGGTGTGAGGTCCAGAAACACACTATTCTAAACGAACCACATGGTCGAACATCGAGCCGTTTCCCCTCAAAACTCAACTTGGCTGCAGCTCTCGGTTGCCACGGCGCCGGCCTCTCTGGTCACTTTGCACAGCTCTGATTGGTCCAGACCGCGGCGCTCCACTCAACAGTCACATGATGTAACATATGAGCTGTAAATATGAGAAGGAAAACGTGAACCGGATACAAGCCGAGTTTGAGCCTGGACCTGGTGCTTACGGTGCGGAACCCTCGCAGAGTTAGAACTTTGGCATTGAAAAGTGAAATGGTTTGTGCTTTGTTTAGCATCGTTAAAGCTGAGGTACGTGACTTTCAGGCCGCAATAGAACTCTGTATTAAACCCATGTCTCTACTTCCTGGTTCTAGAAGTAAAATAGCAACTCGCAGGGCTCTTTCTGACACAAAAAATAATGAGATGGAGATGGCATGTTGTGGTCTGACTCTCTCTGTTCAAATGACATGTAACGTATGAGACTATAAAGTTACGTACCCCAGCTTTAAACAGCATTATAGAGCACAAGCAACGTCAAAGCAGCAAACACAGGTCATGAGTTCAGACCGTTTTAATTTAGAGGAATATCAGAGATTTGCCAAGAATCCAATTGAATACGGTAGCTGCATGGTTTTGTCCAAATCTCTTAACTGGGATCTTGTCTGAGAGACCAGAGAGAGACCAGAGAGAGACCTCCACCCATTTCCTCAGGGGTCCAGGTTCAGACTGGACTCTTGAGAAATTTCCTCTGCTGTGCTCCTTCTTGGTAGGAATGAAAACCTGCAGCCAGTCGAATACCCTTGCACTAAATTAATGCTAATGCGGCAACGAGACCAAAGATACTTGCTCCATTGACAAATCATGAACTCAAATCATCTGATTTTCTATTCACCTTTAATCCCTTTTGTGTTTGCAAAGGACTCAAATATTGGCAGTTTTTACGGTTTGAGTAAAGCCCCGTTTTCACCGACATCACTCCATACTGTTAAAGCAGTACCAGGTCCTTCTTTAGTCCCTCTTGCTCCTGGTTCTGGCAGTGATTGGTCACAGTAAATCATGAATGTAAAAAGTGAATTTGGTCGACTTATGTTGAAAGCTTTGAAGGTTCTTTTGAATAAGACAAAAATATAAAGAAGCTAGTACTGCTTAGTTACCTGACCTGTTTTGGTGATAGACTTCCGCCTTCGTCAGAGGTCCTGCACTGGCTTCTTTACAATTGGTGTCTAATTATAAGAACCTTCTAAACCAGCCATTCCCAAACTCAGTAACACCGAGGCCCCCTTAAAAATCTGACGGGTCTGCGTGGCCCCCCAAAATAATAACCAAGAAGACAACATTAAGAATAGGCTCTTCTGGTTATTTTATTTTGGGGAAATAGCCTCTGCTACAAACATTGTAATACAAAAATGATTACAGTGGATTATTCAAGTCAAATAATGAACACAAATATTTGAATATTACAAAAAAAACATTATAAATTTAACATTAAATAATTATATTATTATTTTTTTTTTTATGACCTCCCTGCAGTACCCTCGCGGCCCACCAGGGGGCCGCGGACCCCACTTTGGGAGACACTGTTCTAAACGATTGGCCAGAGTGCTGCCATGGTTACCAAGGAATGTCCCTGGATACTGGTTTGGTCAACACTAGATCATATACGGAATTGGGTCAAAACCGGAAGTAACAATCCTACTTTCGAATTAGTTTTAGACTAAGTCCTTAAGTGGTGACTGGTTTTAGGTGTCTGACTATGATGGTTAAGGTTAGGGTTAAGCTGGGTTGGGGTTATTTTATGGGAATGGCTGGTTAAGTTTAGGCATGATTAGGTAGCTTGTTATATTTACTTCTGCTTGCGTATATGATCTAGTGCTGACCATACTGGTTTGTTTTGGGTAGGTTGCTTGGTACCACTAAAGCGAAACGGAAATACAACCAGCTAGAGTAGAGTCGAGGAGGGGCCAAGTGGGGCTGGTGGAAACGGGGCTAAACACACCAAGTTTAACCCTTGAGCCTGAAAGCTACCAGGTGCGGGCTCTTCCCTGTGGAGCTGACTCTTCCTGGTGGAGCTGACCTCTGCTGTGTGGAGCTGCCGCGGTCACGTCTGGGTTTTCCTGCTGAGTTTTGGTGAAGTTTCCCGGAGATATAAGCAGCATAAGCCTTAAACAATATTATTCTGTAAATGTCTTTGTAGATTTAGTCTCTGGACTGTTCTCCGCGAGAGGTTTGTGAGTGAGCGAGTGAAAGTGAAAGTAAAAAAAACAACAGTGCGGCGCCTCTCGTCTTTTAGACCCGTTTTTTATTATTGTATGTGTTTTAAAAAATGACAAAACATGGGGATTTGACGCAGTTTGTGAATAAATTATTGAGAATTATTTTACAAAGAAACAGAAAATGTGAAATGCGTGTTTGGTGTGAGTCATTTCTAATCCAAATGTTTTAAAAGCACAAGTTTATGTTCTTCAAGAGATGCTAATGCTAGTTTCAGTAGAGTGTATAGTGGGACTGACAGTGTGACATCACCACTGTCAGCCTTAATGCAGGAGAGGCCGATTTGAACATGATCCGCCATTGTGTGTTGCTAAGCCCAGCTGTTTCACGAATGAAGGCATCTGATTGGCCAATCCTACAAAGACAATATCTCAATATAAACACCAGGAACACAGACAGCAATAAACCACAGATTTAAGGTCAAAATGATGAGTGTGATACTAACGGCTTATTAACCGAGCGGGAGGTCTGTATGGAGAATTATCAGACCGCGGCCTTAATGTACAGACCGAGCCGTGGCGAGGTCTGATATTTCTCTGCACAGACCGAGCAAGCGAGGTTAATAAATGTTTTATTATATGACTCTCGGCTGTGTCTTTACCAATGCTTTTGAGATATTTGTGAAGTATGTTCATGTCCGATACGCGCTGTGGACCGATTGTCATGGTAACGGTCCGAGGAAAGATATCAAATGTGATACGCGTTGTGGACCGATTGTCATGGTAACGGTCCGAGATGGGAAAATATCAGACCGGTAATCAGCCAATCAGAGCGCGTGTACGGTCCAAGTCATATAATAAAAACAGTTACCGACCTAGAGGAGTTAACGCAATAGTCAGAGCAAAACTCTGTCTATGAGCACTTTCCTATTGGGTTCATTGAGCTAGCAGGTTCGCATTGTCCATACCGTACTGTTATAAATTAGCAAAATGTAACTCAAACGTTTTTTTGAGATCCAATATTGTTCTGCGCCAGAGATCGATGGTCCCTTGTGACCTGCACATAGACCAGGGGCAGCCTTCAGTCCAGCCAGGAGAACCTTTTCTCACTTTCCTCATGTTTAACTGAGAAACGTCAACAAGAATAAATTAAAGTAAAAAAATATGGAAATTACTTTATAATGGATAACTAATGAAGACGTCCAAGCTTAGCTGTGGTCAGGGATAGCAACACTCCCATCTAGTGGTAGAAGTTGGAAATACATAAAGAGACTAATGGCAGATAATAGTGGTGGAAAAATAACTGCAGAATGGAGTCTGGCCAAGTCCCGATTCTCAAACATCTCGGCCCCCGCAAAGAGACCAGAGTAACACGTGAGCATTCTGAGCAGTCAGAGGCTAAATAGTGAGGCTCCTCCCACCTCCAACACATGTTAGTGTCATCAACCAAACTCTCTGTTCTGGTAAAACACCAGACTTCTGGTGATTCCAAAATAGAGGCTCAAACAAGTCCTCTTTAATTCAGCATATTCAGGTTAGGAAGGAAAGACTCATGTTGGACTTAGAAATGCAACCTTAAGTCTAAAAAATCAGCTGTAGACTGTTTATTGCTATTCACCCTCTGTCCCATCGTCTCGTTCATGGAGTGATAATGGGACCCCTGAAAATCGGCTCCCCGCCTGGTGTTTTAACTGTTTCTCTGATCTGTTGTTGAGGAATCGACAACTTTGTAGATATCCTCCGAGACGACTGCTGCTGTGATTTAGGCCGATACACAGAGAAATGTGTTTGAATTGAGCCGAGTTTGTTGCATAAAAGTATGTTTTTTGCACAGACTATATTTTCAACCTTAAACATGCTGCATATTTCTGTCTTTTTGCCCAATCTGATTCTATCAATGCCAAATGTGACATGTGTCCATTGTGAGATCAAAAAAGTTTATCTTATCTTATTTCAAAAGAAGAAACGAAACCCTCCTTTGTGAAAGCTGTAGTTCGCAAAGGACGAAGCCGTTTTAATGACACTGAGGTCTATGGGGACATCTCCTTACAGTCCATGTGGATTTACATTTGTTTTTTACTGATTTAATGTGCATTGTCCCTATCAAATAAATAAATGAATTTAGGCTGCAGTACCGTGGGTGGCCTCTAGTCCACGTGGAGACAGGTTTAAGCAGCCACCCGCACATTATCAGAATCAGAATCATTTTTATTGCCAACGTAAGTAACGGGAGGTCACAGACTTGGAAATTGCTTTGGCTCAGTGCAACAGTCAAAAAGAGATAATAAAAATAAGAATAAAAAACACTTCTAAAGAATAAATTTAAATTTAAAATAGAGTTACAGTTACTATTTACTATATACAAGTGCACATGGTGCACACAATGTAAGGTGACAGCAGTACAGTGAAGTAAAGTGACGTATGATGGGCAGTAAAGTGACTTTATAAAGGGCGGGGGGACAGGTTAAGAAGTGTTCAAGAGTCCAACAGCAGAGGGGAAGAAACTGTTCTTGTGGCGGGAGGTTCTAGTCCTGATGGACCGCAGCCTCCTGCCTGAGGGGAGTGGTTGGAATAGTCCATGTGCAGGGTGAGAGGGGTCGGCTGTGATACGACCAGCCCGGCCTCGAGCTCGGGCGACGTACAGGTCCTGCAGCGATGGAAGGCTGCGGCCGATCACTTCCTCTGCAGAGCGCACAATGCGCTGTAGTCTCTGTTTGTCCCTGACTGTGGCTCCAGCAAACCACACGGTGATGGAGGAGGTGAGGATGGACTCGATGATGGCCGTGTAGAACTGCACCAACATCTGTGCAGGCAGCTTGGCTTTCCTGAGCTGCCGCAGGAAGTACATCCTCTGCTGGGCCTTTTTGATGAGGGAGCTGATGGTCGGCTCCCACTTGAGGTCCTGGGTGATGGTGGTGCCCAGGAAACGGAAGGACTCCACAGAGGTGATGGGGGAGTCCATCACGGAGGGTGGGGGCGGGGGGACAGTGCTCTTCCTGAAGTCCACAATCATCTCCACTGTCTTCTGGGCGTTCAGCTCCAGGTTGTTACCACTGCACCAGGACACCAGCCGGTCCACCTCCCTCCTGTAGGCGGACTCATCGTTGTTGGAGATGAGTCCAATGAGGGTGGTGTCGTCCGCGAACTTGATCAGCTTCACGGAGTCGTGGCTGGAGGTGCAGTGGTTGGTGTACAGGGAGAAGAGCAGGGGAGAAAGAACACAGCCCTGTGGGGCTCCTGTATTTATAATCCGAGAGTCCGAGACATTCTTCCCCAGACGCACTCGCTGCTTCCTGTCCGTCAGGAAGTCAGTGATCCACCTGCAGGTGGAATCGGGCACGTTGAGCTGGGAGAGCTTGTCCTGGAGCAGGGATGGCAGGATTGTGTTGAAGGCAGAGCTGAAGTCCACGAACAGGACCCTGGCGTAGGTCCCCGGGGAGTCCAGGTGCTGTAGGATGTGGTGGAGGGCCAGGTTAATGGCGTCGTCTACAGATCTGTTGGCTCTGTAGGCGAACTGCAGGGGGTCCAGGAGGGGGGAGGTGAGGGACTTGAGATGGGAGAGAACCAGGCGTTCAAATGACTTCATGACGACAGACGTAAGTGCTACAGGTCTGTAGTCATTGAGTCCTGTGATCCTGGGCTTCTTCGGGACGGGGACAATGATGGAGGATTTGAAGCAGGCCGGGACATGGCAGGACTGCAGAGAGGAGTTGAAAATGTCCGTGAACACAGGAGTAAGCTCACTGGCGCAGTGTCTCAGAGTGGCCGGAGACACGTGGTCCGGGCCAGGAGCTTTGCGGGGGTGCAGCCTCAGGAAGAGTTGTTTAATCTCTTTAGCGGCTATTGTTAGGCTGGGGGCAGGGCTGATGGGTGGGTCGTTAGAGTAGTGGGGGGTGGGGGAGGGAGAGGTGTCAGGGGCAGCATCAAAGCGACTGAAAAATAAGTTCAGATCGTCAGCTAGCTTGTGGTCATCAGCACAGGGGGGGGCTTTGGGTTTGTAGTTGGTGATCTCCCGTAGGCCCCTCCAGACAGAAGCAGTATCGTTGTTACCAAACTGCTCCTGTAGTCGTTCTCTGTGCCGGGACTTGGCTGCTTTCAGTTCTTTCCTGAACTGATATTTAGCTGCTTTGTAGCCGCTGCGGTCCCCCTCCCTGAAAGCAGACTCCTTTGCTTTCCTGAGCTGCCGGAGTTTAGCAGTGAACCAGGGTTTGTCGTTGTTATAGATGACCCTGGTCCTTGTTGGAATGATGCTATCCTCACAGAAGTGGATGTATGACGTCACAGTGTCCGTATATTCATCCAAACTATCTGTGACAGCTCTGAAAAGGTCCCAGTCTGTAGATTCCATGCATGCGCGCAGCTCTTCCACAGCTTCATCAGACCACACTTTGGAGCTCCTCACTGCAGGTTTCGAGAGCTTTAGTCTCTGTCTGTAAGCAGGAACCAGATGTATCATGGAGTGATCTGAGAAGCCGAGGGCTGGCTTGGGAACAGCGCGAAAAGCTCCGCGCACGGTGGTGTAACAGTGATCCAGAGTGATCTCCTCTCTGGTCGGGCATTTGATAAACTGTCTGTATTTGGGTAATTCCTGGCTCAAGTTTCCCTTATTAAAATCCCCCAGGATAATAATCAGAGAGTCCGGGTATAAGCGTTCCATACACAGTACTTGCTCTGCGAGTGCGCGCTGAGCCTCGCGCGCGTCCGCGCATGGCGGTATGTAAACAGAGGCAAGAATGAATGAAACAATTTCCCGCGGGGAGTAATATGGTTTACAATGAATGAAAAGATATTCCAGAGCAGGAGAGCAGTGCTTGGAGATCACTGTCACATCGTTACACCAGTTTGTATTGACGTAGAAACAGAGCCCTCCGCCTCTGCTCTTCCCTGAGAGCGCACAATGGCGATCCGCGCGAAACAGCCCAAAGCCCTGCAGCTCCAGAGCGCAGTCCGGGATCCGCTCATTTAGCCAGGTCTCAGTGAAGCAGAGGACACAGGATGTGGCGAAGTCCTTGTTTCTTCTCATGAGCAGGCTGAGTTCGTCCATCTTATTGCCCAGTGAGCGTACGTTGGAGAGAAAAATGCCGGGGAGAGCCGTGCGCGCTCCTCTCCTCCTAAGACGCACGAGCAGGCCTCCTCGCTTTCCCCTTTTACGGGCCCACACTTTTTTGGCTAGAACATGAACTAAATCAGCCGCAGATGCCAAGAAAACAGGCAATAGGTCCATGGGAACGGTGGGTCGGATGTTCATAAGTTCCTCACGGGTGTAGGAACAGCCAGATGCACAGTTAAAAAGTAAAAACAAAAGAAAAAGAGAGCAGCAAAGAGCCATGTCGACCGTACGAGGCGCCATCTACGAGGCGTCATGCATGTGACCAGGATTGTGAGGAGTATTTTTACTGTATTTTTAAAGTGAAATTCTTCAGAAAGACTGAAATCACACGAGGAAAAATCTTTTGTTTAATCACAACATTTATCCAAAACAGCTGCACACTTTAGAAGACAAACACAAGAAGACTCTGAGAACTGCAGCTCACAGACAGGCTCCATGAGGATTAACCCTTTAATGGTTTCCTCAACCATTTGGCGGATCACTTTTTGAGTCACAATATCTACTTTGAGCTTGGAACTGAAATCTTCTTCTTTGGGGCATCTCTTTCACTTGGTTTAAGGAATTTTTACCATAGACCTGCATCTCAACCATTTGGTAAAGATCTATCATTGATAAATTAGGGGTCAAAAAACAAAACCCCAAAAACATGAAAACATATTATTTTGTTATTTGTGCACATCTTGGAAAATCAAAAATATTTTTTTTTAAATTTGCTTTCCTCAAGGAGTTAACATTAAAGGGTTAAAGCTGACTCAAACAGACTTAGGTAGTCTGTGTGTGTAGGTAGCAACAACCTAGCAACCAAAGAGCCAATCAGGAGCGAGCAGTTGTTTGAGTTCATATCTGGATTTACAAGGACACTATCGAAATGAAAACAACACCAGGACCATACAGAGCGGTAAACCAGAGTTTACTTTTACATATACAGTGAGTAATATAGAAACAAAACCTCAGCCAGAGTCCTTCTCTATGAGGCTTCATAGAGCTGGATTTACACATCCGTATCCACCTGTGGTTCCTCCGCTGTCCTGTCATCAGCTCTGGAGGTCAGCTGGATGGGCACCACTCTCTCCCCTGGTCTCTCCTCTGGTCTCTTTCTGGTCTCTCTCTCTGTTCTCTCCTCTGGTCTCTTTCTGGTCTCTCTCTCTGGTCTCTGGTCTGGTTTTTTATCAGGTTTCTCCTTTGCAATCTCCTGGTCTCTCTCTGGTCTCTCTTCTGGTCTCTCCTCTGGTCTCTCTTCTGGTCTCTCTTCTTGTCTCTTCGCTGGTCTTTCCTCTGGTTCTTCTCCTGGTTCAGCTCTGAGGATCAGTTTGATGGGTACCACTCTCTCCTCGCCCCCACACGGAGCGCTCTGGGTTCGGGAAACATTCGGATTGGCCCACACCTGTGCACGATGCTCTCTGATTGGCCCACACCTGTAGACACTGTCCAGACCTCGTGTCTCCATGGTGATGGGGTGGAGGGCGGAGTCAGAGCTCAGGTCCATCTGCTCCAAGATCCGCCGCTGCAGTTGGTCCAGGAACACCATGTTGAGACGCATCTCCTGAAGACAGAGGAAAGCATGTCAAAAACAGAACTAAAACAGGTCTAAAGTAGGACTGAAGCAGGACTAAGGCAGGACTGAAGCAGGTCTAAAGCAAGACTAAGGCAGGACTACAGCAGGTCTAAAGCAAGACTGAGGCAGGACTACAGCAGGACTAAAGCAGGTCTAAAGCAAGACTGAGGCAGGACTAAAGCAGGTCTAAAGCAAGACTGAGGCAGGACTACAGCAGGACTAAAGCAGGTCTGAAGCAAGACTGAGCCAGGACTAAAGCAGGTCTGAAGCATGACTGAAGCAGGTCTAAAGCAGGTCCAAAGCAGGTGTAAGGTCAGACTAAAGCAAGTTTGAAGCAGGTCTAAAAAGGTCTAAAGTAGCAATAACGCAGGACTAAAGCAGGCCTAACGCAAGACTGAGGCAGGACTAAAGCAGGTCTAAAGCAAGACTGAGGCAGGACTAAAGCAGGTCTAAAGCAAGACTTAGGCAGGACTAAAGCAGGTCTGAAGCAAGACTTAGGCAGGACTAAAGCAGGTCTGAAGCAAGACTAAGGCAGGACTAAAGCAGGTCTGAAGCATGACTGAAGCAGGTCTAAAGCAGGTCCAAAGCAGGTGTAAAGCTGGACTAAAGCTGGACTAAAGCAGGCCTAAAGCTGGACTAAAGCAGGCCTAAATTAGGACTAAAGCAGACCTAAAGCCGGTCTAAACTAGGACTACCTGCAAGTGTGTAAACAGCTCTCTTTCCAGGCGGTAAAACAGAGGTCTGGTCTCGGGCCACAGCTCCAGGAGGTCCAGATGGGGGAGGCCCCAGGGGGGAGACTTGAGGAGGGACTGGTGGCTGAGTGAGGTCCAAACCATGTTCTCGTAGTTTCCTCTTCTTGTATATTGGTAAATCGGTCTGGGCTCTGGGTCTTGGTCTGGGCTCTCCGCTCGGTGCTCTGGTCGCTGGGGGGGACTCCAGCTGCTTTTATACCCGCTCAGGCCCCCCCTCGCTCGGGTAAGTTCCAGAGCATTCCCCTGAGAGTGTCATGGAATCACAAGTGTCGCGTCAGTCACACCAAAGCCACTCACACCACAAACATCTTTGGTATTTCAGATCTGCATTGGTCTGTAACAAGTTTGAAAATAGAGCGTTGAGACAGAAGGGGGAGGCCACACAGTTTGGTCAGAGCCACTTCAGCGACCGCCGCATCATGAGACTTGTGACCCTGACACCATGGCTTATAGTTAGTCAGTTCATACAAATAGAATGGATTCTATTTGTGATTCAGACCTGGTCCAGACCTGGTCCAGACCTGGTTTTCTGTGTGTGGAGTCAGAGTCTGTGTTTATTCTCAGTGTCAGAGGAACAAGCTGTGGTTTGTGACCAGAAGAATGTAGCAGCTGCTAAGAGAGGTGACATCATTCTCCACCAGCAGAGATGACATCACAGATATGACATCATAGAGAATATGGCACAGAGATGATGTCACAGAGAGGCTTTAGACCCAGGACTGATGCTGTAGACCCAGGACTGATGCTGTAGATTCAGGACTGAGGCTGTAGACCCAGGACTGAGGCTGTAGACCCAGGACTGAGGCTGTAGACCCAGGACTGAGGCTGTAGACCCAGGACTGAGGCTGTAGACCCAGGACTGAGGCTGTAGATCCAGGACTGAGGCTGCAGACCCAGGACTGAGGCTGTAGATCCAGGACTGATGCTGTAGATCCAGGACTGAGGCTGTAGACCCAGGACTGAGGCTGTAGATCCAGGACTGAGGCTGTAGACCCAGGACTGAGGCTGTAGACCCAGGACTGAGGCTGTAGACCCAGGACTGAGGCTGTAGACCCAGGACTGAGGCTGTAGATCCAGGACTGAGGCTGTAGACCCAGGACTGAGGCTGTAGACCCAGGACTGAGGCTGTAGACCCAGGACTGAGGCTGTAGACCCAGACCCAGCTGAAGTGTGAGTGGAGAGGATGGTGCTGTTACCAGACTTCTCCAGCAGAGGTCTCCATATGCTTTGTTTCTGACAATCTGTGTTTTTAGACTTGTACTTGTCGTCCTGTCCTTGAAAACACCTGAATATAACTGTTCAAATACAAACCATCTTTCACCTTGTGATGAAGGAACCGGGTTCTGTCTGATATGGCAGGGTTTAAAATCTATTTACCATCAAATAATGATAAAGATTACATAAACAAAATCTAAATCAAATTGAGTTATTAAAAATGTTCATGCTCTTGGTCTCTCTAGTCTCTGTCTGGTCTATCTTTGGCCTCTTTCTGCTCCCTCTGTGGTCTATTTTTGGCTTCTCTCGTCTCTTTCTGGTCTATCTTTCTCTCTCTGATCTCTGTCTGGGATCTGTATGGTCTCTCTCTCTCTGGTCTCTCTCTCTCTCTCTCTCTGGTCTCTCTCTTTCTGGTTTGTCCCTCTGATCTCTGGGTTCTCTCTCTCTCTCTCTGGTCTTTCTGATTTATTAAAAAAGTAATGTTTATGGGCTGTTCATAGTTTGCGTTTGTGCTGTAGAAAAATACTTCAGCTGGTGCCAACCGTAGACCGCACCTCAGGAGTAGAGCCACATCCTTTAAAGTTTGTAGACGGCTCGTGTGGAATGAAAGGTGTAACTGCCATCTATAATCTATGCTCGTTCTTCTTGAAGCAGACGTATGTGCCACTGCATTTGGAATCCAGACGGAGGACTGACATTCCAACTTTTCCAACGAGACTCTGTGGGACTCTGTGCTCTGTTCCTCCAAAAGGATCACGGGCAAAAAGATGAGGGAGGCCTGTAATTTTCATGAATTTTAACCATAATTTATTTTACAGCTCCTCACAGCCGCAGTAGAATGCTCCAACTATTTAAATGTAATTTCATTGATAACGGACTCTCAAACCAATAATGACCGCTGCTCTTTTTGCAACGCACTCTGTGCTTGTACTTCAGGTGTAAAATACTAAGATTACTCCGTACAACGAGCTTTCAGCGCCTGTCACTTAAAGGAATAGTTCACCGTTTTTACATACTGACATATGTTCTTACCTTACCTTAGACTAGTTAATACGTACCTGTGTACTAACTTCTCTCTGTACTACAAGTCACGCTGCTTCTATTGACGGAAGTGAGCGAGAGAGAAGTCTCCGGAGAGAAGTTAGTGCGCGGACGTAGCGCACCTCAGATTACTACGCCTCACAATATAGTACCCGTTTTATCCGCTGAGAAAATCGACAGTTACATTTCTGTGTTACTATACTTTGCAGTGTAACACGTCACGTAACTATATACATTTAATAGGGAACACTTGGAAGAGTTTGGTAGCTTCTAGCGGGAGCTACCTTTTGGTGCTACACAGTGACCAGAGGAGGCTGCATTTGTCCTCCCGTTTTTGCTCCGTTTGCATGACAGAGCGCACGGACTAAGATCACACAGGTACGTATTAACTAGTCTAAGGTAAGGTAAGAACATATGTCAGTATGTAAAAACGGTGAACTATTCCTTTAAGTCTGAGCGAGAGAAGCTATCGGAGCTAGCCACGCTCAAAAACACTAATATCAATCAGTAACACATTTAAATGTTAATGGGAGAGACCATTATACATCTGTTGTATCATTATCTGTTAAAGTTTTCATGACAAAAATACTGTTTTAATGAGACAAAACGCGATTGCGGTAAACCCGGAAGTATCTATTAGTCACTCACCGCTGATGTTCAGAATTCTTTGCTCTGTTTTCATGTAGTTCCAGAGCCTGGTGGAGAATTGATTCGAAGGCTCCATGAAAACAAACAACTGAGCATAAGCAGCTAGAGCATGAGCGCAGATGATTGACAGCTCTTGGCATCACTTGATTGGTTAAAGTGGATTGTGTAAAGTTTGGTTTGAGGCAGGAAAGGTGTTGCTATCACACAGCAGCAGTGTGGCTCAGGAGCAGTTGACTGCTTAAACCAAACTTTACACGAAACTTTGATTCTTAAAACCCACATATCACATCCATCATCATCTCGCCTCAAATTGCATTAAAAGTGACATTCAAAAGCTGGACCCACAAACAAACTATAAACACCAGGATCACAGAGAGCACTAAACCACAGATTTAAGCCCAAAATATTAACACTCTTCTATTGAGCTTCGTTGAGCTAGCGGGTTAGCATTGTCCATCTTTATCCAGTGCTGCTACGGTGTGAAGAAGATGACAAAGTCTGGGATCGTGTCTTTAATTCAGACAGACATGTTTTATTGTTGTTGGTAGAGACAGTACAAACACGAACAAGGATGTTACAAAATGCAAGTGATAATATACAGCGGAGGAAAGAACACCGTCTAATCAGCTTTCGCCGCGGTGCCTGTAGCTTGGCCTCCAGAAATCAAAGCATGCAGTGGAAAAGTACTGCCTCGGGCATGTTAGAATGATGAGTTAGAACTTTAACCACAGTTGCTTCAAAGTGTCATGACATCTCTGAAGCTGCTAACATTGTCAAAAAAAGAAACATCTTAATTTGACAATGATTGGATTCACAAAGCCGCCACATTCTTCTCATGTCTGAAAGTCTGTTTTTGAACATTTTCACCTTCTAGACTTGGCCAAAAAGAGGAAGTGGTTCAGAGGAAGTGAGACGAGGCGCTCGAGACCCTGCGGTTTGTGATCGAAAGCTGAAAGAACACATGAGAAAAGATGGTGTGAGTGCAGCTTAAGTCAGGTCAGGTGCATAAAGTCCACTCTGAAACATACGGAGAAATAACAAACTTTATTCTGTTCATTAAAGACCATAATGAGACCGTTCCCTCGCCTCATTAAAATGTGAAATCCTATCTACAGAAGGAAATGTGAAGTGAAACAAGAATGAAGGGTAGAACATGATTTCCAGCTGGTCCTCGGTGACAAGGGCGGGGCTTGTGTCCGGTGAGGGGCGGGGCTTGTGCTACGATGGGGCGGGGTTTTCATGTGTGATCGGCCTGGGGGCGGGGCTTATCTTTCTCGCTGAAGTCACTCAGAATCAGAGAGTCAGAAGAAAAATGAGAATCTGCTGCATCCTGATGCTCACAGGTAAAAACACTTTAACATCAGAAATGAAAGAAAATAGATAAAAAAGTTTAGGGTTTTTAAAGGAAACATTTGCTATCCGAAGTTGATTACAAAAACCTCTCTCTGGTCTCTTTCTCTCTCATTGTTCTCTCTTGTCACTCTGGTCTCTAACATGCTTTTGCTGTTCTCTCTCTCTTTCTGGTCTCTCACATCTTTCTCTCTCTGGTCGCTTTCCCTCTGGTGTCTAGTCTCTCTCGGGTCCCTTTCTGGTCTCTCTCTGGACTCTCTCTTTGGTCTGTGGTCACTATCTCTATGGTCTTTCTCCAGCCTCTCTGGTTTCTCTCTCCTTGGTCTCTTTACTTTGAACCCCCTGGGTGAAAAGCGACGCAGGCCTAAACAACGCGCTCCTCTGTCCTCAGTGTGTTCGGTCGGGGCAGAGGCCCTGCTGGTCACAGTCGACTCGGGGCAGAACGTGACCCTCAACTGTTCGTCACGTGTTGGTCTGAGGAGCTGCTGGTCCAAAGGACTGCTGCCCTCTAGAGGCATGTGTGGGGACAGGCCCCTCGTGCGGTGGGACGGACACCGCGTCATAGAACGGCGGTCCGAGCGGTACCTGATGGACGGTGCGGTCCCAGGAGACGTGTCCCTGACCATCCTGGACCTGAGGACTGAAGATGCAGGGACTTACAGCTGCAGAGTGGATCTGCCCTGGGCACTGGACCACAAACAGTACTATATTCTGCAGGTCAGGCCCGGTAAGGTCTGTGGAGCTTTAGACCTGCTTCAGCCCTGTTTGAGACCTGCTTTAGTCCTGCTTCAGCCCTGTTTGAGACCTGCTTTAGTCCTGCTTTAGACCTGCTTTAGTCCTGTTTTAGACCTGCTTTAGACCTGCTTTAGTCCTGCTTTAGTCCTGCTTTAGACCTGCTTTAGTCCTGTTTTAGACCTGCTTTAGTCCTGCTTTAGACCTGCTTTAGTCCTGTTTTAGTCCTGCTTTAGACCTGCTTTAGTCCTGTTTTAGTCCTGCTTTAGTCCTGCTTTAGTCCTGCTTTAGTCCTGCTTTAGTCCTGCTTTAGACCTGCTTTAGTCCTGTTTTAGTCCTGTTTTAGACCTGTTTTAGTCCTGTTTTAGACCTGCTTTAGTCCTGTTTTAGACCTGCTTTAGTCCTGTTTTAGTCCTGCTTTAGTCCTGTTTTAGTCCTGTTTTAGACCTGCTTTAGTATATTGTCCTCTCTCCACAGCTGAAGCCCGGAGCTCCGCCGCTCCTCTCTTCACCTCTCTCCCCTCGTCCACCGCAGGTAAAACAGGACTTTTTCCCTCCCTCAGGTCAGAGCTTTGACCGGACTTTCCAAATTCAGACCCGAGGTCTGCCTCTGGTCCAAAAAGTGGTCTCTCTCTGGTCCAGAATGGGGTCTTTCTTTGGTCCAGATTGTGTCTTCCTCTGGTCCAGAATGTGGTTTTCCTCTGGTCCAGAACATGGTATTTCTCTGGTCCAAAAGGTGGTCTCTCTCTGGTCCAGAGGGTGGTCTTCCTCTGGTCCAGGTTGTTACCTGAATCTGCCACCAGAGGGAGTGTGGCAGTGACCCCCTGACCTCCTGTTCCCACAGATCACATGACCCTGCGTCACATGACCTCGGCCCACGTGACCAGCGCCTCTCCGCAGATCTGGACTTCCTCCTCCGGGCGCCGAGCAGAGGTGAAAAACAGATCTTCATCAGTTCTTTGATAAAACCATAGAGAATATACGAAGAGGACTGACTGAGTGTGACATCACCATAATGTGGCCATACCTGCAGATGAAAGACAGATCCAGTCAGACCTCTGCTGCTAAGCAGGGTAGGGCCTGGTTATCAGTGTGATGGGAGACAGTGGGGCGGCTGCCGATGATAATTGCAAAACTTTGTGTGTGCGTGAATCCATGTTTCACTCTAACTACGTTTAGTAAAAGATATAGATTTGACACATAACATCAACTACACGCTGCTTTAGACTTTAGAACCACAGACACATGTTCAGTATAAGACTTTAGAACCACAGACACATGTTCAGTATAAGACTTTAGAACCACAGACACATGTTCAGTATAAGACTTTAGAACCACAGACACATGTTCAGTATAAGACTTTAGAACCACAGACACATGTTCAGTATAAGACTTTAGAACCACAGACACATGTTCAGTATAAGACTTTAGAGCAGGGGTCGGCAACGTTTGTGACATGGAGTGCCAGTTTGAAATTTTCTTCTCATCTAGTGTGCCATTACCATCGATAAACGCAAAGTTAAAATATGACACAAAATACATAAACATTTTCAATATACCTGGAATTTTTTTCTCAACAATAACAGTATCTGTATTCAAAATAATTTAGCCACATCAACATTTCAAAGACTGAAAAAACAGCTAGTGTAGCATATAACAATATTAAGTCCAGTAAACTGATTATTTGGGCTCAGACCAGAAGCTAAGATTCGGCTCACAGAGGGAGAGGTGTTTAAAATCACAGATAACAAAGACAGTGGTATGGTCCAGATGTGAATTATGTTCAAAGATAGATATTAGGGGTGCAACGGTTTGAAAAAAAATCACGGTTTGGATCGTACCTCGGTTCAGAGGCCACGGTTCGGTTCATAAACAAGGCTCCTGTGGATTCAACACCTGCAGGAGGATCAGTGAGGGGCTGGTGCTCTGTGTACTGGGTGCAGCTCTGACTGCCACCCCCCTGACCTAGAAATGGATTAAGGGGAAGAAAATGGATGGATGGAAGGCATATTCCATCCATCCAATTATGTCTTTTTAACATAATTAATGAAAAACAACACAAAGTGCAACATAAGAAGGCACTTTATGAGGGTATTTACCCTCACACATTAAACCACCTGATTCTCCCGAGGAGGCGCTCCATCCTGGGCCCAGCCTCATTCACTGCATTTATTTAATTTTTGGCATTATCAGTTGTGACTAGGATATTAGTACTGGGCCTTTGTCTTCCATTCCTCCACTGCTGTGTCAGTACCTGCGCTGTGTGCCTGTGTGACTGTCGTAGAGGGGGCGTGTCTGCAGTGCCAGACCTTTCATCTCCCAGTCTGCGGTGATGAAGTGAGCGGTTATCGTAACATCTCATGGATCAACCGCTCATGGATCTATTATACTGTATGTTTCGCGGGACGTCCAAGCGTCAGTCGTGAGCGCAGCTGAGGATGTGCAGGAGAGTTGATCGATCGTATTTACTCTTTTAAAAAGATTTGCGGACTTTACGTCTGCCATCTTGGATTCCTCTTGCTGCTGCATGAGAGAAGCTTGAGAAGGCAGTGCAAACCCCACGTAACACCGGCAATCCTGATTGGTCGATTAAAAAATAATCTGGGGAAGGCGTACGCTATGGCGTCGATACCAGACCCATGTCGTTCAGCCAAACGCCTCTGGTGGAGCATGGCGGAACTACAAGGGTCTGGCAGAGCCAGGCAAGAACCTTTGCACCTCTAATAGATATTTACAAAGGCAGGGGATAGATTACACACACACACACACCCCACATTCACAATATTTACAAAATATAATTTAACGGGTTTTGAGTGAGAGAGTCCGGTTGAGAGTTGGGTTTGGCAGGTTGGTTTGAAAAGGTGGAGCGTGTACTTTGCAGTAATCCAGTTCAGGTTATTGTCTCAGTTTGTGGTGGTGTGTGGGGGAGCAAAGACTGCTCGCCTCCTACCACACTGTAGGGTTGACAATCTCTAGGTTTTCGGCCTGGGGCAGCTCGCCATCAGAAGAAGTCCATATGGACGGACGGATCCAAGGAACCTGGCCTGCATGACAGGACCAACAGTTTCATTTAGCAATATATCACTACTACAAAAATACATGTACAATAAATATATACTCAATAATCAGAGAGCTCATTCTCACTTCATAATTCACCATTAATCCTCTGCACCATTAATCACAATGCAATTAATTCAGTTCAGTCCATCCATCCATTTTCTACCCTTTAATCCATTTCTGGGTCAGGGGGGTGGCAGTCAGAGATGCCACCCAAGTCTCATAGCACCAGCCCCTCACTGACCCTCTGCAGGTGGTGAGTCCACAGGAGGAGGCTGCTCTCTGAGTGTGAGCATAGCCTTGATCTTTCAGTGGGGGCTTTGGGCAAAGTGGGGTTAAGTGTCTTGCCCAAGGACACAACGACAGCAGTCATCAGTGGGAGTCGGTGGAGAAGGTGCAGAGGTGGGAATTGAACCCATGACCTTCTGGCCTTAAGGCCAATGCTCTACCAACTGAGCTACTGTCGCCCTTCAGTTCAGTGCACATATCAACTGGCTGACTAAATACTATTTTTTTTTATTTTTTATTTTTTTTTTTTGCCCCACTGTATATTTTTGATATGTGTCAGTTCAGTGCACATATCAAAAATATACAGTGGGGCAAAAAAGTATTTAGTCAGCCACCGATTGTGCAAGTTCTCCCACTTAAAATAATGACAGAGGTCTGTAATTTTCATCATAGGTTCACTTCAACTGTGAGAGACAGAATGTGAAAAAAAAAATCCAGGAATTCACATTGTAGGATTTTTAAAGAATTTATTTGTAAATGATGGTTAAAAATAAGTATTTGGTCACTTCAAACAAGGAATATCTCAGGCTCTCACAGACCTGTAACTTCTTCTTTAAGAAGCTCTTCTGTCCTCCACCTGTTACCTGTATTAATGGCACCTGTTTGAACTCATCTGTATAAAAGACACCTGTCCACAGCCTCAAACAGTTAGACTCCAAACTCCACTATGGCCAAGACCAAAGAGCTGTCGAAGGACACCAGGAAAAGAATTGTAGACCTGCACCAGACTGGGAAGAGTGAATCTACAATAGGCAAGCAGCTTGGTGTGAACAAATCAACTGTGGGAGCAATTATCAGAAAATGGAAGACATACAAGACCACTGATAATCTCCCTCGATCTGGGGCTCCACGCAAGATCTCATCCCGTGGGGTCAAAATGATCATGAGAACGGTGATCAAAAATCCCAGAGCCACACGGGGGGACCTGGTGAATGACCTGCAGAGAGCTGGGACCAAAGTAACAAAGGTTACCATCAGTAACACACTACGACGACAGGGAATCAAATCCTGCAGTGCCAGACGTGTCCCCCTGCTGAAGCCAGTGCATGTCCAGGCCCGTCTGAAGTTTGCCACAGAGCACATGGATGATACAGCAGAGGATTGGGAGAATGTCATGTGGTCAGATGAAACCAAAGTAGAACTGTGGATGAAGCCAATGAGAACAAACACGAGCTTTACCCGGTTTCAAACTGAATGAAGGCATCTGATTGGTCTGACCTTAAATGGCTCATATGGCGCCGTAAAGATTGCACCGTGGCAAGAGCTCTGGTGTGTGTCGTCTTCTCTGTCTGGTGCACACTGGGGTCGTCTTGCACAGTTTTTCCAATGTGGTTTTACTGCAAATGGCAAATAAATGAATCTGAATCTGATATCTGGATTTACAAAGACAATACCACAATAAAAACACCAGGATCACACAGAGAGAGCGTCCAGGTTCTGTGGGTCTAGGTTCTGTGGGTCCAGATTCTGTGGGTCCAGGTTCTGTGGGTCTAGATTCTGTGGGTCCAGGTTCTGTGGGTCCAGGTTCTGTGGGTCTAGGCTCTGTGGGTCCAGATTCTGTGGGTCCAGGTTCTGTGGGTCTAGATTCTGTGGGTCCAGGTTCTGTGGGTCCAGGTTCTGTGGGTCCAGATTCTGTGGGTCCAGGTTCTGTAGGTCTAGGTTCTGTGGGTCCAGGTTCTGTGGGTCTAGGCTCTGTGGGTCCAGACCCAGATAGCAAAAGGACATCGTTTCAACATTGATTTAGGGTTGACTTTTGGTTGAGGTTGAAAAAAAAATGTTGATTCAATGTTTTATTACAGATAATAAATCAATAATTAAAAAAAGAATGTTGAATCAACACTATTTTATGGACATAAGTTCAACCATTGAAAGTGTAACATTGAATCAACCTTATTTTACAGATGGAAATTTAACCATTGAAAGTGTAACGTTGAATCACTGTTGAAAATCGGTTGTATATTTTTTTTGGTTAAAAAATTCCCAATAAATCAATGTTGTTTCGATATAAGGACTACAAGCCCGGGAGATTTTAGTTAAGTGTACAGCGCCCCTGCATCTCGGAGACGGAGACGGAGAAAGTCAGAACTGGTAAGTGCTCATCGCTTCTAAACTTAAATCATCGTCTTGGGTGTGATCAGTGAGCTAATAAATAGAATGTAAGGTGTTGCTTTAGGCTATGTTATGCTATTTTCTTAGTAGTTTGTCAGAAGCTGATGTGTAACCAACATTATGCCAAGCTAACGTTAAACTTTGCCACCAAAAAAGCTCGGAGAAAAGCTCAGTTTAAGGGGCTGTTTTTAGCTGCTTACAATTCCTCAGCACCCGGTTGGGAACAAGGATGGTATTATGGTTGTGTTATGCAAATGGGTTTTATTACTTTTCAGGTAGTTAATAATTCGCTGCTTAGTTTAACTATAACTTTCCCCACCCAATAGAGGGGGCTAAAGCACTTCGGTAAAGCCACGATCTATGATTAGCACACTGCGATTTATAAGGTTAAAGTTGAATAGCCTATAATGTAAAATAAAAAAATGTCATGGTAAGACACAAGGTTTAATGACAATTAAATATTTATTTGTGAGTAAATACAGCATTTCACATACACTTCATTTGTACTAGTCATTCACTTTCAGACAGAAAAATCAAAAAGCATTAAAACCAAATCTAAAAGCTTTAATAATGATTTCCATTTCTCTTTTACAGAAGTCCCAAGTTGATATCACGAACAACAAAGCAATCAAGTAATGCAATTTTTACAGCACCATCTCAAATGCAATTAGGATGTCTTCATATTGTGTGTTCTAAAATGGTCTGTTCTGTTCTTTCTTTCTTTTTTTTTTAAAGAAATGCACTACTGTGTGGCAATATATCAATTTGTTAGGGTCATTTATTTATTATTGAATGAATTGTGAAATAAAGGCCTTAAATGTAATTAAAACGCATTAAAATGTATTCCAACAGGCATTAATTGTACATATCTTTGAAAATAGTGATGTTATATAACTGTGTTACTGCAAATATTCATTGAAAATACAAAAAAATAAGCTCCAAAACACACTGAACTCCAGTTTTGAATTAAATTGAACACATTTTTTGGCACAAATTGCTCGTTGTGTATAATTCCGTTAAATATTGAAAATGATGCTGTGTACCAGTGTTCCTCGTGACACTAACCAAATCTGCACCACTTCTACAAACGTTTTATTGCTACACTACAATTACCTGGATAGCCTTAATTATGACGGCCCTGTAAATAAGTACTTTTATGAAACAAAGTATTATACAGTGGTTACATTGTGTTGGCAACAAATTGAGGGAATATATATTCGCATTGAGTAACCTTGTGTATGAAATGCGGTATAAATTAACATTGACTTGCCTATAATTCATACATTCTTGACTGTATCCTGGGGAGATATGTATTTATTTATTGTACTTTTATAGTTTTACACTTAAAACCTACCCCAATATATCACCATAAGCAATGGGTTTTCTATTTATTTTTGTGGTATTTGGTCAAAACTCAATCTCCTGTCTCTTCTCCATGTCTCATGTGCTTCTGCTCCAAATGCTTTTTGTTTGTTTGTTTTTAATTTACTGTACATTCTTCATGGAGGCAGGTTATTGTTTTTTTTACTATATTTATTCATGGAAGCAAAAGTGCTGAAGTGCTGGGCTGTACGTGTTTCGTAATGCAAAAAAACAAAAAAGATGTAACTTATGCTGTAATATCTGTCTTGGGACTGCAGGAGGCACTGTCACGCTATAGGCACCAAATAACGATTTAAATGGGGCATGCGCAGTAAAATTTTGTAATGTAAATACCTTGGTAAACTTGTCATTCTGAGTGCTATATGGATGCGTAATGTAAAAAAACAACAGGAGGAGATGGATTATGCCTCAGATCCATATTGGACTGGTTATGCCTGTGTAAATGACTCAACATGATGACCGCGGTGAATGTTTAGTGGCTGATTTAGGTGGTGACGCGGTAAGTAAATCCAATAATCAAAATATAGTTTAAAAAAGGTTGAATATAGGCATATTTCAATCGTTTAATCAATGTTGAATCCATGTTTAAAAAACGTTTGAATTTCGACATCTATTCAACTCCTAATCAATGTTATTTGCATGACATTGATTCCATGTCAGAAAAGCTCAAAAATCAACGTTGTGTTCGACATCTATCATATCGAGCGCTTTCAATCGCAGTTCAACGTCATTTTTCAACATCTATTCAATCACAGGCCATAACACTATCTAAATGTTGAAACGATGTCCTTTTGCTATCTGGGGATTCTGTGGGTCCAGATTCTGTGGGTTCAGGTTCTGAGGGTCCAGATTCTGTGGGTCCAGGTTCTGTGGGTCTAGGTTCTGTGGGTCCAGGTTCTGTGGGTCTAGGCTCTGTGGGTCCAGATTCTGTGGGTCCAGGTTCTGTGGGTCTAGGCTCTGTGGGTCCAGATTCTGTGGGTCCAGATTCTGTGGGTTCAGGTTCTGTGGGTCTAGGTTCTGTGGGTCCAGGCTCTGTGGGTCCAGGTTCTGTGGGTCCAGGTTCTGAAGTCTTTCTGCTCTGAACGTTCTGCAGGAGAAGAAGACTACTGTCCTGATGATGTCACTGCTCCCACTGCTCTTCTTCATCCCAGCGGTCATCATCATCATCCTCAGTGAGTCTGATCTCTGGACGAGGTCGGAACTAGGTCTGGACCAGGTCTAAACCAGGTGGGAACTAGATCTGGACCACGACTGAACTAGGTCTAAACCAGGTCTAAACCAGGTCTAAACCAGATCTAAACCAGGTCTAAACGGGGACTGGTCCAGTCCTGGTCCAGTCCTGGTCCAAACCTGGGCTTTTGTAATTTTGTATTTCTTTTCCCTGAAAACCCACTACAAAGTTCTGCACATCTAGAGATTGAGAGTTTTGCACATTCTTCTTTACAAAACAGCTGTCCTCGGTCAGAACAGATGGAGGGCGTTTGTGTTTCCACTATAACTTATTTATTCCACTGAGGCCGATGAGCAGCGTTAGCTCTCGGCCCAAACGGCTCCAGTCTCTTAAGTTTCTGTTGTGTTTGATGTTTTTGTTTTTCTACAGTTTGAATCTGTTTCTTCTGTTTCAGTTTCAGTGCGGAAACGTCGCTGCTTTCAGAAAATGTGAGTTTCTTCTGTTTTTTTCTCTCTCGTTGACTTTGACATTTTGTGGTTTGGACTCTGGTCTTTGTCTGAACAAGGACTGGACCAGGACTGGACCAGGATTGGTCCAGGAGTGGACCAGTAGTGAACCAAGACTGGACCAGGACTGAACCAAGACTGAATCAGGACTGAATCAGGACTGGACCAGTATTAGACCCGGACTAGGCCAGGACTGGACAAATATTGGACCTGGACTCAAAGCGGGGACATTTTTATCACTTTGTTATGTGTACTTCAAAAGCGTGTGGAATTATGGCCCATTCCTCACAAAAGTCCACAGCTTGTCTCTGCTCAATAAAAGAGACAGAAAATGTGAGTTCCAGTTTCCGTTTCTCAGAGGGTTTTCTTTGAGTTTTCTATTTTGTGGTCTGGTTTCTGGTCTTCGCTGAGTCAGAACTTAACTGACTCTTCGCTCTTGTCGTTTCTGCTGAAAACCCAAATGCTGTTGTGGCAGCGATGGCGTGTTGCCATGGTGATTACTCCACTCTACTTTACTCTACTCTTCTCTACCCTGTTCTACTCTACTCTACTCTACTCTACTCTACTCTACTCTACTCTACTCTACTCTACTCTACTCTACTCTACTCTACTCTACTCTACTCTACTCTACTCCACTCCACCCTAATGTTTTTCAACCACTGTGCCGCGGCACACTATTGTGCCGTATGATATTGTCTGGTGTGTCGTGAGAAACTTTCCTTCTTTGTCTAACAATAAATGCATCCGTCGTTGGCGAGTTCTGACTTGTTTTGAACTGTGGAGAAACCACGTCATACTTTTAAACAATTGGAAGCGACCACAGGATGTAACAGGCAGCGGGGAGCAATGTGGCTCGTGAGAAAGGAAAGTGATTGAGACCTTTTTGAAAAGGAATTGTGTCATTTCTGAACAGGATTCACATCCTCCGCTCTGCCCCCGGGGCAGCTGTGGCTGCGTTTGTACTGACAGCCGCTTTGACAACAGCTCAGGGAACGCACATCCGTAACATGGTACCGAGCACCGACCATAGTCACGTGGAACCATGGACTCGTGTTCAGGACCATCTTCCCCGTGTCTCCCCCGTGTCTCTCGCGCGTCTCTCGCGCGTCTCTCGCGCGTCTCTCCCGCGTCTCTCCCGCGTCTCTCGCGCGTCTCTCGCGCGTCTCTCCCGCGTCTCTCCCGCGTCTCTCGCGCGTCTCTCGCGCGTCTCTCGCGCGTCTCTCCCGCGTCTCTCCCGCGTCTCTCCCGCGTCTCTCCCGCGTCTCTCCCGCGTCTCTCGCGCGTCTCTCGCGCGTCTCTCCCGCGTCTCTCCCGCGTCTCTCCCGCGTCTCTCGCGCGTCTCTCGCGCGTCTCTCCCGCGTCTCTCCCGCGTCTCTCGCGCGTCTCTCCCGCGTCTCTCCCGCGTCTCTCGCGCGTCTCTCCCGCGTCTCTCCCGCGTCTCTCCCGCGTCTCTCCCGCGTCTCTCCCGCGTCACTCCCGCGTCACTCCCGCGTCTCTCCCGCGTCTCTCGCGTGTCTCTCGCGTGTCTCTCCCGTGTCTCTCCCGTGTCTCTCCCGTGTCTCTCCCGTGTCTCTCCTGCGTCTCTCCCGTGTCTCTCCCGCGTCTCTCCCGTGTCTCTCCTGCGTCTCTCCCGTGTCTCTCCCGTGTCTCTCGCGTGTCTCTCCCGTGTCTCTCCCGTGTTTCTCCCGTGTCTCTCGCGTGTCTCTCCCGTGTCTCTCCCGTGTCTCTCCCGTGTCTCTCCTGCGTCTCTCCCTCTCCCGTGTCTCTCCCGTGTCTCCCCTGCGTATCTCCCGTGTCTCTCCCGTGTCTCTCCCGCGTCTCTCCCGTGTCTCTCCCGCGTCTCTCCCGTGTCTCTCCCGCGTCTCTCCCGTGTCTCTCCTGCGTCTCTCCCGTGTCTCTCCCGTGTCTCTCCCGCGTCTCTCCCGCGTCTCCTCCCGTGTCTCTCCCGTGTCTCTCCCGTGTCTCTCGCGTGTCTCTCCCGCGTCTCTCCCGTGTCTCTCCCGTGTCTCTCCTGCGTCTCTCCCGCGTCTCTCCCGTGTCTCTCCCGGTCCTCTCCCGCGTCTCTCCTGGTCTCTCCTGCGTCTCTCCGCGTCTCTCCCGTGTCTCTCCCGCGTCTCTCCCGTGTCTCTCCTGCGTCTCTCCCGTGTCTCTCCCGTGTCTCTCCCGCGTCTCTCCCGCGTCTCTCCCGTGTCTCTCCCGTGTCTCTCCCGTGTCTCTCGCGTGTCTCTCCCGCGTCTCTCCCGTGTCTCTCCCGTGTCTCTCCTGCGTCCTCCCGCGTCTCTCCCGTGTCTCTCCTGCGTCTCTCCCGTGTCCCTCCTGTGTCTCTCCTGCGTCTCTCCCGTGTCTCTCCTGTGTCTCTCCCGCGTCTCTCCCGTGTCTCTCCCGCGTCTCTCCCGTGTCTCTCCCGTGTCTCTCGCGTGTCTCTCCCGTGTCTCTCGCGTGTCTCTCCCGCGTCTCTCCCGTGTCTCTCCTGTGTCTCTCCTGTGTCTCTCCCGCGTCTCTCCCGTGTCTCTCCCGCGTCTCTCCCGCGTCTCTCCCGTGTCTCTCGCGTGTCTCTCCCGCGTCTCTCCCGTGTCTCTCGCGTGTCTCTCCCGTCTCTCCTGCGTCTATCCCGTGTCTCTCCCGTGTCTCTCCCGTGTCTCTCCCGTGTCTCTCCTGTGTCTCTCCCGTGTCTCTCCCGTGTCTCTCCCGCGTCTCTCCCGCGTCTCTCCCGTGTCTCTCCCGTGTCTCTCCCGTGTCTCTCGCGTGTCTCTCCCGTGTCTCTCCTGTGTCTCTCCCGTGTCTCTCCCGTGTCTCTCCCGTGTCTCTCCTGCGTCTCTCCCGTGTCTCTCCCGTGTCTCTCCTGTGTCTCTCGCGTGTCTCTCCCGCGTCTCTCCTGCGTCTATCCCGTGTCTCTCCCGTGTCTCTCCCGTGTCTCTCCCGTGTCTCTCCTGTGTCTCTCCCGTGTCTCTCCCGTGTCTCTCCCGCGTCTCTCCCGCGTCTCTCCCGTGTCTCTCCTGCGTCTCTCCCGTGTCTCTCCTGCGTCTCTCCCGTGTCTCTCCCGTGTCTCTCCTGTGTCTCTCGCTTGTCTCTCCCGTGTCTCTCCCGCGTCTCTCCCGTGTCTCTCCTGCGTCTCTCCCGTGTCTCCTTCCAAAGCGTAACCAAAGCTCCAGAATTTAAAGCTCGGATACCTACATTTTCCATGTTGCATGCATGTTATTTGTATAAACTTTATTGATGTCTGATGGAGAAATGCACATGTCACGTTTGGCACAGACAGAATCACTCAGATTGTGCAAAAGACAGAAGTGTGCAACATGTTTAAACATTTAGTCTGTGCAGGATATAATTACTGTATGTACAAGAAAACTGTGGCAATAGCAGCTGGTTCTTCAGTCCTAGTGCAGGTCAATAGGGACTTAAAGTGACTTATTGTACAGTCTGACAGCTCCTCTACAGTCCTGTGCAATGGGTGGGATGATGCACAACAGTGGTTTTCTGTTGCTGCTTCTGGACACCTGCATTTCTCCTACAAGGATCAATAGCGAACTATCTAAATGACGTCACTAAGACACGCCCCCACCGCCTGTCAACTCCCGCCCACATGTTTCGGACAAACACTGCCGAAATGAATCAAATACCACTTGTCACTTTAGACGAAAATGATAAACCAGGGGCAAAATTCCACCATCAAACCATCAGGGATCATAGTGTAGACCAATTATAACGTTGGCTTGAATGTCGTGGTCTTCCAGTAACTGGTAGACGGTTTGAATTGATAAAAAGATAATGGTGAGGATTATGCTAACATTATCTAGTCATTTAAATTGCAATGTTAGCGCCTTCTTTGTTTGTTTTGCTGTGATTAACTTCCATTTATCAAGTTGTTTTTGCACTATCCACTTTGTAATTAGTTTGATCATTAGCTAGCTACAGTCAGCTGATATTATAATAAATCCATGATCACAACGGGTTACGCCACTGTCAGAGCTAGCCACACTCAGTAAACGCAAATGACAATCAATCAACACATTTAAATGTTAATGGGAGAATACATTATACACATTCATAACACAAGTGCACGGAGGTTTTCAGAATTAACTGTTCAGGTTTTCATGACAAAAATACTTTTTTAATGCGACTAAAGCGATCGCTTTTAGGTTAACTATCCTCACTGTTACTCGCCTGCCACGGGAAAACCTTTGGGAACTATTTTCTTTGCACTCATTAAATAAACCTTTCGGCATGAGTAGTGAATGACGTTTATTTTGTGTGTTCAATTGGTACAAAGCCGTATAATAAGCAGACACAAAGTTGAAAAAAATCCCTCTCATCTTTCTTCAGGTGTGAGAATTGTATACTTTCTGGATTAGGACAAACAATACTAATATGGATTGATGGGGGTAAATGGTGTAAAGAGAAAGTTTGTGCTAACTACATTCAGAAGAGCTCAGACGGACCTGATACAGCGGTCCAGATCCAGTCCCAGCTAAACGTAGCTAGGACTGGATCTGGATGCTCCACAGTTGGTCCAGCGAAGTGTTTTGAAAAAACATGTGCCCTTTTTAACCTTTTCATGAGAGAAATTCTGCCGACCACAAGCACCCACCTGGTCTGATCTGGTCCTGGTCTGGTCCTGGTCTGGTCCGATGTTGTGGTTTAACGAACGGGTTGAATGTTACTTTCATATAGTCCTTTTCAGAGTATCTGAAATCGCTCCGACAAGCACCATAACTGCAGTGTTTTGTTGTCACCATGATTCAATGATTTAGCCCAAATAAATACACACGCGTATGAGGAGAACACAGTAGAACTCAACGAGTCGTACACAATGTTTGTCCGAAACATGCGCGCATGCGCAGTCATCTGAGCTATTTTTAGCACATTTCGGAAACCGGACAGTGCCCTATAAAGTATCTATCTGTCTAGTGTCTGATAGCGTATCCTAGCAACCTCCCCACAACAAACCAGTATCTGAGTAAATTACTTGGTAACCATGGCTTTCAGAAGCACTCTGGCCAATCACTGTCAGTTAGAACACTTTAGTACCAGCTCGGTCTGGATTGAACCGGGACCAAGAGGGACTAAATAAGGACCTGGTACTGGTTAAACAGGACCATAAACGGTCTCTGTTTCTCTGTTTCAGGTCTGAGAGTCTGAGTCCGGTTCAGATCAGCTCCTCCACACTTCATCTGCAGCAGCGTCCGGAGGGAGAGGAGAATATCTACAACTGAACCAGGACTGGTGTGGGACTAAATGAGGACTGGACCAGGATTGGACCAGGACTGAAAAGACTAAACCAAAACTGAACCAGGACTGGACAAGGACTGGACCGGGACTCCACCAGGACTGGACCGGGACTCCACCAGGACTGGACCGGGACTCCTCATCACCTGTATTGAATCTTTAACCTGACACACTCCAATGAATGCATTTCATCGTACAGTCTTAAAAAGAAGATGGAATTATTGTCCATTCCTCCATCTTGTTCAACTTTATAAGCGCTGCTCCTAATTGGCTCGTTGGTTGCTAGGCAGTTTGTACCTTCATCATTTTTCGCCTGTTTGAAGGTTTGTTTTTGCAGACTGAAGAATTATTATTTAAGTGAATATCGCAGAGACTCAGGTATCAGGTCTGACTTTTTCGGTTCTAAACAAAGTCGTACATCCTGGAAAAGAACAGTCCATCTGTTTATAGTTTAAGGTAGTTTTCACTCACTGTGGTGTAATGTTGGTTAAGAATTTAAAATGTCCGAAATAAATATATTGTTTGTCAATGATGCAATAAAAGGTTGTACTTTTATACTTTAACCTAAAACTGGTACCTTTGTCACCGCGGTTGGACTAGTGCAGGGATCCCAATGATCGGAGTGAGACTATGTGAACTAATATAATACGTAGACAATATGGATAAACACAAGTAAGTCAAAGCAGGTTTATTAGTATAGCACAGTTCATACTCAAGGCATCACCAGACGCTTTACAAAACAAGAGGAAACGGTAAAACAGATAAAACCATTAATATTCCCAGTACATGATGCAAAGCTCAACACTGGCCCAGCAGCGCCCTCCAGTGGAGGATTTGTGATAATGTAAAATCGTAAAAACAACACGCGCTTGTAAATGACGTCATTAAACAGGAAAACACGGAAACACTCATTAGAAATAAACGTTTGCTTTAAAAAGGTTCTGTCTTCTGCCCTCTCTCTCTCCTCCCCTCTCCTCTCTCTCTCTCCTCCCCTCTCCTCTCTCCCTCTCCTCTCCTCTCTCCCCCCTCTCCTGTCCTCTCTCTCTATTTTTGTTGTTGTCCAAACAGAAAGAGTCTTGTGAAAGTAAAATGTTGTGATGTTATCTTTTGTGTAAGAAAGAGCCCTGTGAGTCACTAATTGACTTTTTGGACGAAAACACCTGCATGTGAAAACTAGGGATAGATGCAAACTGTTTTGGAGTCAGGAACTAACCCTGAACCCAAACCCTAACTCATGAGCTCTATTGTTGGGTGTGAAAGTTACGTACTCTAGCCCAGTAAAGTCCCTCCCTTGGAATGAGCCTTGACCAATGAGGAGGCTTTGAATTATTTTGGTCCAATCAGGAAGCTGTGTGTTTGTGTGTGGGCGGGTCTAACCAGTGCTTACGTTCATTCTCTCTTCACCAATGGATCTTACTTCAAAGCTTCAGTTATAAAAGATAATACAAAGATAAAAGACAAAATAACCAATACAGGCTTGATGAGCGGGAAACCAAAAACTCATAAATATAAGTCATGTTCGATCAAAGTGAAAGTGAAAACAGATAAAGCAGAAGCAAAAGCTCACTCCTCTTCTTTACCCTCCCTCTCTGTCTCCTCTCTCTCGTCTCTTCCCTCTCTCCTCTCCTCTTCCTTCTCCTCTTCCGTGTCTTCTTTGTAAATGTGGAAGTCAGACCCCTCAAACTTCTGCAGTGGTACGGAATCGGGCCACAGCTTCTGCACTATGGTGTTGGCTTCTTCGAACAATGGAAACTTTTTAAGGTAGGAATACACTCTATCGGCGACTGGGTCCTTCTTACAGAATCTCAAACCTCTGCACAGCTCCTGCTCTGTGAACCGTAGCACCTGGAGAAAACACATGTTCAAATTAAAGTCATGTGCACTACAGACTTGTTCTAATCCTGTTCACAGAATCAGAACTTGATCAACTTTAAAACAAATGATGTGCGATAACACAGGTTTAATATGGAGAAGGTATGAAAGTGAAATACACCGACAGCTTTTTAAGTCTTCTGAGATGACTTCTGTTGTGATACAGGGTTATACAAGAATAAATTGTATTGTAAATGTATTTTGTGTGTGTGCACTTGTGTAGGTGTGTGTGTGTGTGTCTCTGCATATCTGTGTGTGTGTCTGTCTCTCTGTGTGTCTGTGTCAGTATGTTTGTTTCTCTCTGTATGTATGTGTGTGTCTCTATATTTGGTCTCTAAACTTTTTCTGGTCACTTTAGAAAGCGCCGGAAACAGCAGCAGGTCCTAAGAGTCTCTGAAACAATTGTTGTGTGTTTTACAATTGTTATTTTTCTTGGTCCAGACCAGAGCAGAGAGGATTCATGGTCAGAAAATGGTCAGAACGAAGAGGCTGCTCCACCTCTGCTGCTGTGACCTGAAGTGCTGTTGGATTTTAATGCTATTAGCTACATTTAGAATAATCAATTATTTGTTTTGTTTGTTTGAATGGATGTGTTTTGCTGCTACTGAACACCTGCGTTTCTCCTACGGGATCAATTAAGTATCTATATATCCAATCTCTCTCTGCTCTCTCTCTTTTTACAGCTGCAGCAGCGTTCAGACCTCCAACTGGTCCCTCTGGTCTCTCTCTGGTCTCTCTGGTCTCTCTCTGGTCTCTCTCTGGTCTCTCTGGTCTCTCTCTGGTCTCTCTCTGGTCTCTCTCTGGTCTCTCTGGTCTCTCTCTGGTCTCTCTCTGGTCTCTCTCTGGTCTCTCTCTGGTCTCTCTGGTCTCTCTCTGTTCTCTCTCTGGTCTCTCTCTGGTCTCTCTCTGGTCTCTCTCTGGTCTCTCTCTGGTCTCTCTGGTCTCTCTCTGGTCTCTCTCTGGTCTCTCTCTGGTCTCTCTCTGGTCTCTCTCTGGTCTCTCTCTGGTCTCTCTCTGGTCTCTCTCTGGTCTCTCTCTGGTCTCTCTCTGGTCTCTCTCTGGTCTCTCTCTGGTCTCTCTGGTCTCTCTCTGGTCTCTCTCTGGTCTCTCTCTGGTCTCTCTCTGGTCTCTCTCTGGTCTCTCTCTGGTCTCTCTCTGGTCTCTCTGGTCTCTCTGGTCTCTCTCTGGTCTCTCTCTGGTCTCTCTCTGGTCTCTCTCTGGTCTCTCTCTGGTCTCTCTCTGGTCTCTCTGGTCTCTCTCTGGTCTCTCTCTGGTCTCTCTGGTCTCTCTCTGGTCTCTCTCTGGTCTCTCTCTGGTCTCTCTCTGGTCTCTCTCTGGTCTCTCTCTGGTCTCTCTCTGGTCCCTCTGGTCTCTCTCTGGTCTCTCTCTGGTCTCTCTCTGGTCTCTCTCTGGTCTCTCTCTGGTCTCTCTCTGGTCTCTCTCTGGTCTCTCTCTGGTCTCTCTCTGGTCTCTCTCTGGTCTCTCTCTGGTCTCTCTCACTTCAGCAGTGGTGAGTTCAGGTGGTTAGAAAAGTGTAAAAAGAGTGAGGGTTTTACAGCCTTAAAACAAACAGCTGCTGTCAAAAAGTGTTTCACTTATTGTGGGTTATTTTTAGAACACATCACCCCCGCGATAAAGCAGGGTACATCCATGTAGAGCCCCCACTTGATACTGCGGCTCATCAGGAGCGTCTGTGTAGTCTGTGTGATGTCATTATGTTGCTGGGGTTCAGATCAGGGCAGTTCTTCCCAATCACCCCTCTCCTGAGTCCCCCAGGAGAATAACGGAGTCCCTGGTCAGTGCACCGTCCAGTACCCCTCCCAGGGACTCCAAGAAGGTCGAGTACTCTGCAGTCTGTGTGATGTCATTATAATGTGTGTAGAATGAAGTTACCTTATCGCCCACGTCCAGAACCAGACTCACATGATCCCACACGTAACGCTGAACAGGAATAAAATCTCTAATGGACAGATTTTCCTCATGTTCCTCCAGGAAAAATCTGAAAAACAAAGAGGCTGTTACTGCACAGTCTGTACGTGACGTTTACAGCTGTGGCGGTCATACAGGTTAATGGGTAAGTCTAATAATTATAATATTTGTATATATATATAAACTATATAGAGTTTGGATAGTACAGTTGTTATGGCCAAATGCACAATGATCCGAGGGAAACAAGTGTCTTGAGAAGCAAGTTTTCATATAATTTATAAAACCTCTAAACAAACCTGGTTTCTTATCAGGGAAATGGTGCCAGTGTGTCTGGATGTCTCCACCTTTTGACATGTCCTGCTCCACCCAGAGGCTACTCCACCTGTACTGCTGTGACCTAAAGGGCTGTTGCTAATTATTGCTATTATTATGTTTTTAGAATGATCAATTTTATTTTCATTTTTGCTGCTACTGGACACCTGAATTTCCCCTACGGGGATCAATAAAGTATCTATCAATCTATCTATCTATCTATGTGCTAAATAATCCCAGAACATTAAAGAGAGTGAAGATAGCATCCTTCAGTTTCAGCAGTGAAACAAAACTGTTTAAGGCCAGTCCCAAATAAGAATGAGTCCTTACTCGTGAGTCCCACACATGGCCTGTGGTCTCCAGATGAAGTGAGGGTTTGGATCTGCTCTGAAGGCACAGATGCAGTTCTCGCTCTCCTCCAGCAGGGGGACTTTCCTGTATTTCTTTTTATCTGGACTGTGGACCAGCACCGCGTACATCACTTCCTGTTTGTACAGCACGGTTTTCCATTTTCTCAAAACAGGAGGCTGCCCACCACAGAACTGCAGGAGAGAAAGTTACAATGATTCTGGGGACTAAACTTGTATTGTTCATGGGTGCCGACAAGACAACGAGTGAGGGGGCTTCCATCTTCTGGTAAACATACTTTTGGGATGAGCCCAGCCGAGAGAACCCTTTTTGCCCTGTACAGCCCAAGAGAAGTTCTTCATGAGAAGGACCAGGTGAGAGCCAGGAACCAGCTGAGAGCAGGGGACCAGGTGAGAGCAGGGGACCAGGTGAGAGCAGGGGACCAGGTGAGAGCAGGGGACCAGGTGAGAGCAGGGGACCAGTGAGAGCAGGGGACCAGGTGAGAGCAGGGAGGGCAAGAGCTCTAGTATGCACTATCCGCTCAATGTTGTTTTTATTCATGTTCGTACTTACTAGCTAGACCCTAGAGCCCCGGCGATCCAAGATGGCGGCGTATTCAAATGAATGGTTTGTGCTCAGTGGCGCATGTGACTGAAATATTAGCGGAATTGCAGATATCGTCTGGTTCTGCGCAGTGGACGAGTTCCCATGATGCTTTGCGCCAAATACGAGTGTGTGGCTCTCATGCACGTGCACAGAGGGGCTCGACCGCGCTCTGACCAATCAGAGCTGATGATCAGAGCGGCGTCAGAGCGGGACAGAAACGAGCAGAGTTTGTGGCAGTAAAGTGTGGATTTAAAGAAAACTGAAGAAAAAAACAAGGGACAATAAACTTCCCACAGAATCCGACCTTTATGAAAGCTGCAGGTTCTCTGTCAGGTTCTCTGTCAGCTGAGGTTGAGCTGTTTTTATGAAGGTTATTTTGTGTTTTTATTATCAACACTTTTTTTTGCTTTTGAATTCTATAAACTGTAACAAAAAAGTATTCAGTGTAAATAAATTCAATGTTTTAATATTCAGTGTCAAAATATTCAATGTTTTAAAATTCAGTGTCCAAAAATGTTTTAGCATTTTTTTTCAGGAGAGTCTGGCTGCAGACTCCCCCCCCCCCTCTCGCAGACCTCCCTGTTCAGCCCCTCCTCCTTCCTGTGACGTCACTTCCTTTACTGGACACAAGCAGACTTCTCTCAGTTTATGGAGACCCTGACAGTGAGGAGCATGAGAACATCTTGGAGCCCTTCAAGTTTGTCTTCTCTCGGATTGAGGACATGGAACTCTTTTCTGTTGAATGTGTTGATAAAAGGGGTGTTTTATTGTGAATGCATAATAAATAGTTGAACGGCTTTATCATTGAGATAATTTATTCACCACAAACGGGGAATGTGCAGTATTGTATCACAGGTTACAGAACGGTAGGATAATCAAAAATGTGTGTAGACCTGTAGGTCTAGCTAACTCTTATTCCTCTAAAAAAAATAATAGAAAAAATAAATATTGGGTACCTATGTAACTTTAATGCTGTTGCGAGAATAATATAGATAGGCGGGGGGAGTCTGCAGCCCGATGATTTTCGCTGCTTGAAATGTCATGCTTTATTTCCGTGTAAATCAAGACAGAAGCAATCGATCAGCCAATCCTCAATAGATGTAGCCAGGGCCAGAACACGACTTTGGCTTTATCCGAATCCACTATACCGTGCGGGACTATAGTGAGTGAGTGACTGAGTGGACTCATTCTGACGGCGATTCGGACGCTGCACACTATTATCAGGCCGTGCTGTTGTACGTGAGCGTCCCGCTGTAGCGTGGATCACGGAGCGGAGAGAGGAGCGGCCATGACGAGGTAAAGGTAAAAGTTGAAATTACGTTTTAATTAGGACATGTAATTGTATTAACATTGGAGGTGGGAAATAGCACCTTCTATTGTTATATCAGAGGTCTGTTTGGTGATTAAACAGATTTTCTTTGGACTTTTTCTCCAGCCTTGAGCTCCAATGCTAACACGCTAACCACGGGTGTAGAGCTGCGCTGATGCCCAGAATGGAGCGTCATGCCCTGGGAGTCATTTTGAGAGCTCCCTTATGCTAACAGTCTTAACTGTGGAAGTAATTATGAAAACCCAAAAAGGCGGCTTTTGTATCATACTTTCTCTGTTATAACAGTTGTTTTAAGAGTAATCATTAGTCTTAAAAATGTGATATTTCATGTAAATAATGCATGTGTTTAGTGCGATTGATGGATTTGCTATGGCCCTCGTTTGTGCATCACTTTGTTGTAAAGTCATTTGTATTAAGTACAAATGTGATAATGTGCATTTACTGATGACAAGGGGACATCTGTGAACATGAAGCTGGACACAGAAGACCCGTGGACTTGAACTGACCAGATTTAAGGTCATGAGCACTTACTTTTTGAGCACAAGCTCCTCTTGAAATCCAACAGACCTGATCATGTCAGAGTTAGAGGCTTAAATGTATTTAAGATTATAAGTATTACTTAAATAAAAGCTGAAACATGTTTCTCACTGATTGTGTGGTTGGATAAAACAAACACATCACTTTTCATTGCACACAAAGAACTAAATCATAATTATTTTATTTTATTCCAGGTTATGATGAGTCCACCGTAGAAAAGACAGTCAGAGGCAGACGTCCAGGCACCTGCTGTTGTTGTTACTGCTGCTGTTACTGCTGTTGTTACTGCTGTTGTTACTGCTGCTGTTACTGCTGTTGTTACTGCTGCTGTTACTGCTGCTGTTACTGCTGCTGCTGCTGCTGTTGTTACTGCTGCTGTTACTGCTGTTCAGTGGCGGCCGGCCAATAGAGGGCGCTAGGGCGCCGCCCCACCACTCACAACTTGCCATGTTACCTTGAATAAAACGTAAAGAAAAATAATAACATTAAAATATTTCGAAATTTATGTGTGTTTTATTTCAGATGTAGAAGAAATACTTTATAGTTTATGCTGAGTTGGATTGATTAAGCTCATCAGCGTTGTCTGTGTCGGACTGAGGACGTATTTCCGCCTCAGGGCGCAAAAGATTGCGCCCTGAGCCGTCTATGGACTCTCGTTAAAGGTTGTACATGCGCAGTAGCTCCTCTTCAATGCAAGAGATAAGACGATTTGGGGGCGCAGGAGAAGTGCGCCCTGAGGGGGCGGGATCGCCCGCGACCTGTACTGTCACTGTCTGTGACGTCCGTTTACAGTGATTGACAGGTCAAGCTGTGGGAGTTTGAGACGAACGTAAAGAGACGCAAAATGGAGAACGAGAAAAAGAATAATTCAGTTAGATCACTCAAAACAATACCGTTTGAGAGAAGATCATACCAGGAGAAGGTTGAGGTTAAAGAGCTTGGACCTGATCAGCCAAATATTACCATTAGTCAGCAGTCCAGGACCTGGTTCAGCGCCAAATCTTGGCTAGCAGCATGTAGCGAGGCTAATGCTTTATTTTGCTTTCCATGCCTCTTGTTTCAAACATCAGGATCTGACCCAGCATGGATCAAGACAGGTATGACTGATCTGAAGCACTTTTTAGAAAAGGCAAAGAAGCATGAGCAGACTGTATCCACATGCAAAATGCCCTCAAATTAGCTATGTTTGGGAAGATAAATATTTCATCCCAGGCTGCTGGATGAAAGCTACAGGGTAGGGATCAGAAAGCATCCCTACCCTGCTGGTATATATCTAGTCATCATATTCATAGCCCCCCCAGTAGAAAATTCCACCAGCCGCCACTGCTGCTGTTGTTACTGCTGCTGCTGTTACTGCTGTTGTTACTGCTGTTGTTACTGCTGCTGCTGCTGTTGTTACTGCTGCTGCTGTTACTGCTGTTGTTACTGCTGTTGTTACTGCTGCTGCTGCTGTTGTTACTGCTGCTGCTGCTGCTGTTGTTACTGCTGCTGCTGTTACTGCTGTTGTTACTGCTGTTGTTACTGCTGCTGCTGCTGCTGTTACTGCTGCTGCTGCTGTTGTTACTGCTGCTGTTACTGCTGTTGTTACTGCTGCTGTTACTGCTGCTGCTGCTGCTGTTGTTACTGCTGCTGTTACTGCTGTTGTTACTGCTGCTGTTGTTACTGCTGTTGTTACTGCTGTTGTTACTGCTGTTACTGCTGTTGTTACTGCTGCTGTTACTGCTGTTGTTACTGCTGCTGCTGCTGTTGTTACTGCTGCTGCTGTTACTGCTGTTGTTACTGCTGCTGCTATTGTTACTGCTGCTACTGCTGTTGTTACTGCTGCTGCTGCTGTTGTTACTGCTGCTGTTACTGCTGTTGTTACTGCTGCTGCTGCTGTTGTTACTGCTGCTGCTGTTACTGCTGTTGTTACTGCTGTTGTTACTGCTGCTGCTGCTGTTGTTACTGCTGCTGCTGCTGCTGTTGTTACTGCTGCTGCTGTTACTGCTGTTGTTACTGCTGCTGCTGCTGCTGTTGTTACTGCTGCTGCTGCTGTTGTTACTGCTGCTGTTACTGCTGTTGTTACTGCTGCTGCTGCTGTTGTTACTGCTGTTGTTACTGCTGTTGTTACTGCTGTTACTGCTGTTGTTACTGCTGCTGTTACTGCTGTTGTTACTGCTGCTGCTGCTGTTGTTACTGCTGCTGCTGTTACTGCTGTTGTTACTGCTGCTGCTATTGTTACTGCTGCTACTGCTGTTGTTACTGCTGCTGCTGCTGTTGTTACTGCTGCTGTTACTGCTGTTGTTACTGCTGCTGCTGCTGTTGTTACTGCTGCTGCTGCTGCTGCTGTTGTTACTGCTGCTGTTACTGCTGTTGTTACTGCTGCTGCTGCTGTTGTTACTGCTGCTGTTACTGCTGCTGTTACTGCTGCTGCTGCTGTTGTTACTGCTGCTGCTGCTATTGTTACTGCTGCTGCATATGTCTTCAGAAAATGAGAGATGTGTTCTAACTATCCATGACTTGTAATTAATAAAACAAAGGAACATATTGGTGGTTGTAGTTTATATCGTAATCCACAGAAGCTGGAGGTGATGGAAATGGATGAAGAAATGATGCCTCTGGAAGACAGCTGCCTCTGGAAAAGAAATTCACACAAAAATCATTAATTAATCGGTTCTTCTGGGATTAAAATGAGCCTTTTGTTACAATCAGACGTGTCGACATATATGTTCATATACATTTACTGTCCCAGTCAAATTAATTAATACAAATACACAGTAGTAGAGTAGAAACAGACGCTCTGAGGAGGAGCAGAAGTACGATGCCTTTACAAACACACACATGAACTTAACATGTCATATCAACAGTAAATGTAAATACATTGCCAGTCTTTAACAGGAGGCTGGTAGAGTGGGTTTCTTTTCTCCTTAAAGAATCGATCCTTCATTCCATCTTGGTTTCACTAAGATGTTAAAATTTAAGAGTAAAGATAGAATAATTATCAGAGGTCTAGATACATAAAAATCAGACTGTATGAACAACATAATTAACAACAACCTCTGAGCATGGTCTGTCTCTAGAACAGTCAGCAGGTTTCTGACCGATTGTCACACAAGAACCTCAAACCCCCATGTACTTGGCTTTCCTGCGGTTCATTTTAGCTTAGCATTAGCGAAGATCAGCTTTGGGGAATCGCCAAAACATAGAAGCCACCTACGCGGAGCTAGCTAATGATAATCTAAGGTAAAAACATGTTCAGAAAGTACAAACAGTAGTGGTTTGTTACATACAAACTAATGATGAGAAAACACACTTACTGGTTTGCTGTGGACGCCATGTTCAGATGAACAAGACAGTCATGTTCTGGCCCCGGCTACATCTATGGAGGATTGGCTGATCGATTGCTTCTGTCTTGATTTACCCGGAAATAAAGCATGACATTTAAAGCAGCGGAAAAAAATGCAACAAATTTTTGGACACTGAATTTTAAAACATTGACATTATTTACACTGAATACTTTTTTGTTACAGTTTATAGAATTCAAAAGCAAAAAAGTGTTGATAATAAAAACACAAAATAATCTTCATAGAGAACCTACAGCTTTCATAAAGATCGGATTTTGTAGGAAATTTAGTGTCCCTTGACATACTGAACTTTTGTTGTTGTTAAATCGGCCGAACCCCTCTGTGCACGTGCTTGGGAGACACACATTCGTATTTAGCGCAAAGCATCATGGGAGCTCGTCCATTGCGCAAAACCAGGAGAACCAGAGGATGCCCAAATATGGGCGAATTCAGCTAATCTTTTGGTGCTCATTGATTTGAAATGGCCGCCCTCTTGGATCACAGGGGCCTGGTCTCCCCCTTTGTCTCCTCCTGAAGCACTGAAAATAAAAATCACTAAATTAAAGCTGGGGTACCTACATCTTCCCCTGCATTAAAAATGCAGGTTGGTTTTCTGTTATGTCTGTATGTGTCTTGTACCTGTTTCATTAAATGTCCTCTTTTTTTGTTTGGCCAAGGATGTAAAACAACAACTACATTTTCATAAAACGGATCAAAAAAATAGCTTTTGATTATCAACACTAGAACTCCCAGAGCAGTCAGTTTGACGGCTTTGAGTCTTGGAAGTGTAATAACTCATCTCATGTTTTGGTAACTTTGTGACTTTTTATTCTCTATTCATCATTTACTTTTGAAATGTGAGCAGTTCTACCTAATTTTCCACCAGAGGATTCATTCTTATTGCAGTATTTTCAGTTGCATTCATAATGATATACTCTCTTATAAAAGGCGAGTAAAGGTAAAAACCTTATAATCTATCATTCATGAATGAATTTAATGAATGAAAAACTTTGGCCATATTTCTCAGAATTCCCATGGTTTAAATGGGATCAGTCAAAATGACGGCTCTGGGAGTTCGAGTTGTTTCAGACTTCTGGGAGTCAGTGTTAATAAATTAACCTGGTGGAGCCACATCCAGCGGAGGGCGCTCTGGGAGGGCCCCTGCCTTTAGGGTTAAAAGAAGCAGTAATCATGATACAGGTGTGGTGCTGAGGACATACCCTTTTTTAACGTGCTTTAAGTTACAGCTTCAAAGGTATTATTTTACTACTGTTTTTTGTTATATTTTTTCCCTGCAGTACGTTTATTAAATTGATCGACATATCCGACTGGACACTTCAGATTCACGTTCCTATTTTTTATGTTTAGTTATTTTTTGTTTCAAGTGACAAAGCGCCACCACAAACCAAATGTATAATTTGTGAAAAATGTCAAGCTGTATAGACAATGAATATATTCAGATCACATGTGGAGTCCCCCAGAGGTCCGTACTCGGCCCTGTTACGTGTGTCCTGGTGTGTGTGCTCGTGTCTTTAGCTCTTTTAATTTGGTTTCTCCTGAAAAGTGTGACGACAGTGTGGGTTCACCTGCTCGCTGTAGCAGTCCAGCACCTCGCTCAGGTCAAAGGTCAGACGATAGGCGCCGTATCGGGAGCTGGAGGAGAAGGCGGGGGAGGTGGCAAAGCTCTGGAGGAGGCCTGGAGTAACATCACCATTCCAGACCTCCTCCTCACCACCAGGACGCACCAGCGTCATGGGCCGGCCTTCTGCGGCGCTTAGGTCTGCAGGAGTCGGCATCAGACTGAACCAGACCAGACCTGAGTCTTGGTCAGCGCCTGGATTCTTGAAACCTCCATCCTTCTGGATGCCCTGCAGCCCTGTCGGGCCAGTGCTGTGGCTCAGGTGAGACACGTGCAGCTCTGGTCTGGGATAAGTGCTGATTCTGAAAGGATTATCTTCTGATATTTTGATCAGTTTCCGGTTTACCGGATGTTCCGGATGTTTCTTCTTAATCTCAGTCAAAGTCAGGTGACCTTCATATTCTGGGAACGGTTCCATCTCAGCTGCTTCTTCAGACCTGTCAGAGAACACAACTGTCAGTTACAGCCTCATCTTTGGGTCTTTTCTACACAAAGGGTTTTAAAGCTACAGACTGAGCTTTAACTGCAGTGTCATCTTTAATCTGAGCTATTTACACCAAATTAGGAATAAAAACAGTTTATATGACTCCTCCCCCTGTCTGAGGCTCCTCCCACTGTTTGAGGCCCCTCCCCCTGTTGGAGGTTCCAAATGTCAGAGGAGTCATCACCACAGAACTATAATAAGCTATAATAAATACCCAGCAGGAACAAGCGCTGACTGCCCGTTCTCACTGTGAGCGTGCACAAACACCACTGAACATCAGTTATTTTGACAAAACTTATTTTGACCTGTTTCTGATTTAATAATGTGTACTATATCAATATTCTCCTCCGATGCACTACCACAGCTAGTGCGACCGGATGAGGGCGCCATTGAATTATTAAGTGGAGGTTGTACAATGACAGAAGCCATTGTGAGAGACTGCATACTACTGACTATTGCAATACAGCAAGACATGAGTTACCTTTGAACCTCATAAAAAATAGGTAACCAAACATATAACAAAAATATACATCGAAATCCCATTGGAATGAATGGAAACATTACAAGTACAACAAAGTATTGCAATAGTTAAAATGCTACAAACTCAAAATATGAGAAAATCAGTACAACTACAACTTGCAATACTATAAATACTAAAATGGTCAGAAGCAGCAAAAGTAATGTGAAGATCCACTCCATAAATAAAAGATTATGACGAATACACAATATAAAGAAGCGTATGGACTTATAGAAAACCGGAAAACTATTTTGTATGAGTCCTGGTCTGGGTCTGAGTCCTGGTTAAGGTCTGAGTCCTGCTTTGGTTCTGAGTCCTGGTCTGGGTCTGAGTCCTGGTGTGAGTCCCAGTCTGAGTCCTAGTCCTGGTCTGGGTCTGAGTCCTGGTCTGAATCCTGGTCCGGGTCTGAGTCCTGGTCTGGGTCTGAGTCCTGGTCTGGGTCTGAGTCCTGGTCTGAATCCTGGTCCGGGTCTGAGTCCTGGTCTGGGTCTGAGTCCTGGTCTAATTGAGCAGAACTGGCTTCTTTACTTTTTTGTGTTGTCTGGAATACAGATATGGAGTTCTTGAATTGTGTGTCCTGGTTTTATCCTGTTGTCATTCTGCAGAAGGACAACGAACACAAAGAAACAGTAAGCATACTAAACACACAAGGGGTCACGGAGCAGACACACTTGGAAAACACAACATCAAAGCAAAAATCAAACGACTCAAAAAGCTCAGACAACTCCTCGTACACACAAAAGGCAGAATATAGAGAAAAAGTGCACTGTTTTATACAAAATCACATGTAGAACCTGCAATAAAACATACATCGGAGAAACAGGGAGAGCTTTCAGCACCAGAGGAAAGGAACATCATAAGGAATGCGTAAAAGAAACAGAGCGACTCACCAGATCAACTAAGCAACAGAAGAAAACCTCAAATCAGCAATATCTGAGAAATGCAGAAGAGAAAATCACACAATGGACAAGGCAAAAATAGTAGGAATGGAAGAACATAAAAACAAAAGATGGATACGAGGCACACGGACCATCAACAGAGACGAAGGGGCTTGCACCCTCACGGCGGGGGGCACGGTCAATCTGTCGCTCTCTTTTTTTGAAAGATACATCTTTGGTATGAACCAGGGTCCCAGCTCAAAAGGCAAGGCAAGGCAAGGCAAGTTTATTTATATAGCACAATTCATACACAAGGCAATTCAAAGTGCTGACCAAAACAAGAAAGCATTAAAATCATAAATAATCACAGAACATTAAAAAGAAAGATAAAAATATAAAATCCCTCAGTTGTAGCACAGCTAAACAGAACTGTCTTTAACCTGGTTTTAAACATTGTCAGAGAGGAGGCCTGTCTCACATCTTCAGGAAGACTGTTCCAGATTTTAGCAGCATGGATCTGAAAAGCAGCCTCCCCATGTTTAGTTCTGACTCTGGGCACTAACAGGAGTCCAGTCCCTGTGCTCCTCAGAGTCCGGGCTGGTTCATATGGGACTAACATGTCACTAATATATTTTGGTGCGAGGCCATGGAGAGACTTGTAACAAGCAGAGCTGTTTTAAAGTCTATTCTCTGAGCCACAGGAAGCCAGTGCAGAGACCTGAGGACCAGACTAATATGGTCGTACTTCCTGGTTCTAGTCAGGACTCGAGCTGCTGCATTTTGAATGTACTGCAGCTGTTTTACAGCCTGTTTGGACAGACCTGTGAGCAGGCCATTGCAGTAGTCTAACCTACTGGAGACAAATGCATGGATAAGAATCTCCAAGTCTGCTTTAGACACTATGTTTTTGATCCTGGCAATGTTTTTTAGATGGTAAAAAGCTGCTGATATTACTGATTTGCTGTGGCTATTAAAATTTAAGTCTGAGTCCAGTATTACCCCTAGATTTCTGACCTTGTTTGAAGGTTTTAGGGAGAGAGACTGGAGGTGACAGATGACGCTCTCTCTTCGTTTCTGGGGACCAAAGACAATCATTTCAGTTTTGTCTGCGTTTAGCTGAAGGAAGTTGTTTTGCATCCACTCACTGATCTGTTGGATACAGTGAAGGAGTGAGTCCACTGGTCCATGTTCTCCTGCAGTCAGTGAGACATAGATCTGAGTGTCGTCTGCATAGTTATGATAGGACACTTGGTTTCTGCGTATTAACTGACCTAACGGCAGCATGTAGTTTGTACTGTACTGTACATCTGTACTTCTTAGCACAGATGCACAGACTTGCTAAGAAGTACAGATGATGGGTGAGAAACCTTCCTTTGCTTTGACTAATCCCTGTACGACTGAGGGCTTACACAAACTTCTTCCCATTCTTGATTAAAGAGACATAATGTCTGGAAACACCACTGGCTCCATCCTCCAGCCTCTGAATGTCACGTACAACAGCCTGTGCAGGTTCTTTCTCCGCTGTCCCTTTAGAACCCACCACTGTCAGCTGTAGCTCACTCTGTCATCCAGACGTCAGCTTCACTGGCTCTTTTCTATTTTCATATGTTTCAGTCTACGTTTTCTGGACTATTTCAAACAATATTAGATTCCCTTTCAATACTATTACAGATTGCGTCAAATCAATGTTTTGTTCTGTGGTTCCCGGAGTAAAAAAGAAAGTCTGAAAACATTCATTAAAATCCAAAGCTTCCTCTGATTGGAACAGTCTACCAGTATCAACCCGCTCTCTTCTCTGCCTCTGTTTAAAAATGCAGCTGAAGCGGAGATTCAGGATGGAGACTATCTACGTTACTACACCAGGCTGGACCACGCCTTACCCAGCCCGTCATAATCAGCTCATCAACTCCTTGCCAGCCGTGTCAATCAAACCAGCGTTTAAAAACAGAGCACAGCTCAACAAAAAGCCTTTCAAGCCGCAAGTCTGTTTGCATCTTCGGTTTGGAGGTCATTGTATGGTTACAAACTTCAGTTACGTTACAAATGAATTACGGGATTACGTTTCGGTGACGGAGAGTGCATTTACGAGCGTGTACATACGAAAGATCTCACATGGGTCTATAATAATAACTGGATAGGGTATTACTAGCTGTCCCACCCATGGCCACAGGGGGCGCTGTGGTACTGCAGACTAAATTCACGTGGGCTACTCAGAAAAAAGTCCCATAGAACTCAATGTAAACTAAAACAGCTCGACCTCAGCTGACAGAAAACCTGACAGAGAACCTACAGCTTTCACCGATGACAGACGCTGTCACCGACGACAGACGCTTGTCACCGACGACAGACGCTGTCACCGACGACAGACGCTGTCACCGACGACAGACGCTTGTCACTGACGACAGACGCTTGTCACCGACGACAGACGCTGTCACCGACGACAGACGCTGTCACCGACGACAGACGCTTGTCACTGACGACAGACGCTTGTCACCGACGACAGACGCTTGTCACTGACGACAGACGCTGTCACCGACGACAGACGCTGTCACCGACGACAGACGCTGTCACCGACGACAGACGCTGTCACCGACGACAGACGCTGTCACCGACGACAGACGCTTGTCACTGACGACAGACGCTTGTCACCGACGACAGACGCTTGTCACTGACGACAGACGCTTGTCACCGACGACAGACGCTTGTCACCGACGACAGACGCTTGTCACCGACGACAGACGCTTGTCACCGACGACAGACGCTTGTCACCGACGACAGACGCTTGTCACCGACGACAGACGCTTGTCACTGACGACAGACGAGACAGACGCTTGTCACCGACGACAGACGCTGTCACCGACGACAGACGCTGTCACCGACGACAGACGCTTGTCACCGACGACAGACGCTTGTCACTGACGACAGACGCTGTCACCGACGACAGACGCTGTCACCGACGACAGACGCTGTCACCGACGACAGACGCTTGTCACCGACGACAGACGCTTGTCACCGACGACAGACGCTTGTCACCGACGACAGACGCTTGTCACCGACGACAGACGCTTGTCACCGACGACAGACGCTGTCACCGAGCGTTCTGGACACGCGTCTAAACAAGTGGGAAGAGAGCGTTTTGACTTCAACTTCTCGTGCTCCTTCCTGCTCTCCTTTGCATATGTGTCCCAGACTCTTCTGCTGCCTTTTGCATACTTCCACTGAATAAACGCTCAAACATTAAAGATTTTGCACTGGGAAATATTTACTATTGTGAAAAGTTTAAATACCTTAACCCTCCTCGATAACCCTCCTCCATTTCTGTCACGGTAGTTATAATCCGCGGGGTTATACAGCTCTGAAGAGCACAGACCGAAACAATCAGCGTGTCCTATAGATCCATGTGTCCTCCATAGTTGATGATCTGTTGTCTTCCTGGTCGTGAAATGCGTCTCTACGTCACTGTTGGAGAAAGCTCCTGATTGACGACGCTCGTGATTATCTCCAAAAAGTTCAACATTTTCCACTCTGGCGTCGGCCACGTTGGAGGCGCTTGAAAGCTTGAAAGCTTGAAGACGCGCTGCTTGGGAGGCGCGGTACACACCGTGGTGCCCCAGGTTTTTAGTCCTAGTGCAAGTGACTTATTGTACAGTCTGACAGCCTCCTGTCCCTCACCTCCTCCACAGAGTCCAGGGAGCAGCCCAGAGTGGAGCTGGCCCTCCTGACCAGCTTGTTCAGTCTGCTCCTGTCCCGCTCTGTGCTGCCCGGGGCCCAGCACACGGCAGCGTAGTGTATGGCAGAAGGTGGAGGTGACTTTGGCCCTTCTTGTACAGGGGGGATAACAATAACTGTACAGATGCGCAGTTATTGAATCAAAATGGAGCATATTTGTACAACAGCCTGGAGATTTTTAATTAACTAATTTGATGAAAAACCACATTACAGTCTATCTCAGGCCAAAATCTGTATAATTACTACTACTACTACTACTACTGAGTAAAATGATGCTACCTGTTCTGTGTGGGTTCTACCGGTTCCACCGATCGAAAGTCGCCAATACAAATGCAGCTCGTCATCATGTCACTCCTTCTCTGTTGTCGTTCCTCAGTTTCTGGCGTTTTGCGTGTATTTTAGTGTAAGCCGTCTGCTGCAGCACTGATGGCAGCTTTGCTTTCTCTGCCGTGTACACAGAGGAAGAAACCCCCCTTATACTGTTCTCTCTCCTGATTGGATAAAAACTGTAGGATACAAGAAATATTTTGTCCTCAGCTGAGAACAGAGCCGAGTGACTGAGAGATCCATGTTTCGGTCCAAACACTCTAGACGTGAAGATATAACTATTTAAAACTTATATTAACACAAAAATATCTCTCTCTCTGGTCTACCTCTGATATCTCCTTCTGGTCTCTCCTTCTGGTCTCTCTGGTCACTGGTCCTTTCGCCTGTTTGAAGGCTTGTTATTGCAGACATAAGAATTATAATTAAAGTGATTATCGCAGAGACTCAGGTATCGAGTCTGACTTTTTCAGCTCCGGTTCTAAATGAAGTACATCCTGGAAAAGAACAGTCCATCTGTTTATAGTCTATGGTATTAGTTTATGGTAGTTTTCACTCACTGTGGTGTAATGTTGGTTAAGAATTAAAAATGTCCCAAGTGGATATATTGTTTGTCAATGATGCAATAAAATTCCAAAAAAGGTCATACTTTTATACTTTATCCTAAAACTGGTACCTTTGTCACCGCGGTTGGACTAGTGCAGGGATCCCAATGATCGGAGTGAGACTATGTGAACTAATATAATACGTAGACAATATGGATAAACACAAGTAAGTCAAAGCAGGTTTATTAGTATAGCACAGTTCATCTTATAGTAAAGGAATAGTAAAGAAGTAACATCACACAGTTATAAGGTCGAGTTATTCAGATAGGTCAGCGGAGAGATGGGAACTATTTTTAACATGTTTTCTGTGATTTCTGTGTCTAAGAACCATGTGTTCAGGTCAAAGCAGATTATTACATGTATCAGAGTTGTATCAGCGTAAGAAAGTGTGAAGAGAAGCCTTGAGCGACACATATCAATACTGACTTCATTTGTGTAATATCAAGAGTGGAGAGATATAGACGTCAGAATGCTTTAGCGAGAGCAAACGTTGAAACAAAAATAAAACCATAAATAATCCCAGTACATGATGCACAGCTCAACACTGGCCCAGCAGCGCCCTCCAGTGGAACATTTGTGAACCTTCCACATGGTTGTAAATGACGTCAGGCAAGACACTTCCAACTATTATAATATTTTTTTTTTTTGTGAAAGATGTGCTGGGAAACGGCAGCAAGTCCAAAGTAGCTCTGAAACAGTTGTTTTGTGCTTTTGAATTAAAAAATGTCTTGCTTTTTTCTGCCTGAGATGTTGCTGCAGTACAGTGTTCATGGTTTTACACTGGTCCAGACCAGAGCAGAGAGGATTCATGGTCCGAATCAAGCGCATCAGGGGAAAATCCACTGGAGGAATGCGAAATCAATGAAAAATGCGAATGAAGCATTTAGCCTTTTACTTTGGACTAGAGCAGAGAAAATGGTCCGAACCAAGTGGCTACTCCACCTTTTGACCAGTCCTGCTCCACCCAGAGGCTTCTCCACCT